TCTGAGTCTTTCTAATATATAAGAAAAATACAAAAAACCGGGGCTCACTTTCCTGTAATGATTGACAATACAAGGTGACGTAAGCGGATAATAAAATTTCCTTTATATTGAACCGACTTCATGAAAGGAGGAGGGGCTCGACTGTTTTGTATTTTTTATGTTTGTTACCGAATAATTTACGACTAAGTGAAGAGTTTTTAACGACTTTCTTTTAAAGTGAAAGCTGGTGCTTCCCGTACGGACTCGTTTCAATTTAGTTCAGTTCTGACATTTGTAACCATGAGAAAACTATGTAAGTCTTAAATTAACAATTATTAACTTAAGTATGTATGCGATAAATGTAGTCGAGTCGAGTTGTGTGTGTCGCTGGCACTAGGACTAGGATAGCTAGCTAGATGGGACTAGGTTCAAAGCCGCACTTCCAGGTTCTCTCTGGACTCCATGACAATGAAAAACACTCAACACCTCAAAATATCGTAGGCTGATGCAGGACAGAAAGTCATTCCTGCGAAAGGAATGGGTGGGAAAGAAAAAGGGCAACCGTCTCTCTCACTCATCGGACGAAACGCAGCCACTAATGACTACTTCACGCCGATCTTCTGTGAGAGGGTTGTACTTAAAAAAACATTCTAAATTGTTGTCTAACTTAAAAATGTCTACTGAAACATAATTTTAATATCAAAAATGTCGTTTTGTCATTATATTCAGTAAGCTAAACAGGTACATTGTTTTACAATCCGACATATACTTCTAGACTAGATACATATGTTTTTCAATTTAATACTCTTATAGGAGGAATATAATAAAATATATGTTTTAGAAACGCTTGTAGCTAATTAAAATATTCTTCCGTGTCTTAAGAAAGACAATCGCTTGTAAAACTTGTTATGTTACAGAATGTAGCGTCAAAAACTTTTTTAAACATGACAGAATATTTTAAATTTTACAAATATTCTGAATATTACTAAACAAGTGAAAACTTCATTATTATGAGGAAATGCTGGTCTGAATTGAGTAACATTAAATATTAACGAAATTGCAAGATGTTTCACAATTAGTTCAAATAATTTTCAGTGTTAAATAAATCCAAAATCGAAGCTGAACTTAAATTGAGTGTTTGGGATATTTAAAAATGTCTGAAACACTTTGAAGTTTTCCAATTCCATTCTATTAACGGATCATTCAATTTACATTTCCTCACTTTCAAAGCCGACATCGAGTTCTTGTTTGTTTAATCCCTTTACAATTCCCCACAACTCCTTTCATTGAAAGTATCCGAACACACAGTATCACAATGTAAAAGATTTCCTTGTTCCACAACAAACTGTGTTAATATTGAAATAATTATTATAAGTATATAATATTATTTCAACAAAGAAAAACGTAATTAAAGAATAAGAAAGAACAATTTAACAATGAAAACAATATGTTTGTTATTATTATAATCGACAAAGTTCCAAGAATCGTGAGAATAATCTAAGAATATCAACTTCACATTGAACTATCCTTGTATATACAATTAAATATAGCTATATTATAAACAAAGGAATAACAAACATATTGTTTTACCTAAATATTATTGTAGGAAACCATTCACAAAACAAAGTTACAGGAGAATAACACGTATGTATGTGTCAATGGAAACGTGAGTAGATGCCAGTAATAGATTTGATGTTTCAATGAAATATATATAAGTAAGATACTAGTGCAATATACTATAGAGTGTAGAGAATATATACAGTAAACAACATAGTATTAAATAAAAACATGAAATTAATATCGTAATTTTAAATACTTACGTATTATTAAGTATTTTTTAATTACCAGTCAAAGTCTTCATAAAACTGATTTCCACTGTTATTGAATATTTAACGGAACAATGTACCTAAACAAATATATAAAAAAAACACTTATAATATTACAATAAGTTAAATATTGTTTAATGAAGTGTTTCTAACATCAATCGTTCATCCAAGTATCAATTAATTATCAATCCATCATACAAGAAAACAAACTATAAAACCAATTTGTTTTGAGCCTTTAAATTATATACTTATTTTTGGAAACCAATAACCTCACAAAAATGTCAATTTTATTTTACTTTATTGCATTCTACAAACAAAAAACTTTCCATTGGAGACATTGAAATAGCAAGCTTGTAATATTATATGTTTTATCGACAGTAAAAAGAATATAGTATATTTAGGATATTGAAGTAAGGAGACATTGATTTAACAATAAAGGGAATCAGGAGAAACAACATACAAAAAATACAATGGAGTTAACGTTGATCGTACGAATAAAAGAAATCGATACATATGTACATATTTTTGTATATCCCTCGTATAATTTGCTTTATTTTTAAAAAGGAGACATGTCAAATACTATATTTACATAAAGATGATTTCGCCATCTAAAATAAACTTGTTTGAATGTATTTAATAAATTATGTGTACACAGATTAACTACAATACCCATATTAAAGATAGAGATAAAACTAACATTTTCGGACCTACTATGCGTTTTTGATCATTTTAAAGTACATACTACAGACGTTTCGGTTACTTATGAAAATTTCATAAAATGATCACAACGAGATCAAAATAATAAAAAACGCATTGTATCAGAATGTAATAGTTTAATTTAAATGAAGAATAGCGAAAGTTTTAATAGAATTATCTTTATCATCATCATCAGCCTATCGGAGTCCACTGCTGAGCAAATGCATCTTCTCATATGGAGAAGGTTAGATCAGTAATCAAAAATGACATTAAATTAATTTTACAATATGTACAGAATATACAATTATTTTAAATTCTGTCATCAAACTTTCAAAAAAGTTATACTAGAAATTGTTTAATTTTCATGATTTCGTATTCCTAATAGAATTCTAAACGGTCCTATAATTTAAATACTAAAAGGAACGAAAGCCCTTTTAAACTTGTAACAAGTTTTAACAGTTGCCACACATAATAAATTGATTACGAAACTGTTATAATTTCCATTAAAGTTTCTAACTTGATATTAATCGTAAATTTAACGTATGGTCAATGTTGAATTCGACACTAAAAAGGCTTTTAGTCTAAATTGCCATATCATATTACGATTTTTTCCCCTTTTACATATCGTTCGTATTGATTGAAGCGTGTTTCCATCACAAAAAAATGTTTAATTACTAAAAAGTACTGGTAATATTGTTATACAAATGAAAAAATATGTGAAAACTTAAACAAGTTATTCATAAGATCTTATTAAAAGACCATTTTACATTCCTATAACTGTCTCGGAACGTAAAAAATACTACTAATTACTAGCTATATGCAATGAAAATACCAATAGAAATATGAAACATAATTGTATTAAGACCTCCTATATAAAATATTGACAAAATATTATCTTAACAACTATAAAGTAAACACTAAAATATCAAATGTGGTATCAAATAAACAATTGAGAATAGAAATGAGATTACAAAAAGGCAATATTTGTATTAAACGAGAGTAGAGCTTTGATAAAAATTATTGTCTCTTGAAGACAGATAATACAATAAGGGTTAATTTAATCTTCTTTAACATTTTCGGTTTGGGTGCTTGGGATTTAAGAACCTTTGAAAACAATGGAAGGATAAATGTATGTATTAAAAAAATATATGATTTAGTAAATTACGTTCTTTACGTATTTACAATAATTAAATTAATGAATAACATAAGATTGAAAATATTCCTAAGTTGAATTATATAAAATACATATATTAACTACAAATTCGTCTTTAACGTTCTCAAAGTTAATTAATTTATGCCCTCACTAAGTTTGTCTCTCGTCTCTATGGTTAGAAAATTGATATGATGAGATAAGATCTTCACTGAAATATTTGACATCGTCATATCACTCAGAAATTTCAGATATTGTTTGTGAGTCAAATATTAGGCAGCGTAAAACATGATTAAAGTTGGAGGCAATTTAATTAAATCCTAAAGCTACAGAATAAACTGGGATCGTAATTACTATGAGATTGGTTTATTGTTATTTATATATTTAACTAATAATATTATGGGGACTTAGAATTAGAAAATAAAGGAAAAGATTTTAAAATTTTAGTAACCCAAAACACGCTAAGTCTCGATTTATTTCTATTAGGTATTTGATAACTAATGTACATTGTTTAATAGTCACAAACATCATGGAACTCTATTTAATTGTATTATCGTTTGTTTTACTATAATTTACTCGTTTAAATTTAATTTTTGATTCTTGATCACGTTTGTAATGGTTCTTGAACTTATATTGTTTCACCGCGGTGGATAAAATACAACGTGTAATAACATATAAGCTTTTCAACACCAAATTATGTTCATGTATTTATAAGTACGATAGGTACATATCTCTTGTCAGTCCTGTTTGTCACTTCATTTATCTCTTGTATTCTCTTTGTCTTGTCTTGTTTTGCCAGTTTGACAATTCTCAGCGGTGGAAACAAATAGACGCTTGCTTTTTTTATCAAGCACTATCCTTTCGAATTAAATACAAAGATATATTCATATAATGATTATTGTATCTCCGTCTACTGCTAAACGTAGACCAAAACTAATAAATTATATACAGGAGTACAAATAAGTTTCCGCCGTTTTTTAACACGAATTAAATATTTATTATAGAAGGACGGTAATATCAATTTAGAATAGAGTATTGCATTTATAATGGATTTATGTCAATTTTTAAAACAAAAAGACAATTTCGATCCCTGTTTGGCTTATCAAAGGTAAGTAAAAATGTTATACTTGTAACTTTTTAAACATATTTGTGTTTTATAGGGATACGTAAAATACGATGTTAATTTATATACAATTAACGTACAACGTTATTAGTTGGGATAGATTCTAATATTCCTACCTGAGTAGAAAAAAATATATTATATAATATATGATCCATCAAAAGAATACAACAGGAAAGGAAAAAGGTAATAAAAGAAAGAAAATTGTATCCCAATCAGTAATTTTATTCTATCGAGGATGAAATTTAACGTAGATAGTTTCAGCAGGTCTTAGTACTAGGTCGACCTTCAGCTGAGGGCGGGCTCCAGGTACAAGGGGTGACAACTTAAAGTTACGGACTATCTCACTGATGACGACTTTCATCTGCAGCTTGGCGAACCTTTGACCTGGACGGAAATAATACAGTTTATTCTGGATTTCATTCATTCATTCATTTTCTGGATCACAATCACCTTTAAAATTGATAATTAAAAAGTACCTATAAATATGTATATTATATCATAGTGATATAAGGAGTGATAGTAATATATATTTTTTGCATAATTTTATTCTATATTTACTAGTAATAGGTGTTAATATGAACGTGAATATACAAACATACATACATATTTTCCTGACTTACCTAAGACTATTAAATCAAAAGTATTAGTCATCAAAATAAACTCTTACCAATACAATTTCGTGGTCCAGCACTGAAAGGTACATAGGAGTAGGGATGTCGTTTCTCTTCATCCAGAAACCTTTCAGGTTTGAAAGCCTCCGGATCCGGATATAGATCTGGTCTTCGATGTACATCATATATATGAACGACTACTTCACAGCCTTTCTTTACTTTAATGTCATCTAAAAGATATGTCATTATATCAAAATTTGGTTTATTTAGTTCTGTTATAACCTAAGTGACATTCTTCAGTGATTAAATCCTTAACTTGCCATGTTCGCACCTCGTCCGGGTAGAATAGTTATTTTGGACATCATATTATAGTTGCAAAATAACCTCCTCAGTTATAAGTTTTACATCGGAGTTATTTTAAAATTGTTATATCTTCATTGAAATTAAGTGATGTCAAGGCAATTTTGTTCGCAATTAAATTCTCTTATCTTATACTAATAAAAAGAAACAGTGTGCAGTTTTTCATTCATAACATGTAAAGAAGGTTTATTCATGATAATTCAGAGCTTGTATGTGCTGTTCGACGTTGCAATCTCGTAATGCGAAGAGGTATTATTATATTATACCCAAAACCAAAGCTTAAAATAGCTTAAGGCGATTAAAATACGTATAAATTTAGGATTCATCCGCATTAGAATATCATAGAATTAATGTTTAACCAATCTACCATTCTAATGAGATACTATTTTTGAATAGTAAACCAAAAGCTCATGAATTCATGATATTTCTTGGTAAAATTATCATGAACAGCTTACCACGAAAATATATGCAAATAACACGACTATGTAAACATTAAGTTGGTTAGTATTTAATAGCTGAAACCTTACCACAAATTTGCATAGTTTATAAATAAGCAGCATTTAAGTGAAACTAATATTTTTCGGATGTACTATGCGATTTTTATTTTAGATAAAAACTACATACTCCCGACGTATGTAGTTTTTACGTCGGGAGTGTGTAGTCTGTAGTAAAAATCGCGTAGTACATCCGAAAAATATTAGTTTAATTTAAATGAATACTCGCGGAAATCTTAAATCTCATTAGTCAGCATTTGAACTTATTCATGAAAACTCACACGTGACAATATTATTCACAAAATTTCGAAAATTCCTCAAGTTTTAAACTATTAAATTATTAAATTTTCATCTAAATCCATACACTATTCAAATTTAATACGAATCAGGAAACAATGAGTAACGAACAGATATTATTTCATTCAACAACTAATTTCGTTATAGCACTAATGATTGGATTATTCTGACAAAACAAAACAATAACGAGGATTTGAAACACTGACATTGATATTTAATTATTGAAATTTATATTTTTGTTTGATTAAGACGTTAATATTTATCATAAAATTTTAAGTTATTGATATAAGAACTATAAACTGCAGAAGTATGAAAATGTATTAAATAGAAGTCTTAGAAAATAATATGTTTTAAAGTAACGCATATATACATAAATTTGGAAGAAAGAAAATTCTCATTACTGATTAATACTTAAATCAAATATAATCGCAAATTATTTGGAGTCACAGATAAATATGTACATACTTTATATTACTTGTACAGTGTTTAACGAATTCTATGTACTTTTATTATGAAGATTTTAGTTAGATAGTTAGTTCAGAACTCCATTTGCAATAATTAAAACAATATCTAAAGTATTACCTAACATAAAGTCTTCGGTAATCTCTCGTCCTATGAACGGCACGCTCGGATACAATCTCAAGATTTCTTTGATCACAGCTTCCAAATACTTCATGTCGTTCAAATCTGACACACTCGGTTCATGACCGACCTGCTGACACTCCTCGAAGAGACGCTCCTATATAATAATATATTAACAACCATTAGAATACTACGCTAAAAACTATCTTGTATATAAAATTCTCGTATCGCGGTGTTAGATAGAGAACTCCTATGAAACGGTTTGACCGATTTTGATGAAATTTTGTGAGCGTATTTAGTAGTTCTGAGAATCGGAAAACATCTATTTTTCATACCCCTTATCTATTTTTCATACCCCTTAGTCTTAAGTTCACCCTTTTTTTATTTTCGGACGAAATATTTTGTTTTTATTATTTTATAATGTAGCATTAAAAATACATACAACAAAAAAAATTTACTTTTCTATCAATAGCCCCTATTTTTTTTATATTGTAAAACAACGTTTGCCGGGTTCAGCTAACAGTAGATAAAAATGTAAAATCTTGGCAGCCCTATCGCTAAAAGCCGTTCTTTTCCAGACAAACGACACGAGAGTAAAATATAATATAGTTATAAGATAAGCATTAACATAAAAGAAATCGTAAAAATAGCACTAATTAAAATATTGAAAATGTCAGAGCTTAAATGAAGATTATCTTTTAAACTAAATGATCTTAAATAATATAATCATATCAGTATAAGAAATAATTTAAATTTTACATTTTAAAATAGACTGAGGTAGTGATTCTTTACCGAATCCTTAAATTACATTTCTGACTTTGGAACTTTAATATGTAAAGAAAATTCATTCCAAAGCCGAATATATTAATATAACTTTTTTAATTAAAATATCATCGTTTCTTTTCTCGTTTCTTTAAAATTAGATAGAATTTGCATAAACCTTATCAATGAAAAGTAAATATAAGTAGATCCAATTTAAACTGAGGCTAGTAATTATAATATTATTAAATTAAAAAATATTTATACTATACTAGCTTTCCGCCTGCAGCTTCGCTCGCGTGGAGTTCGGTTATATCACGTTTCAGAGAGAACCTTTCAAAAGTCTGGGATAAAAACTATCCTATGTTCTTTCTCAAGGTCAATGTCTGTACCAAATTTCATTAAAATCAGTTCAGTGGTTTAGGCGTGAAAGCGTAACAGACAGACAGGCAAAGTTACTTTCGCATTTATAATACTAGTAGGGATTTCAAACCTATACAAGACAAGTTATATAGGAATTTTTTTGTACCTATATCTTAATATATAGAGTACTTACATACAAATAAAAATTTATTGTTATTCAAATAATACCTGAACTTCCTCGCTGTCTGCTAGCAACATCAGGCCGAATGCTAAAGCTGTAGCTGTTGTATCATGACCCTGGAAAAAATCACTTAATATCTATAAAAAAATTACTATACAAAAATACACATCCAAATTTCATCACTAAATCGATCAAAAACAATATAAATAAGAGAATGAAAGAATTAATATACAAAAAAACTCATTAACATTTCATCAATAAATTAAACTAATATTTTGGGATTCACTACGCGTTTTTAGTTTTGACTATAAAATACATACTCCCGATGTTTCGGCTACTTTACAGCAACCGTGATCACGGGCAGACGAGGTGTGAGTGTCAAAAATAAAAAACGCGTAGTAAATCCGAAAACATTAGTTTCATTTAAATAAGTATTCGCGAAAATCTTAGATCACATTATTTCATCAATAAGTTAACCAAACAATACTTAAACGAGCATTAAGTGATTACCTCAAACATAAACGTATTAACTTCTTCTCTAATTCCCTCTAAATCTATTTCTCCTTTCCTCTCCGCTTCCAATAGTAAATCTAAGAACGCTAATCTCCTTCTCCCACCCTCTTCACTTGCAACACTTTCATATGTTTTCTTCCTCTCCACTATCACGTTATCAGCGAAGGAATGAACGTTCTCCAAGCACTTGGCGAAATTCTTTCCAATGGGCATATTGTAAAAGATCAAGTCACTATGAAGCCACACTGTTGTAAGCCTCTTCATCACAATCTGTCCTATTTCCATGATAGCCTTCTTGTACATCATTTTTTCTGTACTTTTATCAGCATTCAATCTTATACCCATAGCCGTCTCTAAAATGGAAGCATATTTGTTTATCAAGAACTATTGAATCAAGAACCATTGAATATACTTTCCACGTTGTTATAAATATTAATTCCTTTCTTATTATGTTATTGGCTTAGTTTAAAATATAATTTTAATTTTTAAATAACGGAGACTGAACCATTTTTATTATTGAGAGACATTTAATAGCTTTATACCAATACATAAACATACAATTTACATATATAGGACGCTTTTATTTTAAATTTACAAAGAAATTATCTTATGTTGTGCGAGACTTATTAATTAGTTGCTTTCAAAGTAAATTGTTGTTCCTCGTAAGTAAAGTCGCCTAAGTACCTTACTTCACTAAGCCTGTCTCGGTACTAAGGGTAATGTCTAATATTTGCCTTTAAACTAAACGTGGAAAAAATAAAATTGTACCTATTAGAACATAGTAATATCTGCTCATGCCATATATCTATATCTTATACCTTAAAGCTAATGAATTTGTTTGTTTGTTTGAACGCACTAATCTCAGAAACCGCTAGTCCGATTCGAAAAATTCTTTCAATATTAGATAGTATATTTATCGAGCTATGAGTCATTCCTTTTTTTTTAAATAATGGCTTCCTTACTAAAAGTTCACTAATGTAAAAAAAGAAAATTGACCCGAAAAAAAAATCCTTCCACACGAGGTGTACTGCGAAAACTATTGAGTATAGAAAAAATTATATACAATAACAAAAAATATTGGATAACCAAAGGTCTAAATATTGGAGTTATCTCAAAATGTTTTTATTTCTGAAACAATTAAAATGATGTCGCTTTAAACATCTTTAATGTGTACCTTAGTATTAAAAGTCAGTGGTGGCCTAGTGGTTAAAAGGCCCGCCTTTCATACACGAGGGCGCGGATTCAATCCTGGCCCGGGCAAGTACCAATATCATTTTTCCGAGTCATATGTACTTTCTGAGAGACATCACTGATTAATGCATTCCCAGAGAGAGTTTATGTCAAGCAGGCGGCCGGTCGTAAAAACAATTAGCCAAAACTATTCACAACATGGAAGGCAGACCCTGGCTAAAGCTGGGAAATTGCCCGGTAGAAGAAGATTGTGTACGCTAGTATTAATTCTTATCAAAATAAATTACTCCATCTCCAATACAAATACAATATATTTCTAGAACTGTTTGAATTATTCAACTCAAACATTTAATTCAAAAGATATCACGATACTTAATTAACAAACAAGTGTATATCATGTATATCGCGCCTATGATGTGGGCGTACATACCTAAGAAGTGAGGGTCGTAGATCCTTACAGAACAATTGTGTTCAGCGAGCAAAACAAATTGTGCAAACAATCCTTAGAAATACAAGTTATACCACTTTTATTTGACTATTTATTAGTATTTACATATATATTTATATATATAATTCTACTCTACGTGTGTATATCATTGAACTCATCCGATTTGAATGATTTTTTATATACATTTAAAGATGTTTTGTTTCTCAAAATAACCCGGCGTTGACTACGGTATGTATTGTTTTTTACACATTACTCTATGAGAACAACTGTGATTTTCACGCGGAGAAATATCTATACACCTACTGATATTTGATTAAAAGTAAAGAAAATGTAATTATAGAAATAAATGTGAAATTAATATAAACATTTTATGAATATTAATTATTATTTTATGAATATACTTTCTCAATGTATTAAAATAATTCTTTTTTTAAGAATTTATTTAATAAAAAAGTCAAATTGAACAAACAATTCCGTGCAACTCGTTTTTTTATGTACGTAAAATTTCTAATTACATTTCGCTAATGTGACAAAAGGAAGATGCTGAGAGCACTTTAAATACTAACCAATTGGTAGGTGCTCCATTTGAAGTAACGTAATTAAATATATATTTGTACAATGCTTTTTCCTTTCATCTTAAAGCTAATTGCTTTAGAAGCGTTTGAAACATTATTTTTTTTCAAAAATGTACTGTTAATTATATAATTAAAAGTTAAGTAGTAGCCTTTTCCAAAAGAGGGTTGATGTCTGGCAGGCGGCCGGTCGTAAAAACAATTAACCAAAACTATTTACAACATGTAAGGCAGACCCTGGATAAAGCTGGGAAATTGTGAGGTAGATGAAGTTAAGTAGTAGCATCCGCCTCATTTTCTACCAAGATTAATCCACAAAGAATATATGTGTAGTATAAGTTGGCATCGTCACAGTACGTAGTGAATGTAAACAGTTTTTCTTTCTTAAAAGTGGCACATCACAATATTAACGTAGGTTTGTGGTATTATAAACGAAAAATTATTCATATGGGTCCAAATTTAAAATAAACATTCGGTAAGTACGTTATATTAAAAGTAACTAAACATTAGATAAAGTATATTAAAAATAACTAATTATTTTAACAAACCAATTGTGTTCAATATTAAGTCTATATTGATTTCCTAACTAAATTCTCTTATAAGCTTAACTAGCCAGTCAAATAATCTTTTCTTTTTTATCATCATCAGTCTATCAGAGCCCACTGCTGAGTAAAGGCCTATTCCCACATAGAGAAGTTTAGACCATTATCACCACGCTTGCTCAAAGCGGATAGCGATCTCAAACTTATAATTTGAAATTCTGTAACTCTCAATCATGACTACTGTTAATATTTACCTCATTGAAAAGTTTAGTAATGTTTAACTTTTATAACTTTTGGTTGAATCTAAGACTAGTAAGTTGAAAATTCAACTTAATTAATCATGTAATATTAGAATTTATTTAGACGTCACTAAAAAAACAAAATACACGAATTTTTATTATTTGATTTGTCCTTTGATATACAAAAAATAGATAAAAAATATATAGCTTAAGAAAATATAAGGATATTTTTAATTCATAATAATAAAAATTAATAGTTTAATTGTATTAATATAAAATTTGAAAATATCACGAAGCTTTGTAATTTACAACTTTATACGTACGTTGTAAAATAGTATGCAAACAAAGTTAACATAATGACTTTTTTCGTGTTTTCTTTATTTTAATATAATTTTCCCATTCTTAATATTTATTACATAAAATCCGAATTAACACATTTAAATTATAATAATGATATTAATTCAAATTAAAACTTACCACATATAATATAAAGTGTAAAATCGCTCATGATAGCCATAGTGTCAACAACATTTGACTCCTGCAGTTTTTTCCTGAGCATTGTCGTCAGATTCCTACTTTGCTCTTCAAATACCTTTACGAATCCCTTTAAAATGTCGAAATGGAATGTCGGTGTCAGGATTTTTCTCCGTTTCTGCCATTTACTGCCTGAAATCTTTTATATCTTTTACGAGTGTTTGTTTTTAAATACAGAATGAATTTTCTTTTCAAAGATACTCAAAGGTTCTCTCAATTTGTTACTTCACTTAATTCTAGTATATTTAATTTTATCGGCTTACAAATTATATTATTGAGAAATATAAATAATATATATATATAAAAATAGGAGAATGATCAATTTATATATTTCAATTTAGTTTTTGATACTATTGTAAATATATTTACGAAAAAAATTGCTTTAAAAATTACAACGAATACTATTTAGCGATGTTTAGTTCAAAGGTAATTTGTTATAAATATCTAATACCTACCTTTACTAATAAGAAGTCCAGTTCCCAACCACGGTTCTATAAACGTATAAGGTTTATTCTTCTTGATATTTTTCGAATGTGTTAGAACAATCTAGAAACAATACATTCAAATAACAGTGCGTAATAAACGAAGTAACAAAGGAGTTATAATTCCATCGTTTATATCTTCATTTAATTATTATAAGAACAAAAAACTATAAGATGTACCTATCTATTGTTTGTTAGGTAAATTATAACGATCAAGTTATCAGCGGAGGTCAAAAGTCAGAGAATAGTTATCTTCAATAATATAGAATACTTGTGGAATAAATTTTAAGAAGACAAAAACTTAACGAAAATTTTATAAATTAATTATTATTGAAGTTTCATATTATTTGACAACTATTACAACGAATGAAGATAAAACGAAGAAATGGTGAGTGAGTGAATGAATGAATATAACTATATATGTATATAGCAGTAAAAATGTGAAGAAAATAATTTGAACACATTGACAGTTAATTACTAATCTATAAATTTTAATTATTAACACCTAACCAATATTCACAAAGCTTTCCCAAATGCAATACTGAGAAAGTTTAAAAGTTATCAAGGAAAATCTTATTTAAAGTATTAAAAACGATCTCAAAACAATTCTATTTATTTGTTATATAATCATACTTAATTAAGAATTTTAAGGTATACAATAAACTAAATACATTCACAGCTTAAGATGATTTATACTCAAATATACACATATGCATGCCTCATTGGAAAGATTCTTTACTTCACGTAAACTGTTGGTACTTAATAATCATCGCACTTAATACTGAGAACTAATCAAACGACAAATAATCTTAGTGATTGCCAAGAGACGTAATTCTAATAAGTACTCACCTCAATATCCTCTACGTTGTAAACATGAAGAATATAACGATGCATTGCCTTAATAACAAGACGATTTCCATATTTCTTTGGCAGCTCAACCAACATTTTGAAAAGTTCGCCTAAAATGATTTTTTTAATAAAACAAAAGCAATTCAAGCACCAACTCTTACGATAATAACTTTATACAATGTTATTTCGGAATTATTAATAACTAAATTTTCAAGTTTCTGATTTCTTACATAGTAACTGCATGTCATAAAATTAGCTAATAACCGCGACTTTTCCGCTTGTTTTATATATATAAAAAATATATGTGCAAAAAAAGTAGGTACATATAAAGGTGCTGTTCCAAAAAACTTATAATTAATGAAGATATTGTAATAATATTAAATTCTAGAATAGTTCCTAGGTTCTAAGAAGTAAAAAAATTTTTGAAATTTATTTCAGAGTTTTGCGTAATGTAACTGCAATCATTCTTTTTATGTAGATAAAACCAAAATAATAAAAAGGATGATAAGACAAAATTTATATATTTAAAAATAAACAAACATTTTATAATTAATTCTATTAATATTTTTGACCTGTCAAGGTTTTTTTGTCTGTGGTTTTTACCAAGGTTTTTATATTGATGATATTAAAATTTTTAGGAAACGAAATATAAAAAAACTAAATAGTATTTATGTTGTTATTACTCATTTTGCAGATAATAAGTGCGAAATAATTTCATATCATTTACTCAGTAATAACAAATGATAACAAAGTTTTGATATATATTTTTATTTATTTTAAATCGTTATTTTGGATGTATACTCTATGCAGTTGCCTTTTTATGTGTTGCCAGAAAAAAGTCATATAATTCATTTAAAAAATATTACGATCTAAATAATATAGCATAGCTTTATCTGGGACGGCCATGAAATAAAACACGTTTCAAATGAGTAAACGTACAAAGATCAGGTGTTATTATTATTTAATTAATAATTACGTATTCATGTTTGATTATATGAAAATATTGTCTAAATCACGCCCGGCAGATTAGAATTAAACTTACTATGAGATTTTCCGAGGAATATGAAGACTGATCCAAATATTGGTGTTCTCGGAGGTCCAGGGAGATGTTCCAGATCATTGGGCTCCTGTTTCATAAGTCTCCACACCACCACACAGACCAGCAACCCAAGGACAATCGGCCACAACATCTTTGTATTTACAAATTACCATACAAATCTAGGTATCTGAAAACATAATTACATGACTATTTAATGCATAATATTCAGTCTTCTTGTTTATTAAGTCTGTTATCTAATCTTTTCGAGAGTAAAGTCATAAAATAGATATTTATTTCTATTGTTTAAATCACGTTTTCAGGATAATTATAATATTTATTGACATCAATAACAGATCTTGCATGTGATGGTGAGTGCTATGTAAATACTGACATTTAAGGGTATCATAACTATCATATTGTATTATAGTATTAAGCCAAATTAGGTATAAGGTTGGGTAAGTATAATTTTAATTTGGACAACGAAATTTGGCTGGAAGATTTTAGTACCAATGTTAAAGAAGCAAAAAGGATTTAAATAGCCACTCTAATCACCCAGTTAATCTTTTTTTGCTACTTGGTACAAGACGGGACAAGAATGTCTAAATAGGAATTAACATTATTTAATAAGAATCAAAGAAACTTCCTTTCGAATTTTTTATGCAATATAATTTAATGTAAACTTTACCCAATATTAATAATTTTATACAAGTTTGTTAAACTTATTAAAGGTCTTATTTTTTGAATACGAATATATAAAAGTACTAAAGAATAAAGGTATACATTGTCTCCGTGTCTGTATTGACTTTCGTAAGAGAGTATTTGACAAATATCGTACATGACAAATGCATTAATATGAAGGAAATTTCATAGCGTTTACCAAGAGTAGTTTCTAGAATTAGTCATTAGTCGTATTATATGAGTAGAGTATGTTTAAAACTTCGTGGCTTCGTATCCTTTTTAAAGAAAAAATAACGTGAAATTTAAAATAGACAAACTCCTTTATTCCATTCGACAAACTCCTTAGTATTTCCTCCACACAATGCTTGAAATTATTAGTCGTCTTACAAAAAAAAATGACATTGGCATAATATTCCGCAATTCCAACGCTAATGAAGCCATAGCATTAAAAAAAAAGACAAAATTTATTTGGCAAGACATGTGCAAAAAGAATTTTTTTATACGTATGCAATAATTTTAATTAAGCTTTCCACACACTGCCAGTATATACCACACATAATACATGCAATATGTCAAATAATGAATCCCCAGTGTGTATTACCCCTAAATGTCAAACGTAATGACATTTCTATTCTAGTAATAGTGTTGAATTTGAAATCATCTATATATTGTCGAATATCGATAGTTCGGTGATATTTTATTATAGATTAATATACGTAGTTTCTGGTTTTATCGAACAACAAACCTTAATTAGAAAAAAATTACGAACCACGTTTACCACTAATATGAAAAATATATCTTTCTATCTAAAAAACAAATTCCATTTCTCAGCAGCTACATAATAAGATATTAAGAAAAGGGAATGAAGCACTAAATTATAATGATTCTTTCCCAGATAGTGCATTATCTATTATTTAGACAGTCAATCATATGCTTAGAATCCATACGCGATATACAAAACTATGTTTAACCTGTAAAAACGAAGCAAAAGTCTATCCAAATTTCCTACATCGTCACAAGGAGATCAAAATTTTAATAATACCATAAGGAATAAGGTGGCACTTCACTTGGCGTTGCGTATTCGCCGCTTTTGTCTAAATGTTTGTGCGTAGTCCAAATAGGGCAAACACGACATCCACACTTGGCATGTCACCAACACGTCTTTACGCGTTTTCGCTTATTTGTGTATGTGTCTTATTTGTGCAAATATATCAAATGACGACGAATAAATCGTCCACACATGGTCTTTATGGCCGAACACAACAAATAAAAGCCAAGTGACGTGTCACCTTTACTGAAAACGCGTAGACGTAAATTCTCTTCAAAAAGTTTTAAATACTAAAAATAACATTATATTAAAAGATAAAACTCAATTTCATAAGAATTTTTATAATTGTGTCAAGTATAGCGTCAATTACACTACACGGATAAAAGAATTACGTATAATTTGAGCATTTTCATTGTTATTATCGAACAAAATAATTAAACATATACACGTGACAATAACCTGTTATCAAAGAGAACTTAACATACTTATGAGAAATTACTTAATATAAGGAAGGGTTGCCAATATCGGTGAAGAATTATTAAACGGGATTATTTCTTTAGCTTTGTTTCATAAATATATGTTATAGATGATTATATACTATTGAATTTGTATTTTTTTGATAACAGCTTCGATTTACGTTTTTTAATTATCTTAAGATTGTGTTTTCCTGTGATTTTTAATTTTTAGTTGATAATTGAGATTTATATTAATTTGCCTTTTATAATCATTTATATCTGTATATAAAAATCATTTATTTAGAGCAAAATTATCAAAATTTGTTAGATATACTTATCCACAAATAATGTTTAGCTTAAAAAGCGCATTTATTTATTCCTTTTCGAATAAAAACCCACGCCGTCAAGGTCAACTTCGTGATATTATAACAAATATGATTATTCTTGTAATTTAACTATTCACAGAACATCTTTAACATTTTTATAAATACCAAACTACTTAGAATTAAATAGAAACAAAACAATTTTAAACATCACCTTATTAAGCATGAAGGTTTTAATAGTTTTGTATACTTTCTAGATTATACAAAAACTAAAACTTTAATTAAAATTTTATTTAAATTTTAGTGTTGCCATCTAAAAGATAGTGTTACCAAATTTCACTAAATGTCTTTATCATTTCATTTGCATGTTCAAGATATTAAAAAAAAGTAAAATTGCGGCCACGCGATGAACGATACAATGAGTTGCTTTTATCAAAATTTTATGTTCAATATAACTAAATTAATTTAAAATATTCAACTTACATTATAATTTACATTTGAAGTATTTCATATATTGTTATTTTCTTACAAAACTAAACAATTAAATTTTTTATCGTGGCACTAATTACGGGAAAACAAGACAAGTAACTTGTGTAACTCAAGAATACAACGAATTATGAAATATATAAAACCTATATTCAGTTTATTTAAGGAGAATTTTTTGAAACGTTCATAATAAAAAATTAATCAGCATAATTAATTAGATAAATTAAACTTTTATTAAAATAATAAAAATATACTTTTTTATTGCATACTGTTTATAAGTATAAGAACGTCGTTTTTTTTAAATAAAAAGATGTGGTAAAGATAATTTATACAAACTCTCTTTACTCAGAGAATCTAAATATCTGAAATTAAATCCAAATTTAATGAATAATAGTCAAACACAGATAATATAAAACATAGTTATTTTTTACATTTAAATTATTTAAACTATTCGGCCAGTGACGAAATGTCAAATTTTTGTCATATAATATATTTTATATATTTTAATTGTAATTATTTTAGCTAAGGCGTTGTTTAAAATGGTTTTTAAAGTTTAAACTTATCTATATATACTTTTTTGCAATGTTAAATTAAATTACAATCTCCTTATAACTTACAATAACTAATTAAAATTATTTAATTATTATTATTGAACATTTATATTTTCTGCTTTAACAACTTTTTGTAGGACAGATTATAAACAGTATAAGTGAAAAAATAGTATCCATTTTACATATATATAATTTCATTTATACAACAGTAAATAATCATACTTGCATTTGCAATAACAAAACGTGTTACAAATTCTTCATATTTATCATAGTTTAATTTTATCTAAATCGAATACTCGATAAAACCTAATTAATTAAAAACTTTGATGTAATTATTTTATCAGGTTATCACACTTATCTGTTCTATAATACGAACAAATTATAAGTATTTAATAAAACACAAAATATACTAATCTTTAGTTTCTTCACAATATTTCTAAATAAAAACTCTAAATTTAAGCCCAAGCGTTTACATTAACTTTTGTACATGTCGTTTTTAATATTGGATATTTTACTTTTGTCTTTTACCTACTTATAAAGGTTCCCTTTATAGAATATAGCTATGACTGTTATGTGGTATTCTACTTAAATATTATTCTCCAACTATATTTAATTAGGTACCATCACCAACTTGGAAATTAGTAGTAATGATAATGAAACACTTCGCAAATTCCAAAGTCACATCCTGACAAGTTGACAAAGGTTCGGTTGTCTTAACGAGGGGTCAATAGGGACGGGACGGGAATACCAGAGTGACAATAGTTGAGAATATTCTGCCAACGTTTTTTTTTTAACAAAGACTACTTCCATCAAAATAAAATTAATATTTTCGGATTACTATACGTTGTTTTTATTTTAAAACTACATACTCCCACATTTCGGTTACTTTAAAGCAATAGACGAGATTCTCGTCTGCCCGTGATAACGTTATTCCGAAAATGTGTATCACTTTAAATGAATACTCGCAAAATCTTAGATCTCATTATGCTACCATCACCGATTGCCAGAAAACCATAGATGTAGACATCTCTTTATCAAGCTCGAATCTATACTAATATTATAAAGCTGAGGAGTTTGTTTGTTTGTTTGTTTGTTTGTTTGAAAGCGCTAATCTCCGAAACTACTGGTTCGAATTGAATAATTCTTTTTGTGTTGGATAGTCCAGTTATCGAGGAAGGCTGTGGGCTATATAAGATCACGCTACGACCAATAGGAGCAAAGATAAATGTGTAAAAAACGGGAGAAATTATTTCATCTTTGAAGCCTTCCGTTGCGTGCGCCGTGAAAACGGTTTTCACGGATACACAATATTCTTTAATACGTATTTAGATACACAAAAAATATGTATTAAAGAATAATAGCTTTTTTGATGATCTAAAAAACAGTCTGCGACAGTATATGTCTATCTTTTAAGATTAATTCACAAAAACCGTTTTTATGTTACCTAATTTGGTCGAAATAATTTGTTTAAGTTGTGTCAACATAATAATATTAATCTTTATTCAAATAAACAAATAAATATGTTGTTGGTTAAGAGTACTTCATTGTGAATAAAAAAAACATAGGTTTTATCCTGAAAATTCTACGGGAACTCGACCATTCCGAAAACCCCGCAAGAACGGGAGATATGTGGGAAGAACCAAAAATCTGCCGAAAGTCACTATTCCACGCGGACGAAGTCGCGGCAAAAGTTAGTCTAATATAATAAAGCAAAACGAAAATATGATTTACTCAACTTATAATCGATATTTCGTCAAGTTCCTTTGTATATTTTCAATATTCAATTTTAAAGCATGTTAAACTGTACAACTATATTTAAGATACAATGATTGCAATAAAAAAAAATCTAATTAGCTAAACTAAATAAATATATAAACATATTTTATACAGAAAATATTTAGTACCGCTAAGTTGTAAGGAAACTTAGAAAATAGAGCCGAAATGTGTTTGTATAGAATAATTTATATTTTAAAAAAATACATGATAATTAAAATGTAAACCAAACAAAAACACACAAAATAAAATCTGTTAAAATGATAAGTTATCACTTATCACCAAAATATATTCTATAACAATATATAAAAAATATATATAATCTATATTTTTACTGCAATCACATTGGACCATGATTTGAAATATTTCAAAGAAAGAAATGCTAAAATAGATTATCTGTTTGACAAGTGTAAAGTGTTGTTTAATCACAAGTTATATTACTTGCGATTATATTATGTTCACGAAACTAGAATTAAATTTACAATATTAAAGAACTAGTTTTCGACATCTAATATACAACGCACAAAAAATATTAAAATTTCCGAACGTTTCATGCCAATTACAAAGGTGCGAAATACGATGAAGTTACAACTAAAAAGAAGTTTTATACTTCTATTCATTTAAATCAGTTACACAAGTATGTATATATATTATAATAATTCAAGATAATTAACAAAATTACAGCTACATATGATAATAAATATTGATTGTGACTAAATAATGAATCTATAAGTTAACCTCGTTGACGTAAAATAGTGAAGAATGTTTTAAAAGAAATAAAACAATCAACTTACTGTCAAAAGTTATCCAAAGAACAGCGAGGTCTATTATAATAAATACATATTAATTTTAGTTAAACAAACTATACGAGTTAAAACAGCGGAATATAAATAAGTACTGAGTGATATAGTCATTTATCAACTTGAGATACAAGTTCGTTTACACGGGACGGTACGTAAACGACACGACTTACGATATTTATTACGACTAAAACATTTTAAAACTTTAACTAGTTATATCACACAACTTCGTCTGTTCATAGCTTTACTTGTATAATTTTACAAGTGAATGCTAATCAAAATAAATAATAAAACTACATCGCATATGTATTGTATGCTTTTTATATTAGTGCAAATTTACGATCTTTTATATATATGAATTTCTTGTTATAAACAGGTTTTGTTTTTATCCTTCGACTTTAATCCTTTTTAATGATGCATCACATGATGAAAATTATCTTATACATGTTATAGCATAACTACATTTAATATAAAGTATAATAATAATTGAACTAACGTAATAACTTTCAATTAAATCCTATTCACACACAAGGAACAACTACAGCGAACTTAATTTGTTGTTATGACGCGCTTCGTGTGAATAACGCCTTAAGTTACTTGTAGTTGATAACAATAGAATTTTTTACATTACCTTAATTTGGGGCCTTAGACCCAAAAATATATTAACATATACATGGAAATCATATTTAGACTTAACAAATATTTCAATTGTTGTATAAAGATTTTCAAATTTACAATATAGATATGCAACCTCCTTGGAGTTTAAAAACTAAATCATTTCATAAAAAAGATTCCAAAGAATAGTTACCGATTCATAATTTAAGATAGGTATATGTAAATAAAAACATCTTTCTTTCAACAATATATTGCAATACGTACTACTATGTACTACGAATAATAATTCGTAGTATACAATGTACTAATCGTTAGTTTAAGGATCGGGTGGAGCGTAAGACAATCCCAAATTCTTCAACTCGCAATCCTCTTCCAAGAAATCTCTCATAAGAAGTTTCCTTAACGCCGCCCGACGAACCTGTGAAAGTAAAATGTTTATACAACTAACTGTAAAAGTTAAATTGAGTTATCCAGATTAACAAACTTTAATACAGTTATTTCTGACAGTTATAGCATTATAACTTGTGTAACGACAAACTTAAATTACGTGACGTAAAAATAAAACATTAAAGAAGGCAACACGTGCTAATATCCTTTTAATTTTATTAAATTAAATATAAACTTATTTTGAAGATGAAATAATGAATAGATAATGAAATATAACCATAATAATTAAAGTAACATTTTGTTCAGTATCCATTACTGAAAATTAATTCAGTTTTCACTGAACTCATTTCTAGCACTGAGTGACTCCAATCAGATTAATCTTATCTTTCCAAAAAGATTTTTCGTTAAAGGAACTCCTTGTAAAGGGAATCTCGATTAAATTACTTACGACGTTTAAATGTCCTGAAAACATCCTTACGGCTTTTTTTACTGAATATTACAAGTTTTAGCTGATGGACCCATTATAAAGCAAATATTAGGACAAATTAATCTATTTGCAATGTCAATTTTAACACCTTAAAGTAAATATTTATTATTGATACCCAACTTTAAAGTTGGTAGTTAAAACTATTCTCCCAACAAACGGGGAAATATTTAATAGCGGACAACATTTATTGTAGGCAAAATGGCGGCTATAGTGAATATGTCAAACGGAATAATATATAAGACGAAGGAGCGTTTCACAAATAGCACGTACTTCAAACAATCTTCCTTACATTATCTGTCAATTAGATAAATATAAGAAAAGGTTCTATAAACATATTCGACGGGTTTACTTACGCCATACCATACAAGCTTATCTACAAAACTACCAAAAAGATTTCGTATTTAATTGAGTTATATTCTTTCACCCTCAAAAATATAAATATTATATATTTAAATGTGGGTTCATGTAAGTATTTTCCACTTCCAAGTATTCCAGTTACGCTTAGAATAAAACTAGCGTCAACAATTTTAATCATAATCAAATTATCGTGTTTCACTTTCGGAGGTTGACTCACCAAAGTGTAGGTACAATAAGTCCTAATCTTAGGCTATATACGGCTGTTACTTTTCTGATACCATTGGACTTTCATGCTGTAGAGCATCCAGATCTACGTTTATTTTAAAACGCTCTCTAATCTAGCAAAATTCTCCACCAATCGCTTACTAATCACCTGAAACTAAATCAATTTCCACTTCAAGATGAAAATTCCGCTAGCATAGTTTCGTACTTTAGTATATAGAACTTTTCGATTTACACTGAGATAGTGGATTCTCCGCCCACGACTTCACTTCAACTTCCAAAGGGTAGAACGTCAGTCAAACTTTATCCAGTCGAAAATATAAAAAAACTTCAAAGTATAACAGACTCAATAGTTCACAGTGATCTTGAATTTATGTCTAATTTATATCATTAAACCCCTTTTAATTTATATCATGAAATTTTAAAGTAAAAACCCTTTTATTTTGTGTCTACACTGCAGCAATGAAGAATAAGAATATGTGTTACAAGTGGCGCAATCTGTGCCTTACTATAATCCTTAGAATTATTTTTTATACTGATTATAATTAATTATAATAATGAACCATTGTAATTTTGTGATGGCAACATTTAAGTGTCAATCTGTATTTGAAAAAACTATACATACTGGCTTCAGCATCGATATATACTAATGGACATGCCGTACGCGTATAATCTGCAGTAATTTTTTGGTTTGAAGAGAGAGAGATGGCCTATGCTTTCGGTCTAGCACTATCTCTTTCCTCATATATGTTTGGCGCTCAGTTTTTATGACAAGCACGGCATATAAATTTGAGAGAGATGAAGATAGACCGAAACTTCTTTTCCTCTCTTTCTTTCGAAGTATCACAGTTGTCATCTGTAAGGCATGTCGATTAGTATATGTCGATGGGCTTCAGAGTTCAGCCATTTTGTTAGACATTACTAATTACTGGAAGTAACGCTAAACATTGAAACACAAATCTAAAATTGTATCTCGAACATATGTTTTTAATTAAAGAGCTCTTTGAACTATTGTGTCTAAAGCCATTGTCATGAAATAAAAAATACAACGCCAACGAAATTGCGTCTAACAGCTATTCCAAAATATGAAGCGACTCAAGTGTAAATAATCCGTCCAATACTCAGCTGTGCGGCGTTTATTCAATTGATTTAACTTGTAAATCGCTTATCGAACGACGGTTTTATAAACGAGCTAACCTCCTACGGACTAAAAGAGGTAACTCGATTTAAAAACTGTTTTTTAATATCCGAAACAGTTAAGGTCGAAATTGCTTTTATAAAATCTATTTTATATTGCTTTACTATAGGAAATTATTTATATTGTAGTGCCATTTAGTAATTTCCATGTGTATTTCATATGAAAACTTGTTATAATAAATCCTCCTTAAAACATTTCAGAAATCTGAATTATTAATGCAAATAATGCAATGAATGTCACTTTTGTTGACATTGTCATACTTATCACATCGCGTTTTTATATTTTCTTTATATTGTCAATATTACATTAAAGTATTCTTCTCATTATATAAGAACAAAGTTTTGATTACGTCTACAATAACATACAATTATTTCTTTTTTCTATTATCTTCAATCAATTGTCAAATTTTGAATGTGCATTGTCAATACCACAGGGATGCCATAAAAATACCTAATATCAAAAACAACACTAAAAAACGTCAAGCGTTGTTAAAAAAAAAAAAGACATATAGATTACGAAATTTAAAACAAGTAAAAATATGGAATTGAAATCACCTGACCAGTGTCGCTATTTACAAAAAAAAAAAGAAAAAAGAAAAAAAAATCAGTAATCTATTAATCTCACAGCCAATGTCTGCCATTTCGCCTGACGTAGTTCCTCCCGTATAAACATCATTTCCGGTCTCAGGTCACGATGAGCCTGGGGGTCCATGTTGATCTTCAACTTCGGGTCTATACCCGCCAATTGCTGGTCACTGATAGTTAAAAATATAAGAACATAATTACTAAACTATGATAATTTCATTTAAAAGAAACTAACATTTTTCGGATATACTACGCGACTTTATTTTTGATAAAAACTAAATACTACATAGAAGTAGCAGAAACTAGTAGTAAGTAGTTTTTATCAAAATCAAAGTCGAATAAAACTGGCGAAAATCTTAAAACTCATTCTGATAATTTATTACTTGTTTGGTACCCTAAAGTGGACCTAAATTGTACTATTTTTTTTTACTTACAAATGTGCCCCCACATCTGCTTCCAGTATTCCTGCTTCTTCAATAGATTCTGGATCCACATCATCTTCATCCTTATCTTGAGACATCTTTTATATCTTCTATTAAATATATTTGTACTATAATATTTTTTTCCCTATGTTTGATAGAAAGTTACGTGACAAGTCTCCTATATATGAGGATTTGGTGTTTTTTTTTAATTAAAAAATATACACATTCCAACCAGTTATAAAATATATTTTTTATGTTATAAAATAAATTATTATAAAAAATTCCTATGCTGTTCAAAAAATTACCAATGCAAAAGGGTACTTTAATTACAACAAACAAAGACACACCGCCAGGACATTTTATATAAATATCACATATGAGGCAGAATAATCTAAACCACATTATTACGTTTTATACCCTTGTATTTATTTAAAAAAAAGTAACGTATCCTTACATAACTTTTATGTAAAATATTCCTACACTACAAAGTACAATCCATCTAGAAATATTTTGTTTCATTAAAAATAATTTGTTTCTTCTTAAATAATATAGTAGGAAATGAAATTTTAATTTCTCTATTTTAAATAAATTTAACGTAAAATCAGAAACTTTCATTAGAGTATTTGGTTATAATAAAGAAAGAATATTTCTTCAAATTTTTCTATGTAGCTAAAGCAGAGGTTATTTAAATGCAGCAATTATTTCAATAATAGATAGGGAAAGTTATAAAAATCAGTAGCTTAAAAAGAAACAATACTAATAAAAGACAAAATTGTTTTAGAGAATTGCTGTCTCTTTAGCAAGTAAAGCCATAAGCTCAAAACTATTATACCTAATTATAGTATAAAGGTAATCGAATTTCTTCTTCTCTTACCATTTCATTAATATAAAACTTTGATAAATCTTGATGAAAGAAGCGTAATATCTGTTTTACAAATATTCCTTGACGATTGAAGTAGATTGTAGAATTCGAAAGACTATAAAATCGAGCATAATTAATAACACTGACATCTTTTATTTAAATAGAGAAATACTTACAAACGAATGTTTTGCAACTAGTCATTGCAAAAGATACTATGTTGCAATATCAAACATAACTATATTTATTTGCTATTATTGTTACATATGACTAATACATATAATGAATATACGCCCAAAATAATTAACAAAATTAATGATAATCTGTAACGTCACGTGTAAACAGAATTTCTTTAGTCTGTGGGAAAAGGGTGACTGAACTGCCTCATTGTTATTTATTGCATTTAAGTCTAATAATACATTAATTAGCCGTTTTAAGGGTACAGTGAGTGCAATAACATACATAACAAGCCGTGACAGCCATGCCGAAGTGAGTAATATCAAAGGTGTGGCGGCTTCGTTCGGGCGTTGTTTCCTAAAGTGACTTTTGTGTTACGAAAAAATATTTCTACTATCACGTCGCAAGATGACCGAGTACAAACTAGTGGTTGTAGGTGCTGGTGGCGTCGGTAAATCCGCATTGACTATACAATTGATACAAAATCATTTCGTTGACGAATACGATCCGACTATCGAGGATTCCTATAGGAAGCAGGTAGTGATTGACGGTGAGACTTGCTTGTTGGACATTCTTGATACGGCTGGTCAAGAAGAGTATTCCGCTATGAGAGATCAGTATATGCGAACTGGGGAGGGTTTCTTGTTAGTCTTTGCTGTGAATAGTGCCAAGAGTTTTGAGGACATAGGGTCTTATAGGGAGCAGATAAAAAGAGTGAAGGATGCAGAGGAAGTTCCCATGGTATTGGTTGGTAACAAGTGTGATCTCCAGGCTTGGGCTGTGGACATGACACAGGCGCGAGAAGTAAGTCTTCCACTGTTATATAACTTAAAAAACATTATTAGTCTCTCCAAATGACTATAAATCATAACTCAAACATTTAATACACAACCTGTTGAATACAAGTAATATATTGATCGAACTTATGGTATTATAAACTGCTTTGAGTCTAAATGATAAATTAAATTAAATTTGCCATATATATCATTATATTGTATTGTTTGTTTGTTTGTATTGGTGTTGGGAGTAAGTTATATAAAATACTAATGAAAGACTAACAGAAACATAGTATATTAAAAAAATATATTTTTATATAGTAAACAATTGCTGCATTGACCATATTGAGGTCTTAAAATATCTTAATTCTAAGAATTAATACTTCAATTATAGTTTTTCAACTTTTTAATTATAGTTTTTCAACTTTTTATAACTTTAAGTATTTAAATCCCCTTTTTTTAGTTTAACTTAGTTAATTAAAATGTATTGAATTTTCTATTATTATTATTATATAATTAGGACAAACTTATAATTAAAACTGAAATGCTTATCTCAAAGTATTTATGATACTTAAATCATAAAGATATTTTTCTTCTGTCCGTGTTTGTTCTAGTTAAACTCTAAATCAAGTTGTGAGGGTCATGTCATAAGGAGTAACTTAGCCTAATTTTTAACCGATTTCAAAAGTAGTAAGTTCTCAGCTGGATGTATGTTTGTTCATTATTACTATATTAAGTATGGATGATTTGGGAAATTATTAGTTTTTAATTGAAAGAACATTATCCTAAGGTAGTTTAGTTTTGTTACTTTGTCACCAAAAGTTCTGAGGAAATCTAATGAAAATTCTTAAAGGTGATATATAATAACACATATATCTAAGAGGCTTCTACAGGTTGGCAAAGTCACAGGCGACAACTACTATGAAATCAATTTAAGAAATGTCAAAACATTAACCATTTGATTGAATTGATATTGTTCGTTATAATATATGAAAACTTGGTTATAATTTATACATCCTATCATAAATAGAATTAATGTTATAATTGTGAAATTGTCATATACAATATACAAAAGAAAATATCGAAATACTAGATAAATAACATAAAATTAGTTCTTCTTCCTCAACTTGTAAAATAAACACAAATATGCCACATAATAAGTACTATACAAATATGTTCTATAAATAATTTTGTTTATAACATTATTTAATACAGTTTTCCTAGTATGTCATTAAATACATTAATCATGTAGGAACTATAAACAAATGACAAATTTGTATGTATTTATTAAATATATGTGATTCAAGAGGATATGAAAAATATTCCTCCATTAATAGTAATACTTACTGAATACAGAAACAGAGACGAAACCTTTTAGCATTCAATGGATTCACCGTGCAGGTGGGTCCATCGTAGTGAGAGGAGCTTCAACAGTGTCTGGGACTTGCAACCCAGGTGTAGGTTTAAGGGACTCCTATCTTATGCGCATTAAATGCTCACCTCCACTGTCCAAGCTCCTCTCTCTACCTAACCAAATTTGAAAATAATTATCAATACATTGTAGTAACTGATTTAAAAGGATTTTAATATGGACTTATGGTTTCTACTTTATGTATTGCAATTTTGTTAAATATGTATCTCATAAGATGAGTACATTAAAAATTTATGCTAGACAAAATAGAATTTAAAAAACCCAATTACAGCCTAGAAAACAAGTGTTAACCTATAATATAGGTCAATTGTATGATGAGACAAACAAGTTAAACATATTTTATAACAGATCGCAAAATGTATATTTTCAGGTGGCGCGAAGTTACGGAGTACCGTTTGTTGAGACATCAGCCAAAACAAGAATGGGCGTTGACGATGCATTCTACACTCTAGTCCGGGAAATACGCAAAGACAAGGAAAGCCGCGGCAAAAAGTACAGGCGGGGTACGAAGCTAGGCTCCCGGCGTACAAAATGTACGCTTATCTAATAACTATTATTGATAGTCATTATGTATAATGATTTTCAATGTGGGCTTTGAGAGACGTTATCCGATGTTCATTAATTCTCCGGCATTATACAGTCTGACGCATTTTGATAGTAATCGTGCCATTATTTAGTTCTTTGTCTCAAATATATCTGACATTAAACATCACGTGACCTTTGTATCGTATTGCCAATAATAAAAATATAAATTGTTTCGCATATTTTTATACATATTCAATGTAAAATATATTATGATCTTTTTTTAAACAAAATATCCTAGACTTAAGCTTTATGCCGTTGTCATTGACTAGGTAGAATTGTAATGGATTCTGTAGCATTAAGAATTGTTGAACATGCACGTATTCCACTCGGGTACATGTTGGCTGAAAAACTTTAAATACAGAGCCTTACATTAAGATATTATATTTAAAAAAAAACTATAATCAGATTTTACAACCAGTCTGCCAAAAGTATTTTCAACTGATATATGAATAGATGAAAAATATTATTACTTGTACAATTTTTAATGATTTAATTTACATTTTATATAATTATTTTTGTGTCATGGATGTAGTATAGGTGGGTGCTAAAGATATGGTTGTGCTCATACTTTTTGTTTCAGCACATTTTTTTTATGTTCAATAAACCCAAAAAAGGTTTTATATAACTCAATTAATCTTGAGAATCAGTCTTTTTCAAATAAACTTAATCTTTATTAAACTTGTTTATTGATTAAAATGCTATTTCAGGTATTATAACAGTGTATATATATTAATTTCTTTTAATGATATGTATTCTCTGTGAGGGCATTTGTGGGTAAATGGTATTGTATCAAATTAATTGTGCTCTTCTTATTTAGAAAAATAAAAAATAAGCAGAATTAAACACTACTATCAACTATCATGAATTTTTTATCGATATATTTATTATTTGAATTAAATATTGTTAGGAATTTAATATGTTGTTTATAAGTAATACAAGTTAATATTAAATATGAGAGATTTTTTCAAATATTCTAATAATAATTCAATTTAGATAAATTCAAAAACATCATCTTAGATAAATTTTATATGTAATATAGCTTCCTAACTATAGTATATGGAAAATGTGCAAATGATATGAATTCATTATTTAGTAATGGTGTATTAAATAAAGGTGGCACTTCACTTGGCGTTTATTCCTTGTGTTCGACCAAATAAGACCATGTCTGGACGATTTATTCGTCTTCATTTGACATACTTGCACAAATAAGACACATACACAAATAAGTGAAAACGCGTTAAGACTTGTTGTTGGCATGCCAAGTGTGGATGTCGTGTTTGCGCTATTTGGACTACGTACAAATATTTAGACAAATGCGGCGAATACGCAATTCCAAGTGAAGTGCCACTTTAATTCTATAAATTTTACATTTATCTCTTTTTTTAACTAATACCAAATGATTTTATTTTTATGACACTGAAATAGGTACAATGATAACAAAACGAATTGTTTTTTATACAATTATTTTTTTTATAATTTTGTCAACATTTCTTTAGGTTAAGTTATTGTTCTAGTGTTATGTATTAAGTTTAGTAATTTCGTGTAATGTACTTTGTGTAAGCACAGACAGATGAGTTATCTTATTATTACAATTAATTGTCATCTGTGCAGCTATGAAGTGTAAAACGATTATTTTGCAGCTATTGTAATTTTTTTCTGCTTTACTAATACTATAGCTCCGTTAAACCGAATTTGATGCACAATTTTTTAAACATAGATGATAATTTCAAACAATATTATTAACTTCATACTAATAAGTTTCTTCATGGCACAACCATGTGCTCGACGATATAAATAAATTTCAGCAAAACAGACATTGTTTCTTATTGATTTTTCCCTCTTATATTCTATAATTTTTATCACACTGTGTAAGTACCATAATGTTACAATCCTATTTTATTTTGTTATTCCCTATACTGTATCAGGAACCATGATGTGCCAATAGCATATAATTTTTCTTTTTAAATGTTTTATTCCAGAAATTCATGAATTTGCTTAAGTTATACAAGAAGATATTTGTACTAATAATATTTTGGTAGGGAGCAAAGTAATTTGAGATAATTAAATGCTTTTTTTTATCTAAATATAACTAATTTTAAAACGTGCCGTACTATTTAAAAAATACTTATTTTTTAAAATAATTAACTAAGAAAATATAATTTAGAATTTTTGTAACATAAACAAAAGTACTAGTTGCAAAATAAAAAATGTCTCAGTATAAAAGTTTTATTAAAGCTGTTGTCTTAATGGTCACATATCGATGTGTTCTCACCAGGAAACAAAAGACAAACTAAAATTTTGTTTAAAATACCTTATATAGTATTTTGCAAGTGATAGTAATAATATTACACAAAATTATATTTTGTCATTTAGTATTTTCAGTCCAGGTTTAGTTCAATTTTGGTCTTCAGTCATACCTTTTTACATTTACAGAGTTTACATGAACACCAAAACGATGTTATATAGAGAAGACTTGAGTTCTAACGCTAATACTCATTACTATCGATAAAATTTGTGATCTATGCGCGTTTGAAATGTGTCAAGATCTGCGAGTTGTGACGTTGACAGTAGTATCAAAATAGTCAACCAGCGATACAATACTACATATTTGTATTTTAAGGAATTACTTTATGATTTATAAAATAAAGAGAATCCGAATTAAAGAGATTAATAACATCCAAGCTCCATCATGGACTCGAAAGACGTTTGCATAGAAATAGAAAACGATGAGTTTTACAGCAAGTTCTTAGTAGATTCGGCGAAACCGATAATTAGTGATAACATTTCAGTAACAGAACAAGTTAACAGACTTACTCAAGGCATCGAAAAGTTAAGTAAAAGCCTAGAAACTCAAGTTCTAGCTAAACATAATGATTTACTTACACAAGCAATCAATATAACGGATCTTGAGAGTATGTTAGACACAGTACGTGTCCAAGTGCAGGCATTGTTAAAAGGTGCTGAAAAACTTAAGGAACGCGTTCACGTCCCTTATTACGAACTTGAAAACCAGACGTTGATGCTCGAGAGGGTCCAAATTACATGTAATTTACTCCGACATGCAGCCAAGATACTTGCCTTGTGGACTAAGCTTAATTCAGTGAAAGATAATCCGTCTAAGGAAGCTATGATACTCTTCGAATTAAAGGAATTAATAAGTGACTATGACTTTCAAGGTATTAATTTTCTAGATGATATTTTAACAAAAGTTGAGCTCCAGAGAAATGAATTATTAAGAAACTCAACAGAGTTATTACAAACTAGCTTATTGGATGGTGATAAAACTAAACTTCTCCAGTGTTTCAAAGTATTTCATAATCTGCAATGCACTGAAGACCAAATAAAAAGTACAGTAGATTGCATTTTGAAAGATTTAAGGAAAGCTATTGCAAATGCTTTAAATGTCCAAATGGTGTCCATAGAAGTAAAGAAATCTAGCTCCGGTCGCATAGCACCCGGCAAGGCAAATATAATGAATGCTCAAGACTTCAAAATCAAAATATGGGACAATATAGAAAAATTGTTTAAAATTGACATCTACAACAGCTGTATGAAGGTTGTGATGTTGCAGAATGTTGTTAATGAACTTCATGCTATCGGCAACTTCAGAACCATAGCCATCAACTTCTGGAATGAACTTTCCCTTGTATTTAGCAACGAGTTAGAAAAAAGCCCAACACAAGTCAGTCAGTCAGTAGAAATTGATTTTCCTAAGCTTTTGAAGTGTTTCAACGATTTACTGTCAAGATTAAAATGTAAAAATTTGGAAGTGAACCGTTCAAGTTTGACAAAATGGGAAAATTCCTTCCTATCAAAATCTTTAGCTAAGCTATTAGAACCAGTTAGAAGCATGTGGCATTTGAACCAAGTACCTAATATGGATCAAATTGACAACGCAATAAGAATAATAGCAGAAGCCCTTAGTATTTCACTCGGAGATAAACAATTAAGTATCAGTTTGGCTCAGAGTGTTGCAAAGAGCGTCAAACAGATGAATGTAGAGGCAGAACAACGACTTTCAATGGAAAACGATGTTGCACAAATAATAGAAGCTCCGACTAGCTCCCAGCAGAGAAATGCAGATCTTTGTAACGCTTTGTATTATTTTTCATCCCAAATCAATAGAGTACTTACCAATATGAATTCCTTATTGCCTCAAGAAAGTGTGCAAATCGTCCAAAATAGTCTAAAAGATATATCAAGTTTGCCAGTACTCAATTTGTATGCCGATTCTATAAAGAAGTCCATATATCTCATTCTGGCGACCATGCACGATGAACCTGATTTGATCAAAGCTGATGACGTCCCCAAGACTATGTCTTGCAGCCCATATATGAAAGAATTACAGCAATTCGTATCTAGGTGCAAAGAAATCTATTTATCAATGTTCCATGAAAAGGCAGCGCTCAACGAATGCTGCTTAGACATTTCAAAATGCTGCATAGAAAGATTCATCCAGCATGTGTGTAATGTAAGACCTCTCAGTAAATATGGGAGAGCGAAATTACAAGCTGATTGCAAACATCTAGAAACTTCGTTATCCCCTTTAGTAAGCGATTTGACAGAGTTGGGCGATTATTATAGACAGTTACGAGCATTATTCCTACTATTGGAGAAAACACCTCAGGATATATTGAAAAGTCAACAAGAAGGGGCTTTACTGCCTTATTCTATGGTGACGATGTTTTTATTCTCTCACGCTGGGCCTCAACTTTTAGCGCCACATACGTGCGCCGGTTGGAACATACAGAAATTAATACAATGGCTGGTAACCCATAGAAATGAAAAAGATAGATTGGAATTCGTCGCAGGAGCGTTACAGAGATATCAAAACCATGTGAGACAAAACAAGATAGCAACATATGATGATGTTTACCCCATACTGGTACAACTGCTACAAGATGGAAGAAAGGCTATAAAGAAATGATAAATTTAATAACTAAATATCTCACATTTATTTCTCAGTGTTATTTTATTTATTAACATATAAACGTGTTAAATTAATGTATGAAATTGTGTATAATTGAAACAATATATTTCAAAAGATAGAATATATTTAAATAAAACAGTCAATAATATTTGAGCTTTTTCTTGACCCGTCTTCATATGGATGAAGAGTTGACTTTGATCCTTTCTGCCTGTTTAAACATTTATATGGTTAATTATATATAAAATTAAATACTATATACATATATTCAAGTAGTAAGTGTAAGTATAAATATATATATAAAATATTTGAAGTGAACTACAACTAAAGGTTGGGACTAAATAAAAACAAAATAACTAATCAACATTTTAATAAAACATCATTCACCATTAAAATATATACAAACATACATGATCTAAATTACACTTTGGGTAAACTATAAAATTCTACATACATTTCACCGCCATTTAAAATAACATCGAATAACAACAAGGTCTTTTATAGATACAAAATACTTCAAACGATTTCAACATACGATAGCTAACTCAAAGAAATTTCCATAAACTACATAGTAGTAAAAAAAAATAGGCACTAACTTATTATATATTCAAGGAAATAAAATATATTGAACACTATATAATCTACATCTAAACTAATCCAGTCGACATTTTATCGCATGAATTGATCCAATATTGAAGCATTGATAGTGTAAATAAAAACACCGGTCTAGGATTTAGTGGGATCATTTAAATACATTATGAATAATAAAAGCGTTGACAAATTATTTACATGTTTTATATGCTTTGAAATTGGTAAATAAATTGATTGATTTCAGACTTGACGATCAAATAAGTCATCTTTTTGAACATTTTAGTTAATGTTTATTAGTGGGACTAATATTCAATATTTGCTCGGGTTTGTTTTCGTGCTATTAAAATTCAATTGTAATAGACACTAAAAATGCGAGACAAGGACAATCTTATGCGATCTCTCTCTATTGACTGTGGAGTTAAAGAAATTGGGGACTTATATCTACATAACATCCCCTCCACTCACGATGTATGACAGAGACAGCAATAGCACACCTTTCACTTCACATCAGACTGACTAAAAGTAATGCAGAAACTTAAAATGAATTGTAATGAATGAGCTGACATTTATGTGAACTTATAAAAAATATATCTTTTTTTGTTGTGTTGTAATTAAATCTTCTAATGAAACTAATTTTACAAGGTCAACTAAATCACTCAGTTCATCTAATATTGGATCAATTCGTAGAGTTAATCTCACGCCCTGTATAATAATTATATTAAACCTTTCCATCGAAGACTATCTTGAACACGTCATCATACACGCTGACGAAGTGAACGTCGATGCCTTCCCTGATGAAGGAAGGCAAGTCGTCGAAGTCACGACGATTATCCTCGGGAAGAATCACGCAAGTCACACCCACACGTTTAGCCTGGGAATTAACACGGAAATGTTATTATCAATTACAACTTTATCTATTAAACTAGCTTTCCGCGCGCAGCTTCGCCCGCGTGGAGTTCGGTTATATAAAAACTATCCTATATTCTTTCTCAAGGTCAACTCTATCTCTGTACCAAATTTCATTAAAATCAGTTCAGTGCTTTAGGCGTGAAAGCGTAACAGATAGAAAGACAGAGTTACTTTCGCATTTATAATATTAGTAGGGATGATTTAATTAAATGTGTATGTACAAGAGAGGTCTCAGAGACCAATATTATTATTACTCCACACACCTAAACTAACCACTAAGATAAATATACATACATGGGTCCCACAGACCGTTACCAATATTACAGCGTTATATAACACAACACTCATACAATATGTAGTGCGGGTCTCGTAAAAATCATAGTAATTCCTTAAATATAATCACCAATTAAAACAAGGTGAATATTCTTATTAATACCTTCTTACCAACTAGGTGACAATGACAGGTCAAGTCTATCTGGTCAATAATATCCATATAAATCAATACCGCTATCATCTTGTAGAGAGTCTAATAGTAATTCCTCATATATAAGAACTAATTACAATAAGATGAGTATTAATACTTGCATCCTAATTTCTTCTTGCCAACCAGTTTTATGACAGTTCATCATTATCTAGTCAATAAGTATTACGAGCTCACTAACGAACTAACTCCAAATAAGTTCGTCGTTGATTTGTACGCGGTAGAGGTGGGAGCGAGAGGTATAACAGTTAAATATCTCTGCAACCTACTAAAAGACTTGGGCTTGTCCAGAACTAACATTAATTCATTATTGGAACGTACATCGAAGGCAACCCTAGTAGGTTCTTTTCAAATTTGGTAGAGAGAGGAGCTTGGACAGTGGAGGTGAGCATTTAACGCGTTAGATAGGGCCTTAAACCTACACCTGGGTCACAAGTCCCAGTCACTGTTGAAGCTCCTCACTACAACGATAGACCCGACACCCGCATATGAATCCATTGAATGATGAGAGGTTTCGTCTCATTACCGCTATAATCTTGTAGAGAGTCTAATCGTAACTCCTCATATATAAGAACCAATTACAATAACCTGAATATATTTAACTGCTTAACATCTTGCCAAGTATTTTAATGACAGGTCATCATTATCTGGTCAATAATATCCATATAAATCATTACCGCTATAATCTTGCAGAGAGTCTAATAGTAATAGTAATTCCTCATATATAAGAACCAATTACAATAACCTGAATATATTTAACTGCTTAACATCTTGCCAACCAGTTTAATGACAGGTCAACATAATCTGGTCAATATAATCAATATATATCATTACCGCTATAATCTTCTCTTTAATTCCTCCAACGGGCAGCACTCGTCCAGTGAGTGTGAGCTCCCCGGTCATAGCGAGTGTGTTGGCTGGTCGTTGTAGCGCCAGGGACAGTAAGGCGGTGGCGATGGTCACTCCCGCTGACGGACCGTCTTTGGGAGTAGCTCCCTCGGGTACGTGGAGGTGAAGATGACTGTAATATGAATTAATAATAATAATAAACTTTTATTGGTTAAAAAATTATACCACTACAAAACAAAAATCAATAACGATAACGATAAGTGTGCAGCAGTGTAATCTAACCAAAAGGAGAACCACTCAGTGAAAAATATAAGCGAGGTGAAGATGACTGTATAATAATAATAAACTTTTATTGGTTAAAAAATTACACCACTACATAACAAACAACAAAATAAAAATCAATAACGATAAGTGTGCAGCAGTGTAATATAACCAAAAGGAGTGATTTTCAGTGATCTCGTAAGGTTGTTAACGTTATGGGTTGGTAGAAGCTGAAACTTGTAATCTCATCTTGCTATCAGTATAGTTAACTGAAAACAAGTAAGGTCTTACTTATATCTATTTTTCGCGTGCATTCAATAATAAAAATAAAGTTTTTCGGATACTACGCGTATTTTATAACTAAGTCTGCCCGTAATCACCGATCAGTAATTGAAACTTCGAGACTATATAGTCATAAAATAATGAAAAAACTCGCAAAAATCTTGATATCACTTAGACGTTAGTTTCAGTACTTATGTCAAGAAAAGAGGTAGTATAGGTTTCTTCATATATTAACTATCGTAACCTGGTGTTAAGATAAAAAACTCCCTAAAATTTTCATACTATTAAGACGTTAGTTGTTTCCAGTACTGGCAAGAAAGGAGGTAATTTATATTTCTTTATATATAACTAGCTTTCCGCCCGCAGCTTCGCCCGCGTGGAGCTCGATTATATCGCGTTTCCAAAACAACCTTTCAAAAGTCTGGCATAAAAACTATCCTATATTCTTTCTCAATATCAACTCTATGTCTATACCAAATTTCATTAAAATCAGTTCAGTGGTTTAGGCGTGAAAGCGTAACAAACAGACAGACAGTTACTTTCGCATTTATAATATTAGTATCTATGATCACCTGGTGTTAAGGAAGTCGTTGGTCGGCTGTCTGTCCTTCAGATAGTTTCTGGCTACAGTGAGCGCGATCCGGGCCGACTCCTTCATCACATCCCCCAAGTGACCCGTCAGCTCGAGCGAGCCGGATTGCTTCTCACCCTGCATAGTGTTGCGTACAGCCGTCTCTATGTATAATGTACTACCACCTGGAATATATTGGTATAAAGACTTTTAGTATTATATAAATAGTTCCATTTTAATAATGTTCCTGATAAATCTGCCAACTATGCGAATGTGATAGTGTTTTTGTAATTATTACCTAAATTCCTTATTCTTCTATAACATTACCTGAATATTTTTTTTGAGTTATGTTTCTATGAGACAAATCTGTACCAAAGTGCAAGTAATTCTTCCGACCATTCAATAATACAAACATAAAATGAGATAGGGTTGAATAAATAAAAATAACTGTGTTATAATTAAAATACAATAATAATTGAGTAGTTATGATTTTAGTTATGTTATGTATCGTCGGGGATAGTGTAAATTCTTCTTCTGATAATCTGCTTTCAATGTAGTAAATCTAAATCTACATTGAAAGCAGATTAATTATCAGAAGAAAGTATAAGCTGAAATAATTTCTATATTAACAACTTTTAATGTAATTTTTTCACGTTTAGTAATTATTTAGTGTTTAATTTATTAATCTTTACCCATAGCTGTCCAAGCTAGCCCCATGACAACTCCGGGAGGTGTGACATCATACATGCGGTCGTGTTTGAAGGTCGGCTTGCCAACTAATTCTGATAAGTTTTCATCTGTCACAGATAATGAAGATGTCTCTTTCTTTACAAGCTTGTAGGCTACTTTACGTGCAATCTGAAAAATAATATCATAACAATTATTTTATTATCTGTATATTTGCAAGCGATTAAATATATTCTTGTTTATACAAATATGCTAAGTGCAGATTATAAATGCGAAAGTAACTCTCGCTGTCTGTTACGCTTTCACGCCTAAACCACTGAACTGACTATAATGAAATTTCGTACAGACAGAGTTGATCTTGACAAAGAACATAGGATAGTTTTTATCCCAGACTTTTGAAAGGTTCTCTTGGAAACGCGATATAACCGAACTCCACGCGGGCGAAGCTGCGGGCGGAAAGATAGTATTCAATATAAAACCGCCATGCAGTTTTCATTACCTTCTCAATATGTTTCTGTAGATTCCTGACACCGCTTTCTCTGCAGTATGACTTTATGAGTGTGTGTAATGCTTCTGGTGTTATATTTATTTGTTCCTCGGTCAGACCACAGTTCTTGCGAGCCGTTGGTATCAAGTACTGCTGGGCTATAGCTAGTTTTTCTTCTGCCACATATCCTGTAAGAATATAAATATATATAAGAATTTTTCTCTACTATGGCAACTAAATAGTATGGAAATTTTATTGTTAGACACTTATATGGATGGTACAGAAAATTATTGAGGAACCTAAAGTTTATTGGAAATATATAATTAATCATTTCTTCATTACTAATAAGCTCAAGATTGAAAAGAGGTGGTTTCAATTTAGTTTTTTTCAAGCAAATATTTTTAATTTGATCTTTAGGCATTTATATATTCTTTAGATTTCTTTTAATAAATAAGAAATAAACACATACAAAAGAGTGTATTGAAAATGTAAAAAATTAAACAAACCTTACCATAAATATAATAGAGCTCAACTAATAACTATAGCTTGCCAATAAAAGGACCATATCACAGAAAATCATAGGAAAACAACTATATAAAATTTTTGCCAATGAAAAACAACTGGCAGCTGTAATCTTAGTCATAAAACAAATCCTTTGAATACTAAACTATATATACAGATAAAACTAATATTTATCAGATTTACTACAAATTTATAATAATTTTTAACAACATACTCCCGACGTTTCGGTTACTTTGCAGCAACCGTGATCACGGTCTTTGTATTAGTAGTACTTTGTATATTAGTTTTATTTCAACGAATCTTAGAACTCATTATACAGGGTGACTGGTGAATTACTATCGATACTTGAGGACGTGATATTTGACGATCATATATGACAAAATAAAAATTAATATAACATAACATAATATTAATAAACTTCTAAGTAAAGTTAACCAAAAGTTATGTAATTAATTACGCATCGAGTGAACACCCTACAGATTAGGTATACACACACACTCACACATACGCGTTTGGCGGCGTAGTGTTGTATCAGCACGCCGCCGCACGCGTCCACACTTGGAACACTTGGAACGTGTCAACACTTTATTTATTTATACGGAAATTTTGTCAAAAATTAAGTGCCTATTTTTTGTTACATAATTCGAATGAGAATCATGTACCGAGTATTCTCCTTAAATATTGATAGTAATTCACCAGTCACCCTGTATATACAGGTTCCCAAAGTGTACCTGACATTTCTATAAGTTCCATTCTGTCCCTCAGCGGTTCCGGTATAAGGTCGAGTACGTTCGCTGTACATATGAAGAGTACTCGAGACAAATCTACGGGGACATCTAAATAGTGATCCAGGAAATTGGAGTTCTGTTCAGGATCCAACAATTCCAGGAGGGCTGATGATGGATCACCGTGAACACCTCTGAAAAAACATAGTATATATATATTTATATATATAATTCTTCTGTGAGTGTGTATGTCACTGAACTTCTCTCAAACGGCTGGACCCGATTTTGATGATATTTTTTGTGTGTTCAAGGGGATCTGGGAATGGTTTAGATGCACAATTTTGTCCGTTGGACAATGTTTTTTTAATTAATTTTTAATTTATTAGTAGTTGTTGATACAAACGTTTCTTTTTGACATTAGATTTGACAACTAACTAATATGTCAATCATTCTGTCGCACTTCAAAACACGGAGATTTATGGCTTTAATAGGTAAACTCCAAAAATATAAATAAAAAAACGTAACAGATATTTCCTGATTATAGGGGAATACGAAGTTCGCAGGGTCTTCTAGTTTACATATAAAGAACTTCTCAGAAAATAATGTATAAGCAGTGTGCGAAAGAAACGCCGGCTAACTTTTGAATTCCCTGTCGTCGAGATGACATCACTCAAGGATTTTGTGTTGATATTATGTTCGTAATTAATTTTAAGGATATTAATCTGTCAGTAGTTTATTTTATTGTACTGGTGTTTGCAGTTCATTATTTTGTCCATTAATTAACCTTTTATATTTGTTGATTTTAATGAAAACCACGTTGTCGAATTGTCAGAAGCCCAATTGGCATTTTCTTTTAAAAACTTCAAACCCAATTTCTAAATGTATAAATATATACCTATACTATGTATGTATATGCCATAAAATAAAACTTAATATTAAAATGTAAATAATAATGCTGAATTATTATTTCAATACATTTCATTAAACTTATTTATAATAAGTCAAGTCAATATAAAACCATCACTAATATTCCCTACTAGCTGGCCCGGCAGACTTCGTACTGCCTCAATCAAGAAATAAATTATGTCTTATTTATTTTTTGGTGTTTACCTTTAAGCCATAAATCTCCGTGTTCTGAAGTGCGACAAAATGATTGACATATTAGTTAGTTGTCAAATCTTATGTCAAAAAAAGCGTTTGTATGGGAAATAGAAAAGGTCTGTTTTTAGGGTTTTCCCGGCAATTATTCCACTTTTTCTCACCTTTTATACCTTCCCTGAACCTCCACGAACATTTCAAGACTAAGATAAGACAAATCCGTTCAGCTGTTCTCGAGTTTTAGCGAGACTAAGGAACAGCAATCCATTTTTATATATATAGAAGATAGAAGATTAAGCCATAACAATTTAGAAGCACAGATTCATTACAGCTTTATATAAAACTTACTATTACTATCAATCAATGACCACAGATTACATAAAACAGTTGATAAACGTTACACAGTATAATAAACCATTATTACTAACTTGCTAATCTTATCAACTTCATCTATGAGTACTAATGGGTTTTCTGTGTTAGTTTTCTTCAAACACTGCACCAATTTCCCGGGCATAGCTCCGACGTATGTCCGTCTGTGTCCCTTAATCTCCGCAACATCTGTCATACCGCCCACTGAGAACCTGAAGTACTTACGGTTTAACGCTCTGGCTATCGAACGGGCTGTTAAAATATAGAAAACATTATTATTATAGCTTAATATGGAAAATGATATCGTTTTAAATAATAAAAAACTTAATGTATAAAAATATAAAAGGTTAATGATAGCAACTACATATATTTATGACCTTTAAATTCCCGAACGCACCCGAAGTGATGTTAAAACGTTGACATTTGGTTTGTTCACTTTTACGCGGGAAAGTATTTTGTCGACACGACTTGAGTCATTAAAATTAAATTTAACTTAAGGTGTTTTGGTTAAAGATAACAATAAATTTGTTGAAGTTAAAGTTTGATATGTTATTTAAATTACTGACTTTATAAGACAATTATCTTTATTACTTTTGTTAGAATCCTAAATATATACACATAAAAGTAAAATAATCTTCTATATATATAAAAATGGACTGCTGTTCCTTAGTCTCGCTAAAACTCGAGAACGGCTGAACCGATTTGGCTAATTTTAGTCTTGAAATACTCCTGGAAGTCCAGGGAAGGTTTAAAAGGTGAGAAAAATTGGAATAATTGCCGGGAAAACCCTAAAAACAGCTCTTTTCTATTTCCGATACAAACGTTTTTTTTGACATTAGATTTGACAACTAACTAATATGTCAATCATTCTGTTTGATTGAAACAGGAAAAACCTGATTATTTATGGCCTCTAAGACGGAATAGAGTTCGCCTGGTCAGCTATACCTACATATATTACTCTTGACCAAACTAACGCGAACGAAGTCGCGGGCAAAAACTAGTATTATATAAGTATTAATAATATAATCAACCAACCTATACTAGTTTTCCCTACTCCGGGCGGTCCATGGAAACACAGAATCTTTCCCTGTGTGCTGCCTTTCAATTGAGACACCGCTATAAACTCCAAGATACGCGTCTTAATATCCTCCATGCCATAATGATCTTCATGTAATATAACTTGTGCGTCTTCTAGCTTTAAATTCTCTTCTGATGACACACCCCACGGTAATGAAGTGAGCCAGTCCAAATAACATCGAGTCACACTGAAGAAAGTAATATAAAACATATATTGATACAAGTGGCGCCATCTGTGACGTACTAATTATGTTAAACTATAGTCCTTACAATTATTTTTATGACTGATTGTAATTAATTATAATACTGTACCATTGTTATTTTGTATGCAACATTTAAGTATCATATATTTGAAAATTATGAATACTGGCTTCAGCAATTTTATAGGATATCACTGGAAGTTATTGACAATCAAGTTTGACACTTTTTACCCCAAGAAATATATATGTCATATATTTTTAGTAGAAATTAAGGTACTACTAATTAAATATAATCAGTGCCGTAACTAGCGCGGTGCCAGCAGTGCCCAGGCATAGGGCACAGACCCTGGAGGGGCGCAGAAATGACCAGATTTACTAGTACTAGTTACTTCTAGTTTTATCTATATATACTTTGTTACTTTGGTACATAATAAATAGATAGATTTATTTGTATGCACATTTGTCCATTTTATTTTCGGAGCCTGATTAGAACACTTTTCAGGGCCGTAGTTTTGAAAACTCGCAGAGGGTGCATAAAAGGTTAGTTACTTCACTGAATACAGGGTGACTGGTGAATTACTATCGATATTTGAGGACGTGTTATTTGACGATCATATATGACGAAATAAAAATTAATATAACATAAATATTAATAAACTTCTAAGTAAAGTTAACCAAAAGTTATGTAATTAATTACGCATCGTGTGAACACCCTACAGTTTAGATATACACACACACACATACGCGTGTGGCGGCATGGTGTTGTATCAGCACGCCGCCGCACGCGTCCACACTTGGAACACTTGGAACGTGTCCACACTTTATTTATTTATACGGAAATTTGGTCAAAAATTAAGTACCTATTTTTTTTACACAATTCGAATGAGAATCATGTACCGAGTATGCTCCTTAAATATTGATAGTAATTCACCAGTCACCCTGTATAATTACAGTTTTCTTCACACTATTTATCTATACAACTGAAATAATAATTAACCAATTTTCACATACTATTAATGAATGTTATTTTAAAAACTAAAGGTCTTCTCAAACTGGACTTAACTACTAGATACATACATTAAACGTTATCAACCATACTAACTTGAACTCTGAACTATGACTTTCAAGGAAATTCAGTTTATTGAGCTCTTCATCAATCACTGTTTGAACAGCAGGTGGTACCACTTTATCTGCAAGCCTCTCACGGAATTTCTCACCAATGGCGTCTTTATCGTCCTTCTCAAGACCTAATTCCTTTTTAATAACCTGTTTGGAATAATTTTATTAACATAATATAAGTACCAAAGAAAAAGCTTTAGTTATTAGCTTATAAACTATATTAAACCTAAACTTGAGTTTTATTGAAATAAATTTTATAGATAGTTCACATTAAATAATTTAAAATGAAATAACTTCTTTAAAATCAGTGGATCTGTCTCCTTAATATAATATAATTGGATGTAAGCATGATTTTTCAACCATTAAATAGTTATGATTTATGATTTTAATATATATATTTTTATTCATGAACATTTAACTATTTAACAATTAAAAAAAATTGTAAACATTTAAACGAATAGGTGGCTCCCTCTTGCGTGTGTGAGGTCATTAATCATTATACATATTCCATTAAATTTTGTTCTTGCCATCCTCTCACAGAATGTTTTAATAAACGCGTCGTTTTTTGCACGTCGTTTTTTCGTCATGTGATTTTAATATCATATTAAACCACTTTTATTTATTTAAAAATTGTAACTTAGGTATTTTATGTGTATCGAAGAATTTATTAACTGATTTATTTGCAATATCATTTTCCTTTTAACCAAAATAACTGTTCTAACCTTGAGTTGTTCATGTAGTATATATTTCCTGTGCTGCTGTTTAACCTTTTCTTCAACTTCTTTACCAATTTTCTGCTGCAATTTGGACAATTCATATTCCTTCTTCAAGAGTGATAATGAAAGTAACAGTCTTTTTGGAATCTGCAAAATAGATATGTTATATATTAAGAATATTTTCACATATGTATTAGTTATTTATGGAAACCTAATTTTCAAACTCAGATATTGCAAGACAGAGACAGATAAAATTCAATAAATTAAATAAAATTACAAGATCGAAGTTCAATATGATGATGATTGGGTTAGGAAAAACAAAACAAGGCATTTCTTACCTCCCAAATAAATAATTACACCAATGTCATTGATGTTTAAAATTTAAACATTTACTAATTCAACTAAAACCAAGATTTTCGGATATTATTTCTCTATAAACTAATAATAAATAAAATAATATTAATATGTGTGGTTTCTTTACACCAACTTAGAAAATTAGGGGTTATGTACTTTTTTTTATATATCGCAGGGAAACTCTTTTTACGAGCCGTCCAACCGACCTTGGTGGGGCCGGAAGTAGGGTTATGTACTTGCAAGATATCAGAAAACCTTAAATTCATTTAATCCAATCTTGTTCATTATGTGCATTTATTTATTTGTTAATTTATTTATTTATGTACCAAAAGTAGAAACAGTAACATTATAATAAAAAAATGTAATGCACAAAAAATAACTTATATGTATATTAAAAAACATCTCTACCAGAAACATTTGATAGAGAAAACTAGAAAAAAAAGGTGTAGCTACAATAAAAAAAGAGGAGGAAAATATATATACATATATATAAAATTGCTGTTAGTACTACGCGAGTGATAATTTTTCACTTACATCCATTTCCTCGAGAACCGGCTGAAGGTCTTTAGGCTCAGCGGCGGTTAAGGCGGCGCCTAAGTCTGCGAGGTATACGGGATCGTCCACAACACGTTGACCTTGAGCTAACATGTGATGCAGAGATTCTCTAGAAAGGCAGAAAGATTTCATCATTTAATTTAAATAAAGGCTAGCCGTCGGGAGTACGTAGATTTGTACAAAAATAAACCACGCATAGTATATCCAATAAATATTAGTTTCATTTAAGATTTAATCAGCTTTTAGTACTTTTTCTACTTAAATTCTTATAGTCTTTACAACTAAACACTTTTATATCTAGAAATAATATATTCGGCAAGTTAAGTTCACCTTGTACTGAATATACTTCTATTTTGACTGTTTCATATGAATTTTTTTGTTCATATTATATTATATAACTTACAAATTTAAATAAAATATATACATTTTTGTTATGTCAATACAAACCTATACAGAGGGTTCATATTGATGATATCCCTGATGGTCTTAATGATCTCCTGTGTCAAGGCCTTCACTTCCTCGTTTTGTTGGAACTTCTCATGCATCATGTTCTCAACTTTCACCATCATCAGCTGATCGGGCGGAGGTTTCTTAGCATCCTTTGTATCCTGGACTTCCTTCTCTTGTTCCGCATCGGTGTCGTTACGTTGTCGTCTCGTGTTACGATATTTCCTCCTACGCCGCTCAGCGTCCGATTCTTCGCGGGTAACGTTAAATTCCACGTTAAATACGGGAAACTTTAGCTTCATTTCTGAAATTTTCACATTTCAGATATGAAGCTAAGTTCGAGAATTACAATGGGTATAAAATTACACATTTAGTTAACTCACCAGCCGGGCCAGTTTCTATCTCGTCTTCTATAAACTGGCCGGTGATTTTTATTCTTCTATGGGCCATTACTACTAGACGTAGTTTATAATCCATATCCTGCATTTCGTGGATTTGAGCGAAAACTCCAACATCATGAAGATCGTCCAAACTCGAAACAACATCAGATTTCTCATCTTCTTTCTTACGCAAAAATATACCAACATACGGCTGATTCAACTTCACTTTACGCCTTATTAAATCTATTAAAGCTGGATTTGATATCTGTAAATTAAATTGTATTATTATTAAGTATCCTCCTAATATTTATAATTACGAAAGTTTGTGAGTGTTTGTGTATGTTTGTTATTTCTTCACGCTCAAACGGCTGAACCGATTTTGATAAAATGTTGTATACAGGAAGCTGACGTCCAGGAATAACATATAGGCTACTTTACATCCCGGAAATCCGCGGGTAACACCGCGGGGCGCAGCAAGTATTTCAATAAATTTAACAAACATTCATCATCAACTTAGATTTATGTATGATGTCGTTAATGAGATGGTAATTTGTGGTCGTTTCATTGTAATATTTTATTGTCGAGACGGCTTAATTAATGATCGGCTTAGTGAATATTGTAGAATGTTCTCGACATTGATGCAGCGCCATCTCGTGACGAGTGGGCGAAAGTGTTAAATACGTTTACTAGAACATTCCTATTTTTAATGTTTGTGCTTACAAAGTAGAAATAGAAATGAGAATATTTTGGTATCTTCTAGTAATCGAAATTTGCTAGGTCAGTTTTCATTCAGTCTTTTAAGAAGCGACATACTAGTTATACCTACAATAGTACCTATCATTATAATAAAGTATTTTTTTATTTTTCCTGTTAAATAACGTATTTTAATTGATAATGAAATCCTAGCTCGCAACATTGTTACACAATAATATAAAAAACATATCTTCTATATATATAAAAATGGATTGCTGTTCCTTAGTCTCGCTAAAACTCGAGAACAGCTGAACGGATTTATCTTATCTTAGTCTTGAAATGTTCGTGGAGGTTCAGGGAAGGTTTAAAAGGTGAGAAAAATTGATTCATTTCCGGGAAAACCCTAAAAACAGCCCTTTTCTATTTCCCATACAAATGTTGTCTTTGACATTAGATTTGACAACTAACTAATATGTCAATCATTCTGTTCAATTGAAACAGGAAAAACCTGATTATTAATGGCCTCTAGGACGGAATAGAGTTCGCCCGGTCAGCTATACATATATTACTAATGACGAAACTAACGTGGACGAAGTCGCGGGCAAAAACTAGTATATTGTATAATTACTGATGCAAAATGAGATGATAAAAAAATATTTAATTTTATTTATGTTTCAATTTGTTTATTAATATTCTTTTTCAATTAATGTTTTAAGGCCATGAATACTTACATAGATATATATATATATATATATATATATATATATTGATAAAAATTTTATTAAAATATTATTACATATAATAAAACTTAGAGCACATTCCTTAGCCAAAAAAAAATTATGATTTCCAGAACTTTAATACTTTTAATTAACCAGTCCAGATAGTAATTCACCAGTCACCCTGTATAACAACTAACCATTTATATTCTCCAATATATATTGATAATAATATACACATATATTATAAACTTAATTATTTTTTTTTAAATTATGAAATGAAACCTCTAAACATTCTATAGATTGACCATGCGGGTGCCGGATCCATAGTTGTAGTGAGAGGAGCTTCAACATTGCCTGAGACTTGCGACCCAGGTGAAGTTTTAAGCCCTATCTAACATTAAACGCTCACCTCCACCATCCAAGCACCTCTCTCTACCTAACCAAATTTGAAACAAACTTGAATTAATTTACCTCAATTAACTTAATAAATCTCGGGAAAACTGGGTTCCTATTAATCGCAATAACGGGCACTTGCGGCCACACTTCGGGCACAGCTACAGTAGCTGGTAGCTGACTTGAGAACAATGGAGGGTCGTCCTTAATATCAGCTGTTTCTTCTTCTTCCTGGTTAGCCTTCTTTGAATAATGTCTAACATTCTGTACCTGTATACAAACAATACATTGTATACATTCTTATATTATTAAACAATTTTTATTTTCATACATTTTAGATTTCAAAGTAATTGGTTTATTTCTAATTAAGAATCAATGTTTAGTTATAAATATTTGTTTTTTTCTTCTATTATTGTTAATAATCACTATTGTTTTTAATTAAGATTATTATTTTGATTGAATTTATAATAAGAAGGTTGTAAAATCTAGGAGAGGAAAAACTGATTGTATAACTAAAACAACAAAGAACAATTGTAAAAAAAATTCTCAATAAAATTTAATCATTTTTTATATATATGTAATATTTCTAAGGAATATCACATGGAATATTTGTATGTGGTAGGCATGTGCCTACTTTGATCAGCTTTGACAATTAAAACATATTTAGGGTATATCTCAATTGAAGTTATTTATCATTATAAACAAAAATAAAAAAAATATTATGAGAACAAGCTGTAAATCTAGCTTAGAAATATTTGGTTGGACATAAGTCTAAAGTTTGAATCAATCAGTCGTTTTTGGCAAGACGAGTTGTGTATATTTTTTTTATATGCAGATGGCATATGCTACTAAAACGTTACACATATATAAACAATATATACAAGGAACAAAAGTCTGACCGAAGTTATTACTTATTTAGACTTGACATAGGACCTGTCACTTTTCAGTTTACACTAACCTTTTTCACGGACGCATATCCTTGGTTATACGAGCATATCCTCGCGTTGCGAGTTCCGTACAAATTGTGTCCATTAAGAAAACGATTTCCTGCCGGCTTGCAATATGATGCAATTTTGGTTACATTACGAACTGTTTGCGATGAAGGCCTAATCGAGGGATTAAGAAGTGCGGTATTGCGCACTAAAACACTCGCTATGTGCATTTTATTATTATTAATTAGAGATATACTTAAGTAACATAAAGCAGTTTCATTCAAAAATAAGTTATTTACTGGTTACAAAAGGTTATTTTTCCAGATTCTTCAATGTTCAAATTTGATATATATGTAAATGTCACAATGACATTTAAGATAAAAGGTTTGAAATAGTTGCCTATAAATATTAAAATTCATTTTGCTAACTGTTTAATTGATTTGATATTAATATTGAAATAATTATTAAATAAGTATAAATTCAATATAAAACTTCAAAATAATCAGATGAAATATAAATATTCCAGAATTTCATAAATGATAACGTTTATCTCGCCTTTTAGCCGGTCGTCAATGTCACTTTTTCTGAAATAATAGAAATGTCAGGCTAACATGTGGAGCATAAAATAAAAATATATTTGTTATATCTTGTTATAATTATCACTTTATACAATATATAACATAAACCTAATGAAATATATGCGGTTATTTCGACGTCTAAACACTGTTAGTTCCGTCAGTCATAGTTAAATAGTTGAAAAACATATCCAATTACTATAATAAGTTGTCTTCTCATAGCAAATTATGAAAATGGAAACATCAGGTGTAGAAGTAAACAAGAAAAACATAAAAGAAGGACAAGCTGAAATACTTCTTGCGTCAGAAAAAGTTTTTTATAATCCAGTTCAAGAATTTAATAGGGACTTAAGTATAGCAGTGCTCAGTATATTTACCGAAGATTACAAAAGTGAACAGATAGCTAGAAACCTTAAGAAAGATAAAAAAGTATGTGAAAATGTTTTCCAAGATGCTTCTGGAAATAATTCTGAGGTTTGTAAGATAAAAATGTTTCGCTTAAATTAAACACTTAAAACCTATAAAATATAAAATAGATAGTTTAAAAAAAACAATATTATTTAACTTTCAGGTGCCTATAATCATCTTAGAAGCATTGTCAGCCACTGGTCTCCGAAGCATCAGGTATGCCAAGGAAGTACCGAATATTACCAAAATTGTGGCCAATGACATTTCCAAGCAAGCCGTAGAAACTATACAGGCTAATATTGTGCATAATAATGTAGAAAAGCTCGTAGAAACCAGTCATGATGATGCATGGTGAGTTATTTTCTCTCAACCTTAATAATTAAGAAATAAATTCATTATAAATTAATACGTATTATTTATACAGTAGAAACTCGATTATCCAGCCCTCATTTATACGAATTCGCTATTATCCGGACTACAGACAAGTCCCGACAAGAAAAACTGTCAAAGTGTAAGAGAGTGGTCTTGTAGAGAGTGGTGTATGTCAAATGACAATTACCAAATATTCTAAACTAGATGAAACTTATTATTTCAATTCATGATTACCAATTTCAAATTACCAAATACATATTGCAATTTATTTTTAAATAAACATATAATATTATGAACTGCATATCACAAATTGCCTATCGATAACAATTAGTCCGGTTAATAGAGTTTCTACTTTATAAAACTAGCTTTCCTCCCGCAGCTTCGCCTGCGTGGAGTTCGGTTATATCGCGTTTCCAAGAGAACCTTTCAAAAGTCTGGGATATAAACTATCTTATGTTCTTTCTCATGGTCAACTCTATGTCTGTACCAAATTTCATTAAAATCAGTTCAGTGGCTTAGGTGTGCAAATGTAACAGACAGACAGAGTTACTTTCGCATTTATAATATTAGTAGGGATTTATATAAGAACAACTACCTACTTTTAAAAGTAATAAAAATTAATGTTTCTTTTTCTTAATCGCCAGCATGATAATGTATAAACACAAGCTCCCACTAAAGAGGTTTGCAGCCATTGATCTTGATCCATATGGATGTCCATCAATATTTCTTGACTCGGCTGTACAGAGTATACAAGATGGAGGACTTTTATTAGTGACGGCAACTGATATGGCGGTTTTGGCGGGAAACTCTCCGGAAACCTGTTATAGCAAATACGGGGCAATCAGTCTTAAAACCAAATGTTGCCATGAAATGGTAATATTTTTTAATGTTTTTCCTTAGATGATTTTTTTTATTATTCTGACAAATTTCATGTAAATTGCAATTTATTTAAATCATGCTAAATTTATATAACTTTTATTTAGATATTGGAGTTATAATAATATTGATCACATTTTTTTCATGTAAGGACCTTAAAATTTAAGTACCTATTCTTCAATGTTCGTAGTAATTTTATTAGAACAAAACATATTTTTACTGATTAACAATTTTCTATTGGGAATGTAAATTTTTACATTGATAGGAATCTAGTTTGAAACTTCCAGGAAATTATTACTCTTAATAATTATTCTTTGTTCAGGCATTAAGAATATTGCTGCAATGTATTGAATCACATGCTAACAGATACAGTCGATACATAGTGCCACTACTCAGTATATCAGCGGACTTCTACATTCGAGTCTTTGTGAAAATATATTCCGGGGCTATACATTGTAAGAAAACTACAAGGTATATTAAAAATATACATATATATATATTTAATGCTCATATAACATATGTCATATGATTGTTAAAAGAAAATTAATTGAGATATCCATTTCTGCATTTAATTAGCCACATATTTTTCATAACATGGTTAATAATTATAAACCTAATATACATTTCGAAAAATTTTTTATTTCAGTAAGTTGTCTATGGCATACCACTGTGTTGGATGTGACAATATCACTCTACAATCTATGGGTGGTTTTAAACCAAATCCAAGTGAAAAAAATCCACAACAAACTAAATCTTACCTACCCTCGGGGCCGCCTGTTAATGAATTCTGTCAACATTGTAACCAAAAGCATCATGTAAGTTGATAAAGCCAATATAAAAGAAATTTTTAACATTTTTTGCTATTTTTTATAAACTAGAACATTTTCATAAGCACTTTTAGAGTTTTTAAGTATATATTTCTATAGTCATCTCTTAAATAATTATTAAAAATGGTTGCTAAGACATATTTAAGTCAGATTTATAGAGACACTAACCATTATTTATTTCCAAATACAAAGAACATGGGAATTTAATAGAACTTTTGTTTGACTGTCAATAATTTAATAATTTAGTGCGCAATAATTATTAACTTCTATATACTTCCTTACTTAACAAAACATTCATGAAAGTGAATGTTAACATGTTTCATTATAACTACTGAACTTAATATATACATACAAATAAATGAAATAATAAATTATTTACAGTTAGGTGGTCCAATATGGTCGGCACCTATACATGATGAGGTATTTGTGAGCCGAATACTCACACATGTACAAAATAATCCGCAACTGTTTAACACTAGCAAGAGAATACATGGTGTTTTATCAATGGTTAGAGAAGAGCTTGAAACACCCTTGTATTATACGTTGGACAAGTTGTTTGGTCGAGTACATTTGGAGACGATGCCCATGTTGATTATGAGGTGACTTTTATATTATATTGAAGTACATTAATGATATACATATAGAATAATTCTTTGGGAACATGTATAATGTATGATTCTATGTTATTCATCATAAGATTTCAGGTTTCCTAAGTTTAGAATGTTTGTAGAAACTTAATTTAATAATGAATGGAATATTTGTAGAACTACATTTACGTTTAACTATTTTTTAAGTGTTGTAATATACAAAAATAAAGGAAAAATTGTCTGAAAGTTAACTGAGTACTAAATGTACAAAAAAGAAACTAGATTTCGCTTAATTTTATTACCTCAATTTAGATGAAGTTAATATGTATGTATATTTTCCTCATATTCTCTTAATATTTCTGCATAAATTGTAGTAGCATTAGCGGATTTTCTGTTTAACATTTTAATTATGTAAAAAGAAAAATAATAAGATATTAACATTCCACATATTTTTCTTTATAATAGACTTAAGTCACCATTAATATTTCTGTTTATATGAAACATACATTATGTATATTTTAAAATTTATTTCATACTATCCAGATCAGCAATACTTAACGCTGGCTACAAAGTATCATATTCACACGCCTCAAAACTATCAGTGAAGACGTCTGCTCCCTCGCATCTAATATGGGACATTGTAAGAACATGGGCCAAAACACATCCACCTAAAGCTGCAAAGTAAGAAAAACACTACTATTACTATATTTAATAAGATATTAATTCAAATATAATTGATAACCTCCGTTCTAGAATCAATTTGACTGATTATGATGAACCTTTGCATATTACTCATGCAAGAATAAGATAAAGATTTTGTAGTATATAGTTACTAGTAAATAGTAAAGTCATTTCATGTTCTATAGCCATAAGAATCTTTTACTTCTAGATTCGTCATATATTTATAACTATAAATAAATATTCATAAAATGAAACTAATATTTTTCGCATTTTACTTCGCGTTTTATTTTTGATTAGAAAACAGTAACCGTGATCGCGGGCAGACGAGATGTGAGTATCTGTGTCTGTGTCTGTGTGTCTGTGACTGAAAAGTAGCCGAAACGTCGGGAGTATGTAGTCTCATATTCATAAAATCCCAGGTTAGAAGCGGATCCAGTGGCTAGATTCCTATTGCAGCAAGATATACAGAACCACATTGATCTCAGCGAACGGCCAGATGCAAACCCCATCAGTAGGAGGGATGGTCAATTGAGGTTCCAATTGAACCCTGCCCCTCACTGGGGTCCTGGATCAAGGGCTGTTGTTAAGTGAGTTATATTTAATAATATTTATATAGTCTTGTGTAGTCAGTTGTGACCTAGTGGTTAAAAGTCCCGCCTCTCATACATGAGGACACGGGTTCGATCCTGACAAGTACCAATGTGATTTTTCCGAGTCATATGTACTTTCTAAGAGTATTTAGATATCACTGATTAATGCATCCAAAAAGAGGGTTGATGTCAGGCAGGCGGCTAGTTGTAAAAAAAATTAACAAAAAATATTCACAACATCTAAGGCAGACCCTGGTTAAAGCTGGAAAATTGCCAGGAAGAAGTAGAAGATATAAAATAGTGTCGTATATCGATATTAAGTCAATAGTAAAGGCAAAGCCGATAGTTACTATAATCTATAGATATTCTGAATAGTTTTCGAGGTGAACTATACATTCTTCTGCAACATTTTATCTTTAATATAAAATAACAAAATTATTAACACAGATAAAATCTTAATTGTCAAATAGATTCTAGATTGTCCATAATTGATTAGAATTATCTATGGTTATTGAATATTCATATTACCAATTATTCGTTATTAATAAATAGAATCAATCGTCCTATATTAAAATACCACTATGATAGTTGCAATGAAAAAAGCATGTCATATTTTATTACAATGTGATATATAACACTTATTGACTGATACATGTTTGTCGTAATGACAATAAAAATAAACACACTAATTATTGATTAATGCAAATGTATAAAGATTAATTTTTCCTTTAGTTTCTGGAATAATTCATATACAATTTAAATCAAAAAAAAATACTAGTAATTTGTTGTTTTTTTGTGTTGTCAGAAAATATCGTAAGAAAGAAAGATTTATAAAGTATTCTACATGCTTATAATAATGTAACAAGTTTAAATAAATCATCTATTAGAATAAGTCACGTTTTGTGTGGTTGAAACTTGTATGTAATAATATTATTTAATTGTTTAGTGTCGGTGACGAGAAAATATCAAAGGCCATACGGAATCAGAATAAGAATATCAAAAGAAAACAAGCTGAGAAACGTGAACATTCTCCCACTGACGAAGAGACAAGGAAAAAAATTAATAATGACAATGAAACTACAGTTGTGTAAATAATAAAAATATTTTTTGAATATATTATATTTCAAACAAACAATATCTGTTCATTTCTTTTTAACCTTTGACAAATACGTTAACGTTTAACTGACATTACATCATGTAAAGGCATAACGATATCTTTTACACTTAATTATATGTTGTTAAGCAAAACAATTTTAATATGTTCATATACATTTATTTATTTTAATGCTTCATTCGCAATATACATTTATAGTCTTGAATACTGATACAGTTGTTAGTTGTCAAAATGTAACGTCAACGTCAGAAAAGTCAGCATTAACATTAGGCAATCACACAATAGAACACCTTCACGTTATAATTCATAAATCACAATGCATCAGTTACTCGGGAACAACAAAGACTAAAAGTTAATGTAATACAATATCCACATAATAGTCGTTATCATACATAAACTCAACTGCGCACGTGCTTGTTTATCGTGTAATTTGTGTTACTTTTTCTGACTTATGAACTCTACCCTATTTATCAAGTAAATGTTTTTTTGATAAAAATGAAGTTTCCTTCACCTATATGGATGCACGTCAAGTCGTTCTTGATTTTAATTCTATTATCAGTTGTGTGTGGCCAAGATAGAAAGGTAATGTGTTTTTACTATTTATTACTACCCGAATTTGTTAAACTATTTCTTGCTTCCTTGTAATGTAAATGTGGTAGTCTATGTTTATAGTTAGAATTAAAAAACTATGCATTTAAAATTAATTTTTAGTTATGTATTTTTTAATATTTAAATAATTTGTTACACAGATAACTTCAAAACTAAATCCTGGCTGTAATACATGTTCAGCGGAGACAACTTTAGTGTATGTAAGATGTGATGGATCAGCCGACTCTATTCATCAGATTTGGGACTTTACAAGACATTTACCAACAGTTATATTCACAATTGCCTCATTAAATTCAACTTTAAATGTAACATGGGATGGAAAAACACCAAAAAGTTTTGCACTGTCAGAGAAACCTCATTACAGCTTTGCTACTGCTATTGATAAGGTAATTTTAATAATAATCATAATATTTATTATTACTACAATTTAATACTATTTGAATATAATTAAAAACTAGGATGTCAAAAAAATATACATACAATTTGTAGGTAAAAGTTTCAAATTACATATTATTTAAGTACTATCTACATTGTGTTCCAAATTTAAATCTATATTTTATAGTCCCTATAACTATTCTTTGAACAGGAACTGCTGCCCACATTAATGCTTATACAAATGACTATCATATTACATAATGGTTATAATCATATTTCCTTGAATCTCAAACATAATGATTCATGTAAATAGTAGGGGTGTACATTTTATTGTAAATTCAACTTTATAATCATGTCTTTCGGTTCATTATGACGCTAGCAAGGTTAAGGAAAATAGGTCAATTTAATTCATAACTTAGAAAGTTATTTTATTTAATTTTTACTTGTTATATATTTCTTTAGGATATGCCTAGTATTCACTTTATTATTTAAAAAACGATTGAGTTTAATTATTTGTCTAGGTTAGGATAAAAGATTTTTAATTAAATTCATATTCATAATTTTTCAAAATGACTGTTTCCTAACTTGATTGTAATCCAAATGTCCTTTTTTAAGCATTATAATCAATATGAAAGATTTTTTAATGATTTACACACAAATTAAAAAAAAGTTTGTATATATAGACAATATTTAAACCTTTACAGCTATATGAATATAATGATTTGGACGACAATGGCTTTATTGTGCCCAAGTATCCACAACATGAGTACAGTCTTAGCAAAGTGATCTGGCACCTCAATGAGAGCAGATTTGCTGACAAGGAAGTAATGGTGTATTTAAATGGCTTTATTGACGATGAAAGAATCCGAGGCATCATCAATATTAAGGTAGGAAGGGTTCGGAGTAAATGGATTAGTCTTGAGTAAGGTTTCTAAACTAATTAGAAACATAAGTCCGACTTAACCTGCTACAGACTGAGTTAATAATAGCATTTTGTTATTTAATTTTAAACTTTAAATCTTCTATCAATAGAGATTTATATTCTGACATTTTATACTCAGAACTGACCTGAATTTTCTCTATTTGTTTATTCAAACTTAATGCTTCAAATTATATGCAGTTCAATATTGAAAATAATATTCTCTTTTTTATTATAAATTTACACTGTAGCTGAATAATTTAAGTTTTCTGTTTCTGATTACGATTATTGTTAAAGGCCACTTTATTTTGGCGCATCAAAAATATGACATCCATAGAAATATTTAATAAAATAATTAATTCTTTTATTATTTACTAGCTGGATCTCATTCCATTCAAAGATTATGCGACAGACCTGCCACATTTAATCCACACAGCTAACTCGACACTATTCGACATCAGCTTAACAAATCTCACAACTAGGTCGCATTATAATGCCTCCCGGTTTGCCTTGCATCTATTAATGATAAGTACGGATCATGTAACCGATACAATGCATTTCACGATGAGAAAGAGTCTTGATGACGAACATACTCCTGGAGTGTTCGAGGTTAGTATTATTAATTCTATTACCTACATTGCCATATCCGTTTCCTTTGTTACAAGGAGATATAATATATATTCAATTTATTTTTTATCTTTAAATTACAATTTACATGTATTAAAAAATATATAATAATTATTTTTATAGTTAATCTCGGGTTAGAAAAAATATTCATATGTTCACAAGCAAGCGATATTAATACTACATATAAGTCATTACAATATGAAATATTTTGTTCTTCATATGAATTATCATAAAACTATTGACTGTATATCTAGTAGTTATTATTTTATACAATATTATACTCTATTCCCTAGATAATAGAGATCAAGACCCCATCATTGTATAGTACTGGTGAGGGCGGGTACCTCCAGTTTCGTCCCGTGGGCTACACTCAGCCGGAGCGCGGCGTCGCAAGCTCTACTGTGGCGCATGTGTCAGATTTTAATAGGTAATATAAACCTTATTCCTTAATACATAATGTTTAATTTAACAGTAGTATCGAAATGTAATGCTATTAGTGAACGCTGATATTATGTAATAAACTTTATTGTTTAGAAAATAGAGTTGTAAATAATTTTATGCTTTGTATAAGGGCAGTAATTTTTTTATATAAATTAGTGCTATGGGACTTTAATATATAATTATTCATTTAAAATACTAATGGGTAACTCGTTTAATAACAACCAACGTTTTACTAAAAGAAATAGTTCATAAACAATTTTATAAGATGTTTGTTTACATTGATTTTTTGATTTATTTTTAGAAGAAAGTAAATTACAGATACAAATATTAATAAGTATAATAGGCTGTATATTTTTTACCGTTAAATTTCTAGAACAACGCTGCCTTACCGTAGTACGTTAAGGCTTTTCTACGGCGGATCTGACATAGCTGACTTATTAGTACAGGATATGTTTGTATCGTTCGGTGAAAACGGTGACGGATTTTACAAACAACACAATTATACAGCTTGGTGAGTTCATATTTTTGAAATTGGAATACCTTATAAATTATAATATTATAACCTTTTTTGAGAAACCTTTTTTAATGTTTATATAAACTTTTTGGAGAAACCTCTTTAAATGTTTTATTCTATATTCTTAATCCAAATTTAGAATCGTCAAAAATACAGAGTTTAATTTTATACACACCTAATACATAATTGTATCAAGATGAATGAATGAAATAGATTTATTTTCATTATGAGTACTTTAATATTTTAAATTATGTTTTATATAATGTATATATGTTTCTTATACAGGTCGTTCACAATAGGTTACGGTACACCACCAGTGGAAAAATTCTCACTCTTCGTTATAATGATTATATCTATAGGACTTGGCGTACCTTTAGCACTCGCATTATCTGGTATTGTGTATGTCGTTTTAAGACGGTACAGACAACGATCTATAACGAGATTCACTAATGAAGACTAGGCTTTATATAGCTATATATTGTGATCCATTGCTTTTTATTATAATTTTTTTCATTTAACTAGGAAAATATAAATGGAATTAATAATTAATGACGACCAAGCTATGGCTGTATGTAGATCTGTTTATTATATTTGGATTTGTTTAACAATGTCTAGTTATTAAATTTAGTCTTCCGAGCTGAAATGAAAAATATCATAATAGTAAACACACTATAGAATTACTGAAACAATTAATAATAAATCCATATTAAGTTTAATAATGCTCTAAAAATGATGGTTTCCAACATATAAGTACTTATTGATACATTTGTATAATATTTTAATTTTTTTAGTATTTGTGTACAGCATATATAAGTTAAATGTAATGTAATGAGACATTGTAAATTTTATTTTTAATTTTGCACCTGAATTTAATTAAAGGCTCTTCATCTTTGATCTCAGGATATTACTAAAGGACATTTAATATGTATTTATTTGATGAAACTAAATTATCACCCAAAAATTTCTTTATCTAGACATTGTAATTTATTTGGCTATGAATTTTAATTGTTTTTTACTGTCATTACATACATAAAATTTTTCTTATTATAATACATTTTTAATAAGAAGATTTAAAAACAGAAGCACATGTGTAAAAACATCTTGATTGTTAGCTAATTTGTATATTCATGTTGTAAATATATTGGTTTAATTAAGATATAATTATTGTTATAAAATTTTTGCTATCTTCCTTTAAAAGTTTTTTTTCTCTACTTTCATATATTCTTTCATTATACAAGTATTCTTAAATTGGTATGTTAAATATGAAAAGTATGTCTTTTGTTTCTATTCTAATATTGAAATTGTAGTTGAATCTTCGTTTATGTTCTTATTACATTGTGATATTACCTATTTATTGTATAAATGTATGATAATAAATTAATGTATAAATCTTGTTTTTATTTTCATGATATGTAATCCTCTTAGCTGTTTTGTACAGATATGTAATTGTTATATGTTGAATTGCAATTATATACTGTGGATCCAAAATAAAAAATGATTAGCAAAGTAATTCAATTAAAATAATTATTTTTATTGGTTTAAATTACTATATATGGATAAAGAATTTAATTTAAATTATTTACACTATACGATCTCGCAGATAAATGTCGAACCATTAAAATATAAAGGTCTCTAACTTTTTTGTCAAGTAGGTTGAAATATTAATGTTATTTTCTAAAAATTTCAACCAGTACACTCAACTATTAAGAACCACGATCCTAAAGCACATATTCATGTTAACTATTATTTTAGCTTAACACAAGTATGAATTTCTTACCAAAAACAGTTTAAAATGTAATAGGTCAATGAAACATTATACCCCTTTAGGTAAGTATCGAGTGACTTATAAAATGATTAACAGCCAATAGGTTATGACTTATGAACTATAACTCATTTTCAAAAAACGAACTTTTATGAAAGGAAAGTCGGTAAATATATTTTCAAGGAAATTAAGTAAATGGTGTTGTGATTGAGCGTAAAGTAAACAACAATAGATTAAAAATGATTTTAATCTCCATCGATAAAAGTTAGAACAATGTATTTTATTAATAACATTGTTCATTTTAAAGTCAACAACAACGATGTTATGATTCTTTCAAGTCAAACAATCTAAGATGGCGCGTCTGTCAAATTTAAAATTAGCCCAGGATGGCGCTACGAAATTGTAATACGAATTATCTTCAACATCATCTATCGGACTGTTATCTTTATTTACCGGCGAGAAATTATTCGTATGGACGTTTTGCGGCGTAAATAATTGACGTTTGGACATTTTTCCCGCCTTCCTATTACCGTTCGTTTTGGTGACGCTGTGATTCTTGTATACTTTTTGATTAGAATTCTGCTGATATTCCTGAATTTCATTTTGCAGTCCTTGCGAGATAGTTTTGTTTTTGTTGTGAGTCATATCTATATCGCCCATTGATTTATGGCGGGTGCGCCTGAAAACTTTTTGATGCCTTTCAGCCACCCAGCGTCGTATGCGTTTTACGAACGGTAGCACCATGAAAAATGCATTCGGACTGACCCCCATTTTAACTTTGGGCGTCATATCTTTTCTGTTCGCTGGTAAATCCGCTATTGGAAACCATTCACAGGCCTTAATCTCATTCCTTGTACGCGGCTGAAACTTTGTATCTCGTGATATATTTCCTATAATATACAATCTAGCGATTTGATCGTGAATTGTAGCCTCAATATAATCTTGTTTGTTAATAAGGTTGCTTATATCAAAACCAGTTTCTTCTAGCACCTGTAAATAAAGGGCAAAATATTCAGCAAAAATAAAATTAATAAGTACCGAGTCAAGACAATTAGTTTTTATGAAGGATTTTTTTTTACATATTTATGTACTTGTACTCCATTATTATGAAGAAAATTAGCTGAATTAAAAAAATCAAAAGTTACATGATATTATATTTAAAAATTATATGAATTTTATGGAATGGTGCAATGATGTAATAAAGAATAAATTTTAATTAATTTATTAATTATGTTACTAAAACAAAACTTCCTTTTATTGTACTGCAAAACTTGCACAATGTGATACATTGCTATGAATAATATTTAAAACAATCATCTTTCAAAGTTTTCTCAATGAATAAAATCTAATTTGAAATGTTTGATATAAATTTTTTTCTACAATAATATGTGATCCATTAAAATACCTCTCTACTAGCACATTTCCATGGTTCCTCGTCCTCATTGACCTTGCCTTTAGGGAAACCCCACGACGCCTTAGCCCAATAAGACTGAACCAACAATACATGAGTCAAGTCAGTATCGAGCAGGATCGCTCCATATGTTGGAACAGTTTGCTTATATTCCCTCCAGTTATCCAAAACCTCGTCAAGATTCCTAATATGCTCACGAAGTGTAGGGACATGCTACCAAAACAAATTATTTATTTGTTTATTTTATTTAAACATGTATAATCAAATTAATGCCTTTATTAATATGAGAAGCAATTTTATTTTCTTGTAAAAAACTTATCTTAATTTGTATTATTACGAAAACGAAGATAAAGTTAGCAAAAAGTTTCCTTTACATATAAAAACAGAAATACTGAACAAGTTTTATCACATAATTCTTCTTAATTTATATTCACCCAAAAAACATTGCAATATACTGTTGTATAAGCCAGTCATATCATATATTATTTATAGGCTAATAACTTAATATTTACCTGAAATATATGTGCTGCAAATTCCCTGATACCACACGGGTTGAGTCTTGTGCTTTCGTCGGTGCAATAATAATCCAGGTAGAACCAATGTGCCAGTTCTATTTGGAAACAGATACGAACCAAATTTGCTTTGTCTTCAGGCGGAAGATTTATTATAAAACGACTGTAACATTTAACTTCTTTAGTATAAAATTGATTGATTTATCATGTTAATATTTTAAAGCGATATATAACCTTAGTCATGTACGTAACATAAAGTATAATTTTTGCTAGCATGTGGAACAAAGTACAGTTTTAAAAATGTTATCCTACCTGCAAAGATCATCTAAAATATCAATTGGAATTGAATGTTTGTTTTGGCGTATATTTCCTTCTGATGAAGCCATATTTTTCTATTTTTTTGTAATCAGAAAACTCTAAACGCATTCAATATAATTTTGATAGTTTTTTGGATTATATCAATAAACATATAACTTAAAAAATTATAAGTTAAAAGTCCTTAAAGGATAATGCGCATTTGTTTGTCAATACAAAGATTAACACAAAATCATAGGTTCTTAAAAGTCAAATTACAAATGTCACTTCGGATTCAACAAACTCATTTCTAGAAAGTTTTTTAACATAATTATGAAAAAAAAAGTTTTAATTATGTTTTATAACTAATAATCTTAATATTCTTTTAAACAAAGACTCTCAAAATCAGGTAAAACAAATCACAGTTTACAGTGTACGTAGGCGAACAGAGGATTCTGCTTAATCTTATAATAGGCTAATCTATGTCAAATTTAATTTTTAACTTTAATCGGATAAGTTTCAAGAAACAAGACTTCATGTACACTTGTACTTTTTAAGATAATAATAACTATTATAATAATAATTTTCTTTGTTATTATGTTGATACGGAAATCAATTTGCCATGTGTCAACGCATAGAGTAATGCAATAGGTAAAATGTCAACGTCATATCACAAAAACAGAAACAGCGTTTTCTTTACTTGTAGTCTTCATAAATTTTGGACTAAATAAAACAAAAAATATGGATATAACTCCATTATTCAAAGCATGTATAAAAACCGTAAGAACACGGAACAAAGCTTTCGGTATTCACAGTCCATCTAGTGAAGATAAACAACGAATACTTCGAACTAAACCGAAGACTGCTTTCATGATAACAGCTAAGGATATAACATTACAAATAACAAAATTACGCGACTTTATGCTGGAGCACAGAGAAAGATACTTAAGTTTCTTTAACAGCGTTACCGGAGATGAGATGTCTGAGGCTGAGCGAGATCAAATAGACACAGGCGCGCAAAGAATCATTAATACATGTTCACATCTACTCAAAGAGTTCAGGAATGACAATCGTAAGGTTTCTGTCTCCCAGCAGACACGGGATTACATGGATGCAGTTATAGACCTAATAGATTCATATTTAAAATCTGTTTGTAAAATACACAGTGAATTAAAGGCGTTAAGAGTGAAAAGGGCACTTGACATTCGAAAATTATCCCGCTTAGAACAGCCACAGATTAAATCGAGCATTCCAAATCCTTTTATAGATAATAAAATTATAGAACAGGAAGAAGAGAAAGATGAAGAAAATGTAGAAGAAACGGATAGTCGGAAAACAAAAATGGACTTATCAGAAAATGATGTAGCTGTTATGTCCGACCAGGGAGAACTTAGTGCTGAAGAATTACAAATGTTTGAATCGGAGAATGTTCAATTGTTGAATGAACTGAATAGTATGACTGAAGAAGTTCGTCAAATAGAGAGCAAAGTGCTACATATAGCAGAATTACAGGAAATATTTACAGAAAAAGTATGTTATTTTTGTTAATTCAATAACTTAAAAAGTATACTAATTTGTTATAAGTTATAATTATGATTTAGGAACAAATTAAATGCTAAATCAGTCACTTTATAAATAATAGTTATTTTTATGTATTAGTTATGCATGTTAGATATTGTTAAATTAGAATTATGATGTCATGGGTAATGTAGATTACTTTACTATATTAGTTGCTGTCATTCAGTTTGCTACAGCACAATACATATATGACAAATTTAATATAGTTTTATTGAATACTACAGTTATAATATATATTTTTTGTTGTAGGTATTACAACAGGAACAAGATATCGACAGGATAGCGAATACAGTTGTTGGAACGACCGAAACTATGAAAGATGCCAATGAACAAATAAAACAAGCCATTCAAAGGAACGCCGGCCTTAGAGTTTATATACTATTCTTTTTGCTCGTCATGTCATTTACCTTACTTTTCCTGGACTGGTATAATGAGTAATTCATCAATGCTCAATCAATGTCCGCTGTAATAAATAACTCAAAGCATCAAACAATTTTTCTGTTCTGGTTGCTTCTGTTAGGCTTTTTCGTTTAATTTATTATGTGTGAAATAAATTGTTATTGAATTTAATGGTATGTTTGCATTTATTTATATTAAATGGACTTTAATGTGTAACATATATGTTTTAATTCCAAAATATTTGTTATTTCCAGAAGGCACGTTGTCTAGATCTCATTAAAATGTTCTATAAAAGAGGCTAAGAAACTCATTTTGTCTACTGGCAATTTAAGAATAAATTCTGTTTTATCCCCCCAATTTTTTCATCTACTGAAAAACCACTATATCTTTACTAGGTAAATGAAATTACAAATCACCACCCTGACCTCTTTTGGTCGCTTACCAACCGCCTTTAGACGATCACCCACTTTTGGGAATCTGAATGATCATTCCATTCTCATAAGTCACGTTTCAAGTTGCTCACTAAATAAGATTAAATTATAAAGAGTACATAATTTTTGATGTCATCATTTATTTATATCCAAAAATATATCAAAGAAATTAAATATTTCATCAAATTAGCGTTATCCGTTAAGTATTATAATTCAATAATCTATTCAATTTTCGGTAGGCTAACACTATTGAATCTGCTAGAGTCCACTATTGTGATTACACGAAATAGGAATTTAACTATTCGTAATCATTAGCAGAAACTTGTATTTTTTTTATTTATTTTATCCATATCTGCTAGCTATTATGATTACTAGTTAAGTTTAGTTAGGTTAAGTTGTTTTATTATGTACCTAGTTACTATGCTTTCCTTGTTTCCCTGATACTGTTGAATTCATAGGCAAATTGGAAAAAAATCAGCAAACAGAACTAAATTAACTTAATTATTTACTTCCTGCGTTTTTAATAAAACTTAGCTAAAATCTAATATTTTATGTTTAGGAACCCAACAAAATATCAAAAAAAAAAACTTTTCAATGATCTGTATGTTTTTTGTATGTAGGACCTTTTCATGAAATCTGATAAAAGAAGTTACACGACGATCTTGAGTGAAATAATACTTCTTCAAAGAGATTGTTTGTTACTGTAAATATACATGATTGCTGTTCAGAACTTTTGTTCGAAAGCTTTTACATTTAAGGGATTCATAGGCTTTGTACTCAATTCGTTAAATTAATCTACCATTGCACTATAATTCTTTGACTACAAATTATCCATTGCCTTAAAGTTTAAGTAAATTATTATTTAGAGATGTTTTTTTCTCATGTTCTCATTTTTTTGACCTGATAATCTTAACTGTCTTTATAAATGCAGTCATATATGCCTATTCAGTAGTACATATTATGTAGTCAAAGGTACCTACTGTTTCTCGTCTTTCTTAGAATAACCATATCATGATTATTTTGTTGTTTTACGAATATTCCTTTTATCTAAAATAATTTAAGTATTTATTAACCTTCATTGTAACCTCATAGTTTTTTTTTAAGTAATTCCAAGTGACATTGGCAGAATAATTTGTGCAAATGTATGATACGGTTGAAAGACCGGTGTCATAACAAAGATTAAAGAATTGAATTGATTGGGTCGAGAAGTTGTTATCTCCCTATTTACATCTTTTAGGAAATGACAAAATAAATGTTTAGAATACAAAGTGTAATTAAGTCATTTAGAATATTAGAATCAATATTAGTATCAAAAAAATCTGACTTAAATTTTATCAAAGTCAACGTTATGTCGTCTACTAAATCCATTTTAGATTTGGGATACACATTTAATTCTGGTAAAGTATTTGCAACTTAAGTTAAGTATTACTATATTTAGAAGTTAATGGCATGTTATAATTTTTTTAAGAGGGTCAGTTAAGAAAAATAGGAGAAGATGGGCAACCTAGTAACGAATCTTTTGAATTTAATATAAGTAGTGATCATCAAGAGTGCCAAGCGAATTACGAGGTACTTGGCGCTGCAGTAACTGACCATATATACCATCTCTTAGAAACAGAGTTGAATCTTATAAGACTGCCTGTACCTAAAGGGAGTACAGAAAAAAATGGGACTTTCATCTTTGTCTCTCCCGAATTTGATAAGCAAGATGTCTTATTAGTTTTAATTCATGGATCAGGCGCTGTCCGGGCAGGACAGTGGGCACGTTCGTAAGATAAACATTTGACTATAACACTAACTTTCAGTGTATTTCAGAAAATGAATATAATTTTTGCTTTGTAGGCTTATTATCAACGACTGTTTGGACACTGGCACACAAATACCTTACATAAAAAAGGCACAGGCGAAGGGCTACGGAATTATTGTGTTGAATTCCAATGACAATTTCAGGGGGGATAATAAAATTTCCCACAGCAGTAGTGCCGAGGAACATGCCAATTATGTTTGGAAGACTTATATTAAACCCACTAAAGCTGCTAGTATATTAATTGTTGCACACAGTTATGGCGGAATACTTACTGTTTTGCTAGCAGATAAAGAGAAAAAGGAATTTGAGAAACGGGTGAAGGCTATAGCATTCACTGATTCCGTTCATGGTTATTCTGGTGTCAAAATTTCTAAGTATCTCAAACAAGTAAGTGTATACCATTATTTTATGGGCTCGTATTACTATATTTACTAACAAGATAATATTTAGGTTTCAAAAAATTGGATATCAAGTACTTCTCCTCTGGATACTCCGATGAAAACACCAGATTTTGATATCACAAGAGTTTCAGCAGGTATTATAATCATTTTCTTTCTATAATTTTAGCTAAAATTTCTCTAATTGTTTTTGTTTTCAGGTCATTCGAAACATGAAATGACGTCCTGCAAGTGCATAGACTCAGTTTTTAAATTTTTTGATGAAAAATTGAATGAAAGTTGAATTATTTACGCTTGTAAGCTGAAAATTGTGAGCAATATGCACAAATTACCCATGGTTAAGCTTCATATTAATCTCATATATATAAATACAAATATTCCAAAAATGTTGACTGCTTTTGATAAAATGGCACATTAATAAGGTTGTAACAATAAAATAACAAAAGACTGTAAATAAGTTTATATTTTAATATAAATATAACAAATAAACATTTATTTTTTCTTCCCTTTAGAGTAATGCTTCATCCAATATTTGATATCCTGTTTATTAGCTCTTACTCCTAGGACGGCAGACTTTGAGTTAACATCTTTCATGACAAATGGTGAAAATCCAGCGATATAGTCAGGGTCGAGAGCATTTGTTTTACTACGAGCCAATTTTGTGGCGAATGTTTTGTGTATGTGTTGATCTTCCGTAAGTATAGGGTACTGGAAATGTTGCCCGCCTCTGGGTGTCGGTAAACTGAATCTCTTACCCCTGGCTGTGAGGGGTTTTTTTCCGTTTATATGTATATGTTGATTGCCATCGTCATCCACACTTACAGATACCTTCTTGAGAGTAGCATGGCCACATTTGGGACAGAAGACTTTAGTCATAACGCTTGTTGTTTTAAAACATGTGGTGCAACGAAAAATGAATGTTTTTAGATATTTTATTACTCTACCATCGATGGATGTAACATTCAATCCTATTTGTTTCAGTACATTCTGCATGGCAAAATCTGATGTTATGCATGCAACTTCGACATTTTTATCCTCAAATTCTCCGTCTTCTATTTCTTTTTTCTTCTCTTTAAGGTTCCCCGGTGTTATCCAGTCATCATCATCACTGTCAGATTCTTCATCAGTTTCTTGACTATCACTGTCTTCTTCGTCGGAGACTTTTACGATACAATCATTGACTTCCGATTCTTCTCTTAAGTCCATATTCTTTATCTGCTCAGCGATCTCCTCAGCTAATTTATTGTCATCGTCACTTTCATCCCCGTCTTTTGAAGTATCAAGTTTATTTTCAGTATTTGTTTCATTTGTTGGCTTACTGTCATCTGTGATACATTCTTGGACGTCCCCTGAGCTTTCGCTATCATTTTTTTGATCATTTGTTTCCGATATATGTTCTTTTGCTTCTGTGTTATTATTAAAGGCAGGTAAACCGCTGACTTTAACAGTCCTTTGCATCGTAGGTTCTGATTTTAGATGATTCGTACCAACAAATTCTTTTTCCATTTGATATGTCAGAGCCATAACTTTTATATCAGTCGCTGAGAGACTGGTATAATCGCCAGTCTTTTTTGAGAATTCCGTAATAAACTTGATGTTTTCAGTAAATACATCTTTTATTTTCAAATCGTACGGGAGTACTACGAGCTTTTTACGCTGCCGGTCATTGGTAATTTCGTCTACTACCTCTTGAATTGTGTATATTTCATTCGCAATATCTTGAAGATTAGCAGCACGAATGAAAGCAGTCGTATCTACGACTAAATGTTTTATGTTCTTGGACATTTTTATAAATTTATAATTTACATCAATGAAAATTATTATTTTTAACTTTTTTCAGATAAATCACTGTTAAAAGTAAATATATTAATTTAAATCCACGTGCAAAGCAGAAGTTAATAAATTGAACGTCAAATACAACATTGACATTTGACATACATTTGTCTGTATGGTCCTAAAAACTTACAAACTGAAATAAATATAAAATATAAATAGTCTTTGTTTAAATGTAAATATTGTAAGAAAATTCTTTGTTTAAAGTGTAGATTTAACATACTGTTTTCAAATTAAGTTATATATTTTAAACTAAAAAGATTTGTAAGCTGCAGCGAGATATATATTAGATTTTATGTATTATCTATGATTCTCTCTTATGAGGTTCGGAGTAAACACTAAACAAAAATAGTTATAATTTATAGACTTAGATGGTTATACTTTATATACGTCTGTTATTTTTATCTAGTAAAATATAAATATGAGTTCTAAAAAGGGTAAGCGTAATTTAAGCAATAAGCACGCCCCAATAGCGGAATCGGTCAGTATAGCCTTAAAGATACAGTTGGATAAATTTCTAAGTGATGACAATGAAACAGAACTCAAGTTTCCATCGTTCCTATCAGCTCAAGAGCGAAGGTTTATCCATGAAACCGTTGCCAAATTGGGACTTAAGTCTAAATCGCGCGGGAAAGGTAGGAACATTCAATTGTTACTGTGACGAAATTTTTTTCTTTAACAATAAAATATTTTATAATATACCTATCATTTCGTAAATTGTTTTCAAAACCATTTTTTCTATGAACTATACCATACTGGTGATATTGCATTTTTTAATTTAATATATAAATCTAATTAATTATCACACAACATTGGAAAATGTTATAAAATTCAACAACTTATTTCACGTATATTTAAAAAAATTTCAGGAGTTAATCGCTACATAACAATATACAAAAGAATCGGCTCTACTATTGTACAAAACGATGCCAAATTGATACTCGACTCGAATATGAGATGTAGTATTACGGAGCTATTCAATACATTTCCAATCACTAGCAAGGAGAAGGATGATTTAAGTTGTTGCCCCGAAAAAGAAAGGAGCCCTCAATTAGCACACAAGTCTTTGGGACAGCTAAATAATGGAGTTGCACAGGTATGTTAAGTTTTAGACACAAATTGAGCGATTGCTCAGTAATTATCATTATTTTACAACTGATATTTCTTTCAGATACCAAACACGACTTATAACCCAGAGTTAGTCAAGTTCCGAGAAAAGCTTCCGGTGTATGATCAGCGACAGGAACTCCTAAATGCTATCCAAAATAATCAGGTATACACTCGTTTGACACTTTTTTATGATTATTATTATTTAAGTACATTAATTTTGCTTAAAATCTTGTAGTACATTTTTATGAAATAATATTTCATAATTTTTTAAAAATAAATTTCTGATTTGGTTAAAATTAATTGTAAATTACAGGTTATGAAATCATATCTATTATTGTCATATGTATATTTAAATATAGCTATGTTTTTGGGTTTACCTTGCTTATCAGTCTAAATTTTTATTGGATGTTTTAATTGAGAGTCGAATTTGGTGTATATTCATCAACATGGTCTCTGAAAACAACTAATTACTGAAAGAATTTTCAAGAATCCTACTAATATTATAATTGCGAAAGTTTGTAAGTGTGTGTGTATGTTTGTTACTTCTTCACGCTCAAACGGCTGAACCGATTTTGATAAAATTTTGTATACAGGAAGTTGACGTCCAGGAATAACATATAGGCTACTTTACATCCCGGAAATCCGCGGGTAACACCGCAGGGCGCAGCTAGTATTATTATAATATATGATTTACTTTTACCAATTAAGATATCAATATTTCATTCAGGTTATAATTGTGGCTGGTGCTACAGGCTGTGGTAAGACAACACAGTTACCGCAGTTGATCTTGGACTACTGTCAGGAGAATCATCAACCGGCGAGGATTTACTGCACACAACCTAGAAGGATTTCAGCTGTGTCTGTTGCTGAAAGGGTTAGTCAATTTCTCTATATTACGTTCATTTTCTTGTTGATGAAATTGTGAACCTAACTGTGATAACAAGAATTTAATACATGTGTTCATCCAACATTGTATTTGTCACATGCCATCACAGTACAAGTGTTGTGTTTTAGTGTAAAGTACATGGAATGAAGAGATAAATAATATATAAAAGTTTCTTCAATAATCATTTAGTATATTTTAAGTGACTCAATAACAAATAACCATGTGATTTCACAAACGAATGCTTCAACAATTAGATTTGTTAATTATGACCATATCAGTGTAAATATCTTTATTCCACTACTAGCTTTCCGCCCGCAGCTTCGCCCGCGTGGAGTTCGGTTATATCGCGTTTCCAAGAAAACTCTTCAAAAGTCTGGGATAAAAACTATCCTATGTCCTTTCTCAAGGTCAACTCTATATCTGTACCAAATTTCATTAAAATCAGTTCAGTGGTTTAGGCGGAAAGCGTAACAGACAGACAGACAGACAGAGTTACTTTCGAATTTATAATATTAGTAGGGATAAAAATCATCACACTAGACCAAAAATTGTAATAAATATTGCAACTACTACTTATTTACTATTCCTAAATCAACATAACTTTTATTAGGTGGCATTTGAACGTATGGAGAAGATAGGCCAGTCGATCGGATATCAAATACGACTGGAATCGAGAGTGAGTCCAAGAACAGTACTCACATACTGCACCAACGGAGTGTTACTGAGAACATTAATGGCAGGAGATACGGCTCTAACAGGTATAAACTTCTAATCATTTTCAATAATAAATTGTGTATAGTGCATATTTACCACAAGTAATGCATTTTCCAAGTGAAATAAGACCAAAAAGAGAATATTCTTGAATTTTATTAATATTTAATACTTACATTGATGCTACTATGTATGGTAGACTTAAAAAGACGGAACATTTAGTTTGACAGTGTAAATTTGTAATAAAGATACTAAATCAACTGTTATGTAAATATATAATAATATTTTTATTGTAAATGCATGGGTTATAATGTGGGGCTGGATGCAAACAGGATTCCCAGCCCCCTGCCAGTCAGGCGAGGTCGGAGCGCCACTGGGTTATTTTAGTGGGTATACCGGGAATCCTTTCCCGGGGAGTCCCACATACCCCTCTCCGTCCCCCAACGGAGAGGGGATGCGTAAAGCATTTTTTCCCAGTGCGCACAAAAAAAAAAAAAAGGGTTATAATGTAAAAGTATAAGGAGAGTATAGGTGATGAATTGAATAGACCTAATGAATTAGATGTCACAGTCGTTGTTTGATGTCTGGCAACATTTGCAGGTGTACATGAGTAGTGGTAACACCAAACAATTAAAACAATTATTTGCCTACAATATAATTTAAAAAATCTTTACATATGTACATGATCAGTGAAACCTCAGGAGTATGTAGTTATAATAGTAAAATAACACATAGTAATCTGAAACTAATAGTTTCATTTAAATGAATAATCATATATTTCATCATTCTTGTGTCATTATTCCAGGTGTGACTCATGTTCTAGTAGACGAGGTCCATGAGAGGGACAAGTTCAGTGACTTCCTTCTGATAGCTCTACGAGACTCACTTACGAGGATGAAGGATCTCAAGCTATTACTCATGTCCGCTACTATGGATACACAAATATTCTCCAGGTATGTACATATGTAATTATATGTAGTATACTAGAAGACCCGGTGAACTTCGTGTCGCCCTATAATCAAGAAATATCTGTTACGTTTTTTTATTTATATTTTTGGAGTTTACCTATTAAAGCCATAAATCTCCGTGTTTTGAAGTGCGACAGAATGATTGACATATTAGTTAATTGTCAAATCTAATGTCAAAAAAACGTTTGTATCAACAATAACGAATAAATTAGAAATTAATTAAAAAAAACATTGTCCAGCGGACAAAATTGTGAATCTAAACCGAACCCAGATCCCCTTGAACACACACAAAAAAATTCATCAAAATCGGTCCAGTCTTTTGAGAGAAGTTCAGTGACATACACTCACAGAAGAATTATATACAGGGTGTTCTAAAAACTGTGTCAACCCTTGAAGGCATGTATACATATAAGTATTTTGTTATCGTACTATTAATTACTATATATTTATGTTATCCCATTTTATTTACTTGTCTTTGTATCATTTTCCTTATACAGGGTGACTGGTGAATTACTATCAATATTTAAGGAGCATACTCGGTACATGATTCTCATTCGAATTATGTAAAAAAATAGGTACTTAATTTTTGACCAAATTTCCGTATAAATAAATAAAGTGTTGACACGTTCCAAGTGTTCCAAGTGTGGACGCGTGCGGCGGCGTGCTGATACAACAACACGCCGCCGCGCGCGAGTGTGTGTGTGTGTGTATACCTAATCTGTAGGGTGTTCATACGATGCGTAATTAATTTTTTTTTTTTTTTTTTTTTTCTTTTTAATGGGAAAAGGGGGCAACTGAGCAGACGGCCTACTTGATGGTAGGTAGTTACCGTCGCCCATGGACATCCGCAACGTAGATTTGCGGATGTGTTGCCGCCCTTGATTGGGGAAAAGGAGGAGGAAAAGGTGGGAAAGGGAGGGAAAGGAAAGGTTGGGAAAAGGGAAAGGGCAACCGGCTCTCTCACTCACCGGACGAAACGCATCCTTTAAAGACTACTTTACGCCGATTTTCTGTGAGAGGGTGGTACTTCCCCGGTCGAGCTGGCCCATGTTCGAGCTGTAGTAAATTGACTACAGCTAGGCTCTACCACTTCAAAATTACACAACTTTTGGTTAACTTTACTTAGAAGTTTATTAATATTTATGTTATATTAATTTTTATTTTGTCATATATGATCGTCAAATATCACGTCCTCAAATATCGATAGTAATTCACCAGTCACCCTGTATATTTAGATTTAATACTTTTGAGCTTGTTATAGTTAATCGTAAATAAGGCATCCACGACACAAGCTTGCTTAGTGTGGACGCCCCTTTAAATCGCGCGAAAGGTTTAAAATGGCATGTTCTATATTTTATGCAATTTACTATGTATGCTGTATTATTAGGATAAATCGTTCATCTATTTCTGTTAGAAATGGTGTTTTACAATCAAAAATAATACTAATGTGTGATATATCAAAATAAGTATCGAAATAATATGAATATTAAATATTTATTTATTGTTATGATTTTTTAAATATCGATATTTTCAATAATGTGAAAGTAACTTCGAGTTCGTCACTAGTAGCGCAGCAGCTGTGATGACGTCATTGGGTGTCGTCGTGTTATATCAGGGCTTACAAACATTTTGTTACTCTACATATAATAATCATTTAATATTTAATTTTATTATTTTTATTGAAGAGTTTGTAAATGTAAGTTGTTTCCATTTTCGATACTGATAACGCAATTAAGAGGGTTGACATAGTTTTTAGAACACCTTTATATAAACATATATTAATATTGTTGATGGAAGTTATTGTATTGAACTAAAAATTTTCTAATATTTCGATTCTGTTCAAACGAAACACGTATCGCGTTATTTTATTCATGAACAGATTCGAAAATAATTGTTACTTAATACTGTTGTGGGAAAAATAGATGCATTTGACTTCTAATAGTTTTTGTGATTATTATACAAAACATCTTCGGCTGAGTTTTCTGTGTCTAAATAGATATACATATATATAGAATTTATTGTATCCATATGTATCCCAAAAATCTTAAAGTTAAAATTTGGTTTACTCTTATTTCATACCTTCATTTTTTCCAACCTTTTTCAATATATATTACAACTAAAATATATTTTTTCCTACAGATATTTTAACGGCTGTCCTGTTATTACAATACCGGGTCGATTACACGAAGTACAACGCTTCTACTTGGAAGACATATTGAAAATAACCAAGTATAGTACAAAGAAGATGGTGCAAGTTGAAAGGGAACTCAAGAGTAAACTTCATACGGGACAGAGTTACTGGTCTCAACTTGAGAGTGAGTTAATTATTTTAAAGCGAAACTTTTTATTCATCTATCGCATGTCGCATTACATCCGAGTGCAGAAATTAGTCAAGTAAATGACACTTAGCAGACTAGTTATCCAATATGGCATTGCAAAATTGCTGAAAGTTGTATCGTTAAAATTACGCTATATTAGTTCAAGAAATGTATGTGCTTTGAATAAAAATTAACATTTTTTTTAGTGGATAGGTTTATTAATTGTGTTTTAAATTTGTAGATCAGAAATTAAATCAAGAAGAGAAAGAAGTGAAGGATGAGAAGGAGGTTCAAATAGATCCTGTGTTACAAGCTGATATGGATGAATTCCTTGATGAATGTTTCAATGAAGGCAGTCTGGTAATATATTAATTATATATGTTATACATAGCTTTATATACTCTATATACTAACTATAAATACTAGCTTTTGTTCGTGACTTTGAATGGATGACAGTCTGTGGCTCACAAAAATGGAACCAGTTTTTAAAACTGTGAATGTTTAAGAAATTAAAAAAAGCTGGTTAATGTTTATAGAAAGTTATAGAAAACAATATCTGCGATAGCAGTTTTTATCTTTTCTATAACAAATTGTCTTGTTAATATAAAACAAATATTCACACACACACACACACACACACTGTTATTTCAATATTCCATAAAACATAGGCATGTAGGAGATTCGCTATATATAAAATATAATACCTACTACTACACCAAGCAAGTGTTGTGATTTATGCTCAAACCTCCATGTAAAAGAGGAATTTGCTCAGCAATGGGCTTTAATAGGCTGATGACGACTACACCATGTATACTGTAATTTATTTGCATGTGTGTGTATAGTGTGATTTATTTGTATGTGTGTGTATAGTGTGATTTATTTGTATGTGTGTGTGTATAGTGTGATTTATTCGTATGTGTGTGTGTGTGTGTGTATAGTGTGTTTTATTTGTTTGTGTGTGTTTGTCAGGACTCGTTCAGCCAGGTGTTATATATGGTGATGTCGGAGGGTGTGCCCGCCTCGCTGCCTCACTCGCGCTGCGGGCGGACGGCGCTGGTGGCCGCCGCTACACACGGACTGCCGCATGTCGCGTTACAGCTGCTCAGGATAGGTGAGGCACGCACACATACATACACACACACATACATGTATACACACACATACACGGATACATACACGGAGACACATACACACACAATACATATAGTCCATTTCAATAGAAATTGGCAATCTTGTAAACAAAGCAACTGACCACGATTATTCCGTTCTTACGGACAATGGAATGTTAGTCCTGATTACAATTATATCTCAATGAATCCACCACTGTTTTTAATACAAGAATTATACAATGAACTACTTTTTGTCCATACTTCGTATACTTTCAAACTTAGAAATGTATAGCTGAGTGGTGGGACTGTTTCTCATTAGAGACAGTAAAGCCATTTTTGAATTATTAATGCTGTAACGACACCACTTTCATTTTTAAATAAAGATATTTATAATCATTATTATTTGAACTTCAACCAACTTACAAATATTAAAAAGATTTCATTTTACTTAACATTATAGTGTGTTCAACAGGCTGTGATGAAAATCAGTCAATCAAACAAGATTGCATTTTTTCAGTATTTAACAGACGGAACTAAACATAGGTAGCGCTAAAAAGTATACATTTTATTTTCTAAAATTAATTATATTTTATAAAATTATACATTTTATTGACCTTGGTGGCATGGTCTTTATGATCCTTGGTTTCCCAAGGAACTAAACTCATAAAAAATTATCATCAAACTCATTCTGAACTTCTAAAAAAAGCTCACTAATAAATACTTAACAAAATATGTACAAATTGAATTATTTTTTTACATTAATACTTTAATCTAATTATTAAGATTATCTTGAAGAGTACTCACATTACTAGGGGCATAGACAAGAGTCTGTCATTATCACGTTTGTTTACAAGATTGCCAATTTCTATTCAAATGAACTATACACACACATCCAATTATACGTATGTACACATGGATATCAATATGAGTAAGCACATTTCGCACATGAATATGTAATAATGATTCAACTTGGACTTAGTTTACAGTAACAATCCAAAAACAATGAGGTACATGGTTGCTTAACTTGAGTATAATTAATTTAGCTATTTGAGATTGAAACTTTGATAAAGTTTGAAGTCTAAAATGTTTTACACAGACATTTTATGTGAGTGATTTTATTTTTTCTGCACTTAATCCTGTAAGTGGTCTTTGAATATAACAGAATTCTACCAATCACTAGATAAATTAACATTTAGGGATATATAAAAATTATAAGGAAACAAGTAAAGTATCTTTATTATTATTACAGGTGCTGATCCAACAACGAAAGATAAGAGTGGTAAAACACCGTACGACTACGCCGTAGAGAATGGTCACCATGAGTGTGCTAAGATATTGTCGACATTTAATCACGACGAAGAAAACAAGAATAATCAAGAAGAAGACGACCCAGAAGATAATTTTCTTCTAGACGTGTACTATCACGCCTTCTCAGAAGAATTGATAGACCATGATCTCATGTTGGCGCTAGTGAAACATATACACTTGACTATGGCAAAGGGCAGTATACTGATTTTCCTCCCAGGATACGACGATATAGTCACTCTGAGAGACCTCATACAAGGCTGCTCAGATATGAACACTTTGAAGTTTCAGATATTTACACTACACAGTAACATGCAGACGTTGGACCAGAAGAAGGTTTTCAATCCGCTGCCGAACGCGAGGAAGATTATTATATCGACCAACATAGCGGAGACGTCTATAACGATTGATGACGTGGTCTACGTTATAGACTCGTGCAAAGTGAAAGAGAAGTATTATGAGTCGGATGGAGGTGTTTGTTCGTTGCAATGTGTATGGACTTCAAGAGCATGTTGCCAACAGCGGGCTGGTCGCGCGGGTAGAACTAAACCGGGTATTTGCTATCACATGTGCTCCAAACGAAGATTCAAAACTCTACCACTCAACTCAATACCGGAAATATTAAGAGTCCCTCTCCAAGAGTTGTGTCTTCACACCAAATTATTGGCACCTGGCAACACTCCGATAGCGGATTTCCTCTCGAAAGCCTTAGAACCTCCGTCGTTCCTGGCTGTTCGGAACGCTGTGACGTTACTCAAAACTATCGGCGCGCTGACTCCTATGGAGGATTTGACGGAAATCGGACAACATCTTTTAGATCTGACCGTTGAACCGAAATTGGGAAAAATGTTGCTTTACGCTTGTGTCATGAAATGTCTGGATCCGATATTGACGATCGTATGCAGCTTAGCTAACAAGGAGCCCTTCCAAATATCGCTGAATCCTGAGAATAGAAAGAAAGGTAGTTTAGCGAGGAAGGAGTTCGCAGCTGATAGTTATTCAGATCACATGGCGTTACTGCGGGCCTTCCAAGCCTGGCAGATGGCGCGGGCTAACGGCGCGGAGAAGGCTTTCTGCTCGAGGAATCTAATATGCGGCGCGACTATGGAAATGATCGTAGGGTATAGATCACAGCTGTTAGCGCAACTTAGAGCTCTGGGTCTGGTTAAAGCTCGAGGCTCGGGAGATATTAAAGACGTGAATTTGAACTCGGAGAAGTGGCACGTGGTTAAAGCGGTGTTAGTGAGTGGTTTGTATCCTTCTATAGCGAGGGTTGATAGAGATTCATCTACACTGAGGACGTCCAAGGAAGTGAAGGTGGCCTTCCATCCTAGTTCGACGCTACATCGCGGGGGAGGAGTGTCTGGCTCGCAGAAGTCGGTTCAAAGCTTACCGACCGACTGGGTAGTATTCGAAGAGATATCAAGAGTCGGAAGGTTCTGTTTCATCCGCTGCAATACTCTTGTAACTCCATTGACGGTCGCGTTATTCGGAGGGCCATTACGAGTATCAACCGCCGCGCTCTCACAGCGAGCGAATCCGCCGGGACTATCTAGTGATTCAGACAGCGAGGTTGAAGAGAGCAATTCGTCCCCAGATACGGCGATATTAACACTAGATGACTGGATGGCATTCACAGCGGACGCGTCTGACGCGATCAGCGTATACTACCTACGGCAGAAGCTATGCGCTCTAGTTATACGCAGAATGTCCAACCCTGCCAAGCCTATGACACCATTAGACGAGCAAATACTGAACGCCGTAGTCCACGTATTAGGAGCGGAAGAGAAAAACATAGGACTCAACCAACCGACCGGCATCGGACAGAGACCGAAACCTCTAACATTAGATTCACCAAACTGGAGGATGAGGGTAGATGAAGAACAATACAGACACGAGAACAAATACTACCCGCAGTATAACCAAGGGGAGTTTACGAATAACTTCTACCAGAATAACTACGCGTATAGAAATGGCCAGAGAAGCGGCTGGCGGGAACCAGCGCAAGGCTTCTCGCCGCAATACGGAGGACCTAAGAGTCCTATGTCGCCGAAAGCTATGGGGAGTATGGAGAAATATGTTGATAGTGAAGCAAACACGCGGTATTTTATAGTACGAGCGGATGAAGTGCATTCCGTTGAAGCTCTACAAGCTAGCGCCGGCGGGCTCTTCAACCAGAACACTGCGAAGAAACTTGTCAAAATTAAACAGGTATGTACAAGATAACATTACAATTTTTCTTCTACTTAGCAATTTCCTAGCTATATTATGTCTGCCTTACATGTTGTGAATAGTTTTGGCTATTTGTTGTTACGGCTGGCCGCCTGCCTGACATCAACCCTCTTTGGGAATGAGTTTACATATATACACTGTTCTATGGAAAATAATTATTTATTATAATGTAGCTAATAATATTTAACATATATTTCCAGGAGGGTAGTCGCGTGGTGGTTTTCTTCTCATGTTCGGGCGCGTCCAAGTTTATCGGTGCTGCCACTATCACGGACGGCAATAATGGAGCGACAGCCAGTAGTACCAACATGAACAATAACACCCCCACTCTAGAGTGGCTGTCTACACAACATGTGCCCTACCATATGGTCCGGTGAGGATAATACATATATAGTATGATAATATTATACATTATAAGTCAGTGGTGGCCTAGTGGTTAAAAGGCCCGCCTCTGATACACGAGGGCTCGGGTTCGATCCTGACCCTAGCAAGTACCAATGTAATTTTCCGAGTCATATGTACTTTCTAAGAGTATTTAGACATCACTGATTAATGCATTCCCAAAGAGCCAAAACTATTCACAACATGTAAGGCAGACCCTGGCTAAAGCTGGGAAATTGCCAGGTATAAGTAGAATGTAATAAAACGACATCTGTCTATATTATTTTTATGAGATATTATTATTGGACTTCATTGACATTGAGGCAAAACTATCATGCATTTATTGTCTGTCTATTTGTATGATTTAAACCAACGTTAAAACATATGTTTGTTATAATACAAAATCTCATTTAACAAATTAAAGTATCACGAAATTCATCATATCTACTGAAATGTTCAAAATATCCTAAGTAGCTTTCAGTGGCGGCTGGTGGGTTATCGACCTGGTGGTGCACTTTACTAAAATATCAAATTAGAAAATGTAACAAAAAACCTTTTCTGATGTAACAAAAAACTTTTTCTGAAGCGAAATATTCAATCAAATTTTTATTAAAATCGGATATTGTTTGTATAATTATTTTTTTCAATACTAAGCACAGAAAGTGCATTTTGCAAGTGCATGGTATGTCGGAAAAAAGTTTTGATTCTTTTCAATTCCAATTCGTCATACATCGGGTGCTCTCGGTAACCTTCGGCCGCTCGTGCGGCGCTCGAGAACTGACTCATTACTCGGTACATTTCTATGAACTATCTTTTGTTTCACGCGTCAGGCGTATTAATGCGTATCTCATACAAGATGTATTAGTGGTCCTCGTGCACTCGCCGAAGCGCACGAGATATTAATGTATTAAAAGCGCTCAAACTTTTTTACTATAATTAGAAATTTAATTTTTATACGTTTTTGTATGTTTAGAAAATAAATTTTAAAATGGTAATTTAAAAATAAAGATGAAGTAATATTTTGCAATTTTCAAATCTTTTGAATTGGTGGTTCAGCGCACGAGTTCACTTAAGGTACAGCCGCCACTGGTAGCTTTATTTTTGTATATTAATATGAACTTATTACATTTTTCAGTCACATCGGTAACTCTCTATCGGATGGCGGGCGCGTGTCGTCTTGTAGGGACGGGACGGAGCTATGTGTGTCGGCGGGGCGGGCTCTGCTCGCGACGCTCACCGCGAGGAGAAGACACGGGTACGGACATCACGCTCACCCTAGACCCATACAGAAACACGCAGCGGACGGCTAACACACACACACACACACACACACACACACACACACACACACGTACTGTAGATAGATGATCCACACACACGCACATAGAAATACAAACACACACATGTATATTAGAATGGCCAGTGATACAACACACATGCATACTTACACACACATAAAAATACACTTTTATTTATTTATTTATTTAAAAGGTACATCAACTTCACATATATTCAGCACACATAAACAAGAGATAAAATAGAAAAAAAATCTAGGACCTGATATGAGTGACAACTGCCAATTACAGATGTACACAACATTCACACAAAGAAAAAAATAAAACTTATTGTCTACCTGTTGAATTAAAGCGATAATTAAATAACTATTAAAGAAAAAATCTTAAGACCCAATATACAAAATTACAAGAAAAAAAATATATATATATAAAAATCATAGAAACAGAACACTGACAAAATGTGACCACAGACTAAGATGTTAATTGACAGATTTTATTCTTAAATCTGGGCAAGGCACCAGAAAATACGTCCAAATGCTTGAACATATTTGGTTGTACTCAGAGCAAAGTCTATTCATAGGACAGTGTTTGAAGATATTGGTGCGAGAGACCGCAGTATAAAATATTTTATAAATAGGCTTTCTAGGAGGTCTAACGGGTACTGAGATGTTAACATACGACAGAAGGTGCTCACTTTTGACTACCCCGTTAATAATTTTATATAAAAATATTAAGTCTTGAATTTGCCGACGTTTAGACAAGGTTCCCATTTTAAAGAAATTAAAACGCGCGTCATATGGTGTTCTATGAGATATTCCACTACAATTAAAAGCAAGAGATCTGGTAAATGCACGTTGTAAGTTTTCTATTCTCTGTGATTGGACTGTATACGTTTGGTTCCATACTTGGGACGCATATTCAAGAAGAGTTCGTTCAAGAGCATTATATAGGGAAATCTTGGTTTTACTGTTAAAAGGTTTTGTGTTTCTCTTTATGAAACCGATCATTTGTGATGCCTTCTTGACTATGGATACACATACACTCACATGTATATTACAACGTAGGCAGGCATACTAAGCGTAAAAGATCTACACACACATACATACTGTAGATAGATGATCCACACACACATAGAAATACAAACACACACACACACACATGTATATTAGAACGTTCAGTAACAATACACACACATGCACTTTATACACATATAACAAATCCATGTAAATCATAGCTAATACTATGAGTTACAATGTAAATGTGCTGAAAAATAATCATTTTATATACAGTACTGGCTTTTAACTCTTAGAACATAATATTGTAACTGATTGGAGATTTATATAAAGTAATAAATAGTTGATACTGTGTTATACTTTGCAAATTCAAATAATGTGTTTTGGCTCGATTTTCAATGTCTTCGTTATGTTTAAGTACAAATATAAAAGCACAGATTATTAAACAATATTTGGGACAGTATATAGTTGCAATAGTTTCTTACTTAAATAATATTAGAATATAAAAAAACAATGAAGAAATGTTGTAGGAAGCTTTTATATATTTTGATCTCACGCCAAAAATTTATATATTTATTTACTTTTAACATTTGAAACTGATTAAATGACAAGAGTTTTTGTAGGAAACTGAAGAGAATTTTATTTTCAAGACTAATAACTAACAATATTTATTAACTTGACACTTAATAATTTTTAATGAATGCTTGATATACTCAAAGCTAAAATTTTATATGATTTTTCAAACTTATAATCTCCATAAATGTAAGTAAGGCAATAAAATTCTGATAATGAATAAGATTGGAGTCACTTTAGGTATAAGCTGACCAATTTTTTCACTTAGCTTTATAGCTATTGTTGTTTAGGCAAAATTTATTCAATATAATCTTTCTATAGAAAATTTAGTTAATAAATGAAGTGTGTTACAGTTGTGTTATATTATAACATCAGTGTTCATAAGAAAAAATATTTATAACAGATTTAATAAAAAAAATTAACAGCAATAATAATTTGTACTATCTGTTCTCATTTAAATATTTGTTCAATACAACAAATGTATATTAGAATAAATTGTATTTATGTAACTTTAAGTTTTTATATATTTATTGAAGATATATTTAATTAATATTTATATATTATTGTTGTTTTATGATAGTTCTTAAATGGAACTTAATCTATATTATTAGTATTTAGATTGTTTCATAAGTTGTGTTAACAAATGCATTTAAAAAAGGTTGCTATTTAAAATTCTAATCATTTAAAGACTCATTTACACCGATTTTTTTGTTTAAAAAACTGAACATTAAATATTGAATTATTTTTCGGTGTAAATGGGACTTTTTTAATTTATTATTTTGCTGTAGTCATATGTGTTATATAAAATTTTGTTTTTGTATTGTAATGTTTAAACTGAATGTCTCATAGTTACAGTTCGTGTTAAAAGTACAGTTGAGTTACAGTTTAGTTTACAGTATTACTGAGTTATACCAGACTTTTATATGAATGGTTGGTGCTCTTAGAGCCGCTCACGATTTTTTTTCTAATAGCTGTGTTATAAAATAGTGTTTTGTTTTAAGTGTGGATGAAGAAATAAACAGTTTCATTATATTTTTTGTTGTTTTATTCCATTTGCATATTATTTCAGCAGCTTTGTGAGAAACGGCCCTTGTTTTGCTATAAGCAATGTAAGATTTATATTTATAATTATTAAGGGAAAAATGTGCGTTTTTCAAAAATTTCGAAAAAACACCTCAAGTAATTTATGAACGCCCCCTAAGAAGTTTCACATCAATAATAATTTTGAATCACTATTTTAGACCAGTGCCGATAGCTTTTGAAACATAATTAAATTATAGTAGAATGAAACTCGTTAGAAAAAGAGGGGAATATAAAAATTAAAGAAAAAATAATTTACGGGCGATATGAGGTCGGGAAGGGTATGGGGGGTGGGTATAGTGGGTTTTCTCGATTTCCGGCAAAACTAAAAGTCCTTCGGAAAAATGTTATATGGCAAAGTTGTAGGTGATAAATAGATCTAAAACTTTTGTACTAACATTTTTTTCACATAGCCTCAAAATTTTTGTGAAAAATTCGAAAAACAAAGTTTTTGGTTTTTTATTTTTATCTTTTACAAAAAACAATATTTTGTCACAAAATTTGGTGAAAACTTGCCTTTTGACGTTACAAATACACTGTAATTTATTTGATCAGAAATATTTGTTTTTTCAGCTTATTTTGAAAAAAATATCGAAAAATCAGCCTCATTTTCAATCCAAAAATCACCCGTCATAATATCAGCGTTTTTCAAAAATTTGGTGTGTTTTCTGTTTGTTCAAAACTCTATTTTTCGAGGGCGAAGAAAAAAAAAATAAGTTTTTTTTACTTGTAGTACCATTTTTGGATAAAATAATCATGTCCCTTTTAATGAAATGACACTCGATATCGTTTAGAAAATGCTCTTTCAATTTATTTTTCATAGTTTTAGCAGCTTAATGTACCTACATTTTCTGTAGATTACCTAAAAGAGGGACTATCTGGAGAACTTCCAGAGTACACAACTATTAAAAATAAATTAAAAAGAGCATTTTCAAAACGACGTCGAGTGTCATTTCATTAAAAGAGATATGATTATTTTATCCAAAATTGGAACTGTAAGTAAGAAATTTATATTTTTTTCTTCGCCATCGAAAAATAGAGATTTCAACAAATTGTTTGAAATTAAAGACAAACTACGAGCAGTGAAACGATTCCTCGCCAGCTAGCAGTGTGAATGTCCAATGATAAACTAGTTGAAACATATCTTTTATTTACATGGAGTGTATAACTATTGGAATTTCCATGAGCAAGGAAATAGTAAGATTTCCTCAATGTTTATAATTCCCACGACTGTATCTATTTTATTGTTTTTTGGTTTTTAGTACATTTATCTTAAACATCGCAATGTATATTTAACGTAAAACCGTTTAACTTAAAAAGTTTTTTTTACCAATTTTTTTTTTCTAGTTTTTATTTCGCATTCTGTGTGATTTATTTAGTGCTTCATTATTGAAAGGTTACTATTCTACTGGTTGAGACCTTTCATTTGATACCCATGTTGATGGAATTGATAAAAACTAAGTTATCCGCCATTTTTTGGCCGCCATCTTAGATTTCAATTTTTTATAGTATATCGTATTTTGCTTATTGAGCCCTTTCATTTGATGGGATTAATAAAACATAAATTATCCGCCATTTTGTAGCGGCGGCCATCTTGAATTTATAATGACAATAAATAACATTACTTATTGTCACCAAAATCCAAAGTGTGTACAAAATTTCAGATTAATCGGTTGACAGGAAGGGGGTGAAATTTGAATTAATAAATTTGACCCAAGAACAAAACAAACGGGGTGAGCTAAATAAAATCGTTTAAAAATATTTTCTTGTTACTTCTGAACCTTTATGATACTCGTGAACGTCTTGTTCGGATCAAACATTTTTCTGTTTATTTTTGATCTCTTTAATTGAGCATTTTATCTGTTTTGCGAAACTCAAATGTACTTTATGCTACAACTTTGTGAATTTTTCGCCTCGGTTTAGAAAAAGAGCTACATCATTTAAAAATCGGTTCTAGTGATAGTCTAGATATGAATTTGTCTTTTCTATAAAACTTAAGATATGAAATATTAATTTGACTAAGTATTGAAACGTAAATAAATAAAATATCATTTGATTCTAATGTTTTTTTTGTTATAATTATGTAACATCTGTGATCCCTTTATACTAACACTACTTTAATATATCATAAAATTTATATTTTGTATATCGAATAAGCTATTATCACTTAACAAAAAAAAAACAATCATTTTTCAAAATTCGAACATGCCCCACTTAGTTCACTTATATTATCTGTCAATAAAACACGTATGTATAATCAGTATATATTTATTGTCTACTTCTGTAACACCTGCTTCTCAATCTTGTCCTGCTGCTCCTTGCTCTGTAGCTGCTGGAGCGTCAACAGCGACACTCCCAGCTGGTCCTCGCGACTGAACGGCTGCGACATCTGGCGGAGCCAGCGCTTACTGATCTGAGATGAGAATGAATGGGTTAGTACTGGGATGTAATAAGCTAACATTGCTATAATCTTTATATATATACATATAACGCCGTACAGTAGTGGGATGATGGTATAATTTTTAAGTTTTTCTTAAATATATTGTAACATTTAGTATTTTTATAAGTTAATCCATAAATAATGTAGCAACACTAGAGAATAGTCAATACGGATATTAAAAGAATTTGAAGACGAGTGTTGTGTTTGCCAAATAGAAGTAATATTTCGTATTTCCGTCTACACTTGGTATTCTATATCTCCCACCCACACACACACACACACTCACACATGACACACACACACACATATATATGTATGTATATATATATATATATATATATATATATATATATGTGTATATAAGTGTATGTACCTGTACGGCTTCCTCAGTACTCAGGTTACAGAGCGAGTCTCTCAGATGTTCCTGTATCCACCGCGGCAGCTTACTCCTCTTGTCAGAGCGACTGAAGCGCTTGTCAGCGAATATCATTATACCGTAGTCCGTCTTGCCTCTGAGAATTAATAACAAGTTTCATAATACATATAGTATTTTAATTTGTAATGAAATGTAATTTTTATACCTCAACGCTCTGCCAACACACTGAGCTGCGTGACGCATCGCGTCGAATGTTAGGAAATCGTTCTCACGGATCTGAAATTAAAATACATTAACATAAATATTATAGTCTCTCAAAATGAATTTCAAATGATTAAAAAATGAAAGTTCCTTAAATGGTAACAGAGTATCAAATTCATATATGTGTATGTACAGCCTGGACGTATGTTGTTTGAATAATATAATTATATAGTAAGACGTTGAAAAGTTATTTAAAAGAAATACACATATGTCATTCGTTACTAAATAGCTCACTAGATGGCGTTATTAATAAAATAAATTATATGTCAAAATATACATCATTAATCACTAGATGGCGTTATTAATAAACAAATAAATTATATTTTTACCTGAAACTGATCTCTCAGATACTCCAGGCGTGCCTTCAGTATCCTGCTCTGTGTAAACACGTAAGGTATCCCGAACATGAGCACTGCTCGGCCCAAGTGGTGGTCGAAGTCAACTCCCTCAGACACCTTGCCTCGAGCTACTGAGAGAAGTACCGCGCCGCGACCACTCTCACACGCCTAGAGATTATAGTTATTATATAGGGAATTATTATATTACTTAGAAGTTATTGGACCATACATATATAGTATGTATATAGTAGTAATTCATGTGATATTGATGGCTAAAATAATATCAAAATAGAAAAAAATATTGAATTTTTAATATTGATCTTGCTATGTCTCTTTTCTTGGACAAAAACGTTCAACATTTTCGTGTCACTAATAATAGTTATTATGCCGCAGTAGCGTTTCACTCATTAGCGTAAATAAGATTTTAGAATCTTTTTTTAACTAAAAAGGACAGTTATTGTTGAGTGGACATTAATATTATGTACTAGTTTTTGCCCGCGACTTCGTCCGCGTTAGTTTCGTCATTAGTAATATACATATAGCTGACCGGGCGAACTCTATTCCATCTTCGAGGCCATAAATAATCAGGTTTTTCCTGTTTTAATCGAAAAAAATGATTGACATATTAGTTAGTTGTCAAATCTAATGTCAAAGAAAACGTTTGTATGGGAAATAGAAAAGGGCTGTTTTTAGGGTTTTCCCGGAAATGAATGATTTTTTTCAGCTTTTAAATCTTCCCTTAACCTCCACGAACATTTCAAGATTAAGATAAGATAAATCCGTTCAGTCGTTCTCGAGTTTTAGTGAAACTAACGAACAGCAATTAATTTTTATATATATAGAAAGATAACATGAATAATAACTTCACCTTTATATAGTTTATTAAGGCGAAGCTCGTCTCCGCCGAGTCCTGTGTTTCAATGAACAGCAGCTTGTGTTTCTGTAGATTGGCGACGACACCTGACCACACATGACACATTACATGAGAAAATTTAAAACAGAACAACATATATTTTGTAGGAAAAGTTGTGCGTGTGTTTGTATTTGCACATGTGTGTGCGTGTGCTAGGAGGTAAAGGTTCTTTTTCAAATGTATGTCTTTTTCAATTTTAAGTGTGTGAGTTTGTTTTTGAATGTGTGTGTGTTAATGTGTTACACATATTTGTAGACAGACAACACAGATGTGTTCAAGTGTGTCTGTATATGTGTGTGTGGTGTGTGTGTGTGTGTGTGTGTGTGTACACATACCTTGATCATACCAAGCTCCAACCACACTCTCCAAGTAGAGATAGGAAGTAAAGAAACACACCACTCCGTCTGGGACACACGCTGATATCTGAGAGACATTAAATGAAAAATATAACATCACTATACAAACATTTCAATGCCAGTGATAAACCTGATAATAAATATTCCATACCATTGTTCAAGCATTGTACTATAAAAATGTCTACTTTTTTTTTATTATTCTTTATTGCACAAAAAAAAATGTACAAAGGGCGGACTTAACGCTATAACAGCATTTTCTGCCAGCCAACCCAGAATAGTGAAGGAGAGTAGTGAGTAGGATGTACTTTCTGCCTTATATGTAATTTTAAGCAAGATGAAACATTCGATAGGTAATATAAATGAAGTTCATGTTCGCTTCACTTCCCTTCACTTCATATATGTTCAGTCACCTCTACTAATAGTTGTCCGTAGTTCCGTATAACCGCTACGTCTTCACGTGTTTCGTACTTTGAAGATATCGCCACTTGGTCGCTGCCTTTTGACACTATCTGGAATTATATTAATACTTATTGAACATAAATATATTTATCTTATAATATATAATACGTAATCAAAATAAACGAAGTTCTATAATACATGTGCGAGAATAAATAAAAATAACGTATGATTTATTTTATATTAAATAATACATGTGAAATAATATGATATTGGTGCAGATTCATCTGTTGGCAATAATTGTATATTTTTTTTATATAATATACACAACACAACATTGCAGCCCGTTTTTACTTGTATGAATATTCAAACATCAATTGCATTAATAATCCTACTAATATCATAATTGCGAAAGTTTGTCAGTGTGCTTGTATGTTTGTTACTTCTTCACGCCCAAACGGCTGAATTGATTTGGATAAAATTTTGTATACAGGAAGCTGACGTTTAGGAATAACACATAGGCTGCTTTACAACCCGGAAATCCCAGAAATCAGCGGGTTACTATTAAATAATACAGGTGAAATAATATGATACTAGTGCAGCTCTATCTATTGGCAATAATTGTATTCTTTTTACATAACTTTATTTTAACTGATAGCATGTGAAGAAATGTTTAACATCCTTCACTAAGGACTATTTAATATAATATGTAATATACATAACACAACATTGCAGGCCGTTTTATTTGTATAAATATTCAAACATCAATTGCATTAATAATAATTAATATTTGTAAAAAAATATATGAAAATCTTATTAAACTAGATATTTGATTGATTTATACACCCTGCAAGATTTCAAATTGTTTAAAAACTTAACCTTAATTATTTTATTTTAAATATAATTATATTGTAAGACTGTAATAGTGAACTAGCGCCATCTGTTATCGAGTAGGTGAAGTTACTCACCATGGGTAATATGCAAGGTCGGGCGAGCGTCATAGTGAAGGAGCTCATTACTACCGGGTTGAAGTCCAGGATCTTGGGATACATGTCCAGGGGAGATAAAGTACCTGGGAGTGACATATATATGTTTATATGTGAATAGAAAATATATAAAAATTGTATGGTAGATATGTTTGCACTCACCCGAAGTGATAATAACAGTTTGAAATCTACCGAACACTGGTCGCATGGCTATCGATGAGTCCATACATCTGTTAATATAAATATATGTACATATATTACATATGTTCCCAAAGAGGGTTGATGTCAGGCAGGCGGTCGGTCGTAAAAAAAATAGGCAAAACTATTCACAACATATAAGGCAGACCCTGAATAAAGCTGGGAAATTGCCAGGTAGAAGATAGTGTTTTATATATATGAGACGAAACATCTCATCATTCAATGTATTCATATGCGTGTCGGGTCCATCGTTGTAGTGAGAGGAGCTTCAACAGTGACTGGGACTTGCGACCCAGCTGTAGGTTTAAGGGACCTTATCTAACGCGCGTTAAAAGCTCACCTCCACTGTAAAAGCTTCTCTCTCTATCTAACTATACCTTCTATATATCCAAATTTGGTTTATATACATTTTGACACTTGTTAGTTTTTTTTTTAATTACCATACATTTAATTTTACTGTTTTATCCCTTTTATATATATGTTCACTTCCAGATTAATTATTTGTGGAAACTGTATTGGCATGTGGGTTATTTAAGGTTTATAAGTTTTATGTAATATAAAATATGCTGTTTGTTTCACTTACTTACAAATAAAATAAAAATTAATACTCACGAGAAGTGTAATATCGGATTAGAGACAGTTGGTGTTTTATCATCGAATGGTTCTATAATGATGACGAATCCTTTAGTATATGTGGACACGAGCGTCGCCAGGTGAGCTACTAGTGTTAAGGAGCCGAAGTTAGACGGATCTGGTATTTGTAGGGTCTTCATGAGGGTTTGGAGACGAGACGATACAAAACGGAGAGGCTTACGCTCGATACACACTCGAGATGAAACATCCTTTAAGAAACCTGAGAATATAGGAATAAAAGACTTTAAAAACATGTAAAAAATGAATAATATCGATAATAATAAATAAGTCTTATATGGAGGGAGATTGAATTAAATTAATTTCAGATCAAACCCACAGATTTCACCGTATAGAGTTCTCAATGACCTAGTTACATGTAAAACGAGAAGTGATAATTAATTTTTGTAAATAAATTGTTAAATAATATATTGTTTTGTACAGACCGGCGGGCGACTCCTGCACAACGTGTTGTATCCTGAGCCTCGTCTTCAAGTATTCTATGAACCGCTTCAAGAACCCCAGGAAGTGAACCGCATTCCTGATGTTACCGGGGACCACCTCTGAAATATTTATTATATATGTATGAGAAAGCTGCTTTTTAGGCTATATATGTAATGTGTTAGAGCAGGCAACAAAACTTATTATATATATGTCCACTTTGAGAATAAATTATTTTTTTCCCCTCCCCTCATTTTGACAACTACTGAAAAACCAATATAACTTTTCCTATAACCAATATTTCCTAGGTGAATGAAATTACAAATCACTTCCAAGATCACTACACAACGCCCTAATTATTTTCTAAGTTTCATACCACCCAAATTTAAGCCTACAACACGCACAAGGTTCGTCACCACTTATCTTCCATTTTGGGACAGACTGTGTGTGTGTGTGTTTACCATTAAGTAGTTCGTCAGGTAATACAGGGTTCCCCAGTATGACGTCACTATCCCTCAGCTGAGCAGCTTCCCTCAATCCCTCCACCATTTGTTCGTACTCCAGCGCCAGGCGAGCCTCGTCCTCTTGTTTTAATCTGATACAAATGTTTTACATAAAACAAATATATGTTGTGAAAGAAATGTATTTACTTTAAATCCTACTAATATTATAATTGCGAAAGTTTGTGAGTGTGTGTGTGTGTTTGTTACTTCTTCACGCTCAAACGGCTGAACCGATTTTGATAAAATTTTGTATACAGGAAGCTGACATCCAGGAATGACACATAGGCTACTTTACGTCCCGGAAATCCGCGGGTAACACCGCGGGGCGCAGCTACTTAATAATAATAACTGTAAATTGTTCAAGTGTTTATTTACTTATTTAATTGTTCTACTTATTACATTTATATAAAAGGTGCTTTCCATAAAGTACGTCGCAAGAATTTTAGGACTTTTGAAACCCCCCCCCCCGTTCCTTGTCACATTTTATACATATTATTATTATCGCATATTACGATTTTAATGTTTAGTTCTATAACTAGATAAAAATATCAATTTAAAGATTTAATAAAACACGTGTTTATTTTGTTCCTTTGAACCCGCGGATACTGGAATTGGAATTTCTACAATTTTACTTAGTTCACAAAAATATCTTTCTATAAAAATGTCTGTTTACGTAATTGTTAGTGGCGTACAATAATTTGATCAGAAATAAGACTTTTAAAAAAGTATTATAACAGTTATAAAGAAAACTGCTTTGAACTAAACTCCATATATCCAATAATAATTAGAAATGTTATAAGTGTAGCCAAGAGTGAAATCATTAAAAATATTAAACAGTTTATTGAGCCATAAAAATGTTAAAAGCTATTGTGAATGAAGTAGAGACGACAAAAAAAAATCCAAACAAAATATAACTTACTGTGACACAGCTTTTTCTAGTGTCTGTAGTGCTTGCGTGCTTTTATCGATAGTCCGCCTTGTGATTTTCACACTTAGAGAGTCGATACAAACATTATCGATATTATGGGCCTCATCGAACACCACTACAGCCTCCTTGTTGAGTTCTTTTGATACAACTTCAGCTATTTTTGGATCTAATAAGTAGTGGTACGAGTATACAACGATTTCAGCATGGATTATCTGTATAAAATAACATAATAAAATGAATTTAGTAAAGAAATGCACAATTACAAAGCAACCATAGATTAAAACTCATAAATTCTTACATAGAACTACTTATAATGACAATCCCTACTAATATTATAAATGCGAAAGTAACTCTGTCTGTCTGTCTGTTACGCTTTCACGCTTAAACCACTGAACTGATTTTAATGAAATTTGATACAGATAGAGTTGACCTTGAGAAAGAACAAGAAAGTTTTTATCCCAGACTTTTAAAGGTTCTCTTTGAAACACGATATAACCGAACTCCACGCGGGCGAAGCGGCGGGCGGAAAGCTAGTATATCTTTATTTGGCACTGAAAATACATTATTCTCAATATTTTACGTGAATTTAAAGTTTGTTCAGTATATTTTTCTATGATAATACTCACAGCGAATCTAGATAGGAAGTAAGGGCACCAGTTTCTATCAGCTCCATACTGTTTAAGGTCATCCATTGTATATACTCCATACGGCAACATTGACTCACGCCCCTCACGATTAAAACCTTCATAGAACTGACCTGAATCAAAAATATTTAACATCAGAACATTATTCCAATATACATATTTATGATGTTGCCATAGTCAAATTACTTAAATAAAACATTGATATTGACAATTAAATATATGTACAACAAAATCTATTACAATAACTGAAAATGTATAAATAAAAAACAAATACTTGGTTTTTATATTGAAAAAAGTAATAAAGCATCAAAAATGTTATAAATAATTTAATATTAATAACAAAAGATAATTCATTATGTTTTTATTAACAGTATATGTTAAAATAAATATATATGTTACACTCAAAGATCGAAAACGTTCAGTGAGCGGAAAATAGCTCACAACATTTTGGTCAGAGTAAAACATCCACATAATGAAAACGCGAAGGATGTGTTGTGGCTCACAGAAACATCAAATAGAAAAATTCGTGATGTAACTGACATGCTATTCAATCTGAACAAGACTTTGGCTGGAAACGTTTTTGGAGATGTCCTTAGGAAATATTTTTTTATTTTATGAAATCAATTAAGACTTTTAATTTGAAGTAAGCATATGTTTATAAAGGTCTTTGAGTGTAACACACATATAATATTATAATATCTAATATATTTACATATGGGCACTGAAGGATCCTGTTCGTGTCTGTCCCTTATATAACTGGCCGTCAGTGAGTGACATTTACCATCAACCAACTTCCCTTCACGTTCTCTTGATACCTGAAAAATTAAAAATTATATAATAATATCAATTTAAAATTTTAACAATTCTATAATTAAAAACATCATAAATCTCCCTCATACAAATCTATACAGTTGTGTGTGGAAATATCTTAATAAATAATAATATATTTTTCATGCATGCATGCATGTTTTCATCCAATTACTAACTGTTAATATTTTCAATATCATCACAGTAGATCTTTGTTGGTGTGATGCAATACATCCCTAAGCTTACAACACCACTCAAGTTGAAAATTGATGGTTTTTACAGTTTAATGCCATTGGGTGAAGCTGTGCATTTGCGTCACACCAAAATCGTCAAAATATGTATAAACAATTATTTATTAACTACTAACTATTATGTATTAAGTAGCAATAGAAAACAAAACACAGTTTAAAATAGGTAGACAGTTTTTTTTATCTCCTGTAAAGTTGGTAAAAATAACTTAAGCAATGTTATAAGTTATCAGACAAATAGCTAACTAGATATTTTAATTAGTTAATATTTTCAATAATTAAGTCTTATTTTAGTATATAATGTTATATTATATCTATTATCTACCTCTGGATGTATGCACAGATTTTTCCTTGAGCTGAGCACGACACCAGTCAAACTCGGTTTCTCCCCTTGAGACTTTTCATAATATTTTATAAGATTCTTAAGTTCCTCTAACACTTTTTCTATTTCAGGTACAGTACGGGAACAATAGATGAGTTTTCTAAAAAAATATATATTAGTTATACATTTGTTTTTTATACTTAATACACAGATTCTGTTATATGAATGAGAAAAAAGAATGACCTTGAAATCTTGTCATCACCATGATTATTATCAATTATTATAATAATTTTATTTTTTATTATTACTACCTCCAACAGATTACATAATTGTTAAACTAAATTTATTATTTATTGAAGCACTGGCTCTAAAGTCAGAAATAAAACTTGAACATTTGGTGAATATCATTGTATGGTATAAAAATGATTTAAATATTTACCTGACATGATGTGGGTTTTGTATCATGTAAGCCACAATAAGTGATAACAATGATATAGTTTTACCAGTACCAGAAGGCATTTCAAGCAATCCATGACCCTGTTAATTAAAATTTACATGATTATACAAAATTGCACTTATTTCAAATTTATAGTCATTATTATAGGTATATATATATTATAATTTCTTGGATAGCAATGTTTCGGCTTGCCTTTGAAAGATTATATTTTTAATGATTGTTGTATCAAACGATTACAACAATTACACTACACGTACGTACGTACACTATTATTATACTATTATGGTTTTGTTATGATGCTTATGATAACCTAAAAATTGTTTCACTATGTATATTACGTTACCTTAGCATCAAGGGCTCGTTTAAGTTCCAGCATGTAGGCATATTGTTCTGGATATATGTAGTCGTAAGGGAAATATACCAGTAAACCATCAACGGTCAACCTAGAACGATAAATATTGAATTGTGTACTAAAATGATCTCCTTACACCTTAACAAACGCATTTTGATAATGTGGAAGCTTAATCTTACTTCATTATATTATAAATATTAAATTTCGAAACGTATTTTAATTATAATTCGATACAAGTTTTCAAACAGCTTACAACATGTTGTGCAAACTGTTTTGAATGTATGTTTTGACAAATGTCATTTTCATTTTAACTTGTGAATTGTCAATATGACTGCTGAAATGTCGTTATAAAATTTCGTTTAGAAATGTAACTGTACGAAACACAAAATGCAATGACTGAATAATGGATACAATTAATAGTTTAAATATTGCAAAATATGAATTATCAATAACTTACAAAGTTCAAAATAAGAATATAAAAGTGGTGATTGAAATTAGAGTGTAATAGTCGTCCCTTTTTTTTTGTCGACGCAGGGAAACTCTTTACGAGTCTTCCAACCGACCTTTGTGGGGCCGAAAGACATGTGTGAGACTCGGCCTGGGCAGGCCCCTACTTATTTAAACCACTGTGTAAGCCATCGGCCGCTATGTCGGTGTACCCCGAATCTATCAGAAACAGGGCACACCAGTGACTGGCTGGTCTTGGCAAAGACCGGACTTACTCCCTCGGAGTATGAGGGCGATCCTGGCAATTCGAACCGCCCCGACGACGCCGGGCTTTCACCGGAGCCGGGTTACCAAGCCGACGTCAACCCTGAGCATAGGGGTGCTATTGGAGGCGTTGGAATTGCCTCCGTCGCACCCCCATACGTCGTCTGCGGAGGGAGGGTGCAGCAGGCGTATCCTCTCTGTGTAATAGTCATCGTACCAATATTATAAATGTGTAAATTTGTGTTGCTTTTTCAAACTTAAATACAAAACATTGTTTTAAATCTTACATTAATGTGGCTTACTCCTCAAAATAGAAAATGTTATCCAGAAGTTTTGTGTCGTTGCAGTGGGATAAAAGCGATAGTTGCATTGTGTATGAAGTCATAATATGAAGAATATTATAGATGTCGCTGCTGTTTTGTTACCAAATCTATTGTTTTAGGTTTTAAAACGCGTTATACGTACTCCCTGTTCCTACTTCCTAAAACATAGAATCATTCCTTGTTCAAATGAGTAAATGTATATTAATAAACCATTCTATCAATATCGTATTTGCATTGCTTATATCTGTTGCAAATCTTAAAAGTGTAACATCTTTTTCCTTAAAGTTAAACGTTATAATATATACAAGACTAATCCGAACACATCATAATTACTAATGAAGTATGTAAAATCTATATATATAAAAATGAATTGCTGTTCTTTAGTCTCACTAAAACTCGAGAACGGCTGAAAGGATTTATCTTTTCTTAGTCTTGAAATGTTCGTGGAGGTTCAGGGAAGGTATAAAAGCTGAAAAAAATTGATTCATTACTGGAAAAACCCCAAAAACAGCCCTTTTCTATTTCCCATACAAACATTTTTTTTTGACATAAGATTTGACAACTAACTAGTATGTCAATCATTCTGTCGCACTTCAAAGCACGGAGATTTATGGCTTACAGGTAAACTCCAAAAATATAAATAAAAAAACGTAATAGGTATTTCTTGATTATAGGGCGATACGAAGTACGCCAGGTCTTCTAGTATATTAATATTTTTCTTAAAGTTAAAAATGACGATAACATTGATTTTGCAGCCACATACTTCAGCACAACTCGAAATAGTGTTTAACAATAAAATAATTTTAAAGCGTAACAATTTTTTATATATTAATATAATAATTAAAGACACTGTTGGAAAAAATTATTTAAGGGATGAAAAAAGTTTACACATTGAGAGATGTTTCAAAAAGCTTAATATTTTAGAAAAATGGTAATATCGGAGAAAAACCACTTTGAAGCTTTGGTAAAAATTAATGAATATTGTTAAAAATATTTAAGTGCCTGGTATGCGAAAAGAAAAAAAGAACATAAAGAAAAACCCGAATTAAATCATCCGAATAAAATAGGTTGATCAAATATTTTTTTTGTTTGTTTATTTGGTATGATTATTTTTTAGTCAAGCTATGGGCCTACGAATGAAAATGGATTATTCTCTTAGGTCAACAGTGTCAGAAAACCAAAGGTGTAGAATTTTATTGCTTTCAGAATTTTAAAGCTATTTTTGATCTAAAATTAGGTACAAATTCTTGTTTTTTACAGTCTATAAGCACAAACGTGATCCTTCATTACTTTTAAGCATGTAGTAAACTTGAAAAGGTATTATTCATTATTGGATAAGTGGTAAGTGGTACAATGGCCTGTGATGTGATTACTACAATTTAGGGAATACATTTAAGTTCCTGAATCCTACCGTCGATTTCCTGTTTTGTCGATCCTAGTTTTCTTGTAAGTTCTTGATGGTTTCTGAGATATCAGTAAACAAAAGAGAAAGTCGTTTATATTCGTTCAAAGTCCGAGAACTTCAACTTTATTTAAAAAAAAACGAAAATGAAGTAAAAATATCAACCTATTACCTATCTAATTCAGACGACGTTGAACTTAAATCTTTTTGTCAACTTTGCTTCTAAATATAAAATTTCTATACTTATTAAATATAAAATTTTTAGTTAAACATCATAAATATAGATTTTAATTACAAATTCATAAAATAATTCTTAAAAGTTTATAGTGATCCTAGTTCCAAGACTCGACTTAGGTCTTTTCGGGTTGCAATTATTTTGTTTGTTTGTTGTTTTTCAATTCGATTAACAGTATTGTCTTGTTAATATAGATAATTATAGAATACAATAAAATCTTCGGAGTATCGCTCTTTGACCTTAGTTAAACATCACTATGATAATAATGACTTATTTTATTGACTCAGAGAGCTATTGATAGTCAGTATTCAATGAAATACAGAAAAGTCAACATGAAAGTAGCCGTTCTTGGTGCTGGGATAAACGGATTGGGTTGTGCTGTTAGAATAAAAGAAAAATATCCCAATTACGATGTTAGTGATTTTTTTGATATATATTTATAACTTATTATTATCTTTAAAAAGTTTTTATTATCTTTTATACACGGATTTTTGAGTCGAAGTTGATATTTTTGTTTCTTATTGTGTATTTTTTATAGGTAGTGATAATATCAGACAAATTCACTCCTGATACTACAGGCGATGGTTCAGGTGGATTATGGAAGCCCTACTGTAGTGGAAAAACACCACAAAGTCTCATAACGTAAGTAAAAACTCTTCAAAAATACTTAAAACTTCTATATAGGTACTGATTAATAATGTTTTTTAAAGTAATGTTTATTAAAAAATAAGAGTTTTTACAGCAAATGGGGCATGGAATCATACCGATTGTACCATAAGCTTTGGCTGGAAGGTGGCTATGACGTTACATTGGTACCGCTATACGATCTCTATAGAGAGAAAAAACCTTTGCCAGAAAGACCTTGGTCTAATCAAGTTTTCGGCTTTAAAAACTTGGATGAAAAACATTTGGAATATTTAAACCGACTGCACCATAGTGATTTCGTGTGAGTTTTACTTTCTACATGTCGTATGATGAAAATATCAATCTTTAATTGTAAATATTTATGTTTTAATTGCGTAATGTAATCTCGATAACGTAATTACATTATAACTTTCCTCCGTCATTATTACAAAACTTGTCTATTAATAAATTATCATAACAACATGATTAAGGGAACATTTGTAATTACATCTAAAAAATGAATTAATTTATTAATAAAAAGTAAAATAAATTATTCTTTTGCTTACGTAATTCTTATTTCGGCTTTTTATTCGTTAGATAAAGATGCTTAATTATCTTTAAGAATAAGTTTTAGATCTTTTTCATAGAAACCCGTATAGCTTAGAAATATTATGAATGTCATGATTATTTCTACTGTTTATTTCTACGATAAGTTTCGTTGTTTTAATATGCAAAATAAAGATTATGAGCTACTAGCTTTCCGCCCGCAGCTTCGCCCGCGTGGATTTCGGTTATATCGCGTTTCCAAGAGAACCTTTCAAAAGTCTGGGATGAATCCTATATTCTTTCTTAAGGTCAACTCTATGTCTATACCAAATTTCTTCAAAATCAGTTCAGTGGTTTAGGCGTGAAAGCGTAACAGACAGACAGACAGACAGAGTTACTTTCGCATTTTTAATATTAGTGTAGTTATACAAATATATATGATTCTTAGTTCAGGTATAACATTCACATCATTCATAGTGAGACCAAGCACAATGCTGGCTCATTTGACGCAGCGATTCAAAACCGATGGAGGAAAGATATTGACGAGGTCTATCAAGTCATTGGATGATGATGAATTGATGAAGTATGACGTCATCATTAACTGTTTGGGACTCGGAGCGAGAGACGTCGTACCTGATGATAAAATGTTCCCAGTGAGAGGACAGTTAATGAGAGTAAGAAAATTACTATATACTAAACATTCCTTCCTACTAAAATGTTTAATAATGTTTTTATATCGTCTTATTTTGATTACTACGTTTTTTTTGTGATTTTTAGATTATTTGTTTATTTATATGTTACTTGAATGTTTTTAGACGTTTAAAGCAAGACCATTTCTAAAGACAAGTTTTTTATCCAATAAATAATAATGTTTCCAATATCATTCATGATTCACGAATTGTAAGTAATTCAATTTTAAACGTGTAATGTTTTCAAACTTACTGAATTTAGACCCACTTTTTTGGCGCTGCTAGGTTAATCCTTGTAAAATAATAAATACGTCTGTCTAAACTCTAACGCTGGAATAAATAAAGTATACATATATTTGAAAAATCTTCTGATTATTAAAATTTGCGTCTAGCTGTATTTATAATCTATTAATTCTATTAATTACTTAATATTTTTACAGGTATATGCACCTTGGCTAACAGCTACCATTTATGACGTACAAAAAGATATATATATGATATCCACGTAAGTAGTGTTGTGTATGTTTATTTACTTATTCTTATAGATAGTATATATGTTTTTATATAGTACAGATATATGCGTGATGGGCGGAACACAACAAGTCAACGATTACAACAGACAGATCAATGTGGAAGACAGAGATAAAATTTTCAATGGCTGCACTAGAGTTGTACCCGCAATCAAAGTAAACAAATTCAATATATTTTTTGCAGGAATTCCATAATGAATCTAATTATTTAATATGCTTTGATTTTGTTTTTAAAACTAGATATTTTATATCACTACATGAAAGCGATATTACTACATCGGAAATGTCACCTACTTTGACAGATTACGTAAAAATTTAAACAGATTTCTTTGCTTTTTTTTCTAAAGTCAGTTTTTTTTCAAATTTAAATATTTATTTAAAGTTCATATTCTCTTTCTTCTTCTTTTTGAGAAGACATATAATGTTAATCGATTAACATGTTTTTCTTTATTTAGTAATATAATGTACTGTACAATTAAATGAACTGTTTCAGAACGCCAAGTTGATATCAGAATGGGTGGGTCTGAGACCGGGGAGGGATGAAATAAGACTTGAATCGGAAAACAGAAATGGAAAATTTTATATTCACAACTATGGACATGGTATGAACACTTTTATATATAAATTTTTAGAAACAACATTAAAATTGACTTTTTAAAAAAATATATTCGATACAATTTCGCTTTTAACTTATAAAATTTACCCAAAACTGAAAACAATTTTAAATTAACAACTTTCAACTGTCTTGATTTATACTTATCGTGAAATGAATATAACACAAACGAAAGATTTAAACACACTTTGAATATCTACTAAGGACTAATCTATCAAACCAACGTGTTAATCTGACAACTGCTTATATGTCGTTGGAATCTTTCCTACCTTCTTATTTTCCTACAATATCTTCTATATATATAAAAATGGATTGCTGTTCCTTAGTCTCGCTAAAACTCGAGAACAGCTGAACGGATTTATCTTATCTTAGTCTTGAAATGTTCGTGGAGGTTCAGGGAAGGTACAAAAGCTGAAAAAAATTGATTCATTACTGGGAAAACCATAAAAACAGCCCTTTTCTATTTCCCATACAAACGTTTTTTTGACATTAGATTTGACAACTAACTAATACGTCAATCATTCTGTCGCACTTCAAAACACGGAGATTTATGGCTTACAGGTAAACTCCAAAAATATAAATAAAAAAACGTAATAGATATTTCTTGATTATAGGGCGATACAAAGTTCGCCAGGTCTTCTAGTATATTTATATATATGTCTATGTATTTTTTATCGTTTTCCAGGTGGAAGCGGCTTCACATTATTCTGGGGATGCGCATCCAATGTATTGAAAATATTCGATGAACACGTCAACAGTAAACAAAATAAAGAAAAATCAAAACTTTAAAAATATATATTTGTATATAAAATATGAAACTTTAAAACTTCTATATACAATAAATTCATATGATCTGATTAATAATTGTTTTTAACAATATATTGTGTCTTTGGCTTCATTTGTTTTTGGATACTGTGTCATATACGTCGGTTCTTCTTTGTATTCTAATTGGTATTTGACTCCTGACTTCTTCAACTACCTTCAGATCTGTAAAATATAAACATTTTGAAAGATTAGATAGTATGTTATTGTATTTAAATAGTACTAGTAGAAATTAAACACTTTTGAAAAAAAAAATTCTTAAACAGACATTTTCGCTTGTACTCATTTAGATAATATGAAGTTCTTTTGGATACTAAGATTTTTTATTACTAAGTATCTACACATTGATCTCATCTGCTCGTGATTAGTAACCGAAATATTGAGGTTATATAGGAATAATATAATTAAAAACAGGTAGTATTCGAAAATCTCAGTTTCATTTAAGTTTGAAACAATAGAAGTCATAGTATAAAGTTAATACAAAAAAATATAAACCGAATTAAGATTGTAATTGAAAAGCAACTAAGTGGTTGTGGATTCGAATCCCAGTTACGTCAATTTTTCACTATGTTTAGATTTCAAAAATTAAGTACTGTTTAATTCGCTATTATAGATATACAGAAATAAAATGAATTTGTCTATGGTTTAAGCATAGTGAGTGCGTTCTCTACAGCATAGACAAAAAAAACTATTATAACTCATGTGCTAAATACAGAATATTATATTGGGATGAACTAATATGTTATTAAAATTATACACCAAAATATTTCTTTAAGACTAGTAGCGCCATCTCTGTTTTATTCACGTAATCCTACTAATATTATAATTGCGAAAGTTTGTGAGTGTGTGTGTATGTTTGTTACTTCTTCACGCTCAAACCGCTGAAGCGATTTTGATAAAATTTTGTATACAGGAAGCTGACGTCCAGGAATAACACATAGGCTACTTTACATCCCGGAAATCCACGGGTAACACCGCTGGGCGCAGGTAGTGTTTAATATGTCGATAATGTATATGTGGTTTAAAATATCCCACTCACCGATGTCCTCGACAATGACCCCGGGTTTTTCGTCCAGTTGACCTTTGACCTGTCCCCAGGGGTCAATTAGTGTGGTGTGACCCCAAGCGACGTAGCCCGCGTCTGTATCTCTGGCCGGGCTAACTAGACCCACCCATAGCTGACAGTCGTTAGCTCGAGCACGACCTAGTAGCTCCCAGTGTTTTGGACCGGTCGTCATATTGAATGCGCCCGGGTATAACAACATCGAACAACCTATAAATATATAGACATACATAATAAGATCTGAGAATATCAGTATTCATTGATATAAAACTATGTAATGAATACATTAATTTTATATCGATATTAAAATATGCCCGCGACTTTGTCTGAATTAAGCGTTACTTTATTATACATAAAAATTATAAGATAACGTTAAGAACAAAATACCGGGATTAATCACCATGTTTTTATGACGTATTTACATAATTGTAAAGTTTAAAAAATAAATTACAAACAAATCAATACCTAAGATTTTCAGTACACATTTAAAATGTAAGTATATTACTAATTAATATTTAAAATAAATTCTTCACTAAATTAGTTATTAATGATAAACATTAACGTGTCTTTATATACCTTGTTGGGCCATCAGATGCGCGAGTTCAGGGAAGCGTATGTCGTAACATATGCCGATGCCGAACCTAACGCCGCGGTAGTCGAACGTACTCACGTGGTCACCGGCGCTCAATACTTCAGATTCCTTGAACGTTATCTTGTTCGGAATATCTATATCGAAGAGATGCATCTGTAATTAAATTGTTGTTATATGAATAGAAGTAGAAAAAATATTTCTTATTAACAAGTTATTAGTCTATATATAGGTATTATATAATCGTATGATCATAAAAAATGGGATTGTGATTTTAAAATAGATTATCACATAATAACGTACGTATTTAAGTAGACTTTAATATTTATTTGCATTACTAGCTTTCCGCCGCGTGGAGTTCGGTTATATCGCGTTTCCAAGAGAACCTTTCAAAAGTCTGGGATAAAAACTATCCTATGTTCTTTCTCAAGGTCAACTCTATCTCTGTACCGAATTTCATTAAAATCAGTTCAGTGGTTTAGGCGTGAAAGCGTAGCAGACAGACAGACAGACAGACAGACAGAGTTACTTTCGCATTTATAATATTAGTAGGGATGATTCCAATACATGTACATAATGGCTATATACAAATATAAAATTTATTTAGAGGGTAATTGAACAACGAAAATCAGTTAAAACCGATCAAAATACTATTGAAGCTTATTTAATAATAATAATTTTATATTTATGTTATTCTAAAGTCATACTAACTTGTCTATAGTGACAAAATATCAACGAAGTAACAGTCAAAATACGGTTATTAATGCTTATTTTTATTCCAAAACTAGCTTTCCGCCCACAGCTTCGCCCGCGTGGAGTTCCCGTTATATCGCGTTTCCAAGAGAACCTTTTAAAAGACTGTGATAAAAACTATCCTATGTTCTTTTTCAAGATCAACTCTATATCTGTACCAAATTTCATTAAAATCAGTTCAGTGGTTTAGGCGTGAAAGCGTAACAGACAGACAGAGTTACTGTCACATTTATAATATTAATAGGGATTATTTACATACTTTAGCAACTAACACTGACATATTTTACATAGATATACGTAAAAAAATAAAAAACTGAGATTAAATAAAAACTATGAAAATATAAAATAAACTTAACATGTTCTTTCTCAAGGTCAACTCTATCTGTACCAAATTTAATCAAAAACAGTTCAGTGGTTTATTCGTGAAAGCGTAACAGACAGACAGTTACTTTCGCATTTATAATATTAGTAGGGATTAACCTTTCTATATTGGGCCAGTAACTTCCCGCTATCGTCCCACACAGTACATGTGTTATACAGTTTATCTCCACACCTCTCAGGCACGGTCCCTCCAACAACACACACGCCCGCTTCCGCTGCCGCTCGTGACAACGCTCGGCTCGTGGCCCCAGATGGAACCTCTTCCGCGTACTCATTGAAATATTCTTTATACAAATATAATACCTTTGATAATTTCTTTCATACTAATAATATATTTAATATGATAATATTAGTTAAATATTTATCTTTATACATAGTTATTATCTATTTATTAAAAGGGTATCAATATTTTTTCGTTTAATACAACAGCATAAAAAATCTTAAACCTAAACCTAATTTCTGTTTGAGTTAATTTTCGTATTGTTATTTTTATTTTTTAATTTATTTCTTTTTTAATTGTTATCTATAATAAAATCAATATTATTATACCTATTATTAAATTATTTGACAGATAATATACATACTAAACAGTATTTGATTACACTTTTATTATTTTATATACATTTTTCTATCAATAATTGTGGTAAAATAATAGTTGCAAATGACAAATCCTTTAATTGCAGATAATAAAATAATCAACTTCCTTAATATGTAATTAATAATTATAATGCACTTCCTATAATAAAACTTTAATTATTTTATTGACTCATCATTAGTATTCTTTAAACATTAGTTAAATTCAATACAAAATAATAATGTTCTTTGGAAATAAATAAAAAAGATAACAAAACTGTAAAAAAAATCTAATTGAAATTTAATTTGAATTTAACTGTCAGCATTCTAGTTGTTGTTTTGATCATTAAATTTTCAAATCGATAAAATATGTCATTATTAAGCTGATTATAAGAAAGATAGCATATAATTAAAGGTGTTAAGAATTAATTAATGAATTTTGTTTATATCTATGTACGATCCTGTTGTAAAAAAGTTGCAGTATAATAATTTATAAGTAAAATCATCAACTTACTAGTTCCATATGGAGAGTTGAAACATTCTGGCAGAGCTACCACATGAGCTCCTTTCTCTTTAGCTTTGTGTATCTCACTGACAGCTGCAGCAACATTTTTTGCTTTGTCCGGACCAACAGACAGTTGTACGAGCGCTATCTTAAAACCTGCAAAGTTGTTCATAGAAAATACATTGAAAATGTTTGATGTATTATTGAGAAAGTGGATTTATATTGGACTGCTTTTTTAAATTAAAATTTAAGTGTGTATTATGAAATGTTTTTTTTTAATAAAAAACAATCAGAATTAGGACCTACAAACTTTTGAGCAATACTAATAGTAAAAGACAATAGTTTAATTGTGAATCTATTGGTGGATATTATTTTGAAAATCTTTATTTTTATCATTTTTATTCCAGTATTATTTAAAAGATAAATTATACTTTTCTTTGTATAATAAAATACATATAAAATTACAACAACCTGTTCAAGATTGTCAATAATCTTGGTTAAGATTATAACCACAAGCTAACTTAGTATTTTCATACTCTTGAAATTATATAACACTAACACGTCAAGTTTATACAATAAATATTGTTATGAAAAATATTTGAATTAATATCATATTTATACATAATTTTATTTCAACAATGAGATAGGAAAACGCATTATAAAAATAATAGCTTGTCAACAACTATGCAAAGTTATTCTGAATACATTAATAAATTTCTTTTTGTTTTACATTATTTGTTTTATATCAAGCTATTCTGTTGTTCTCTTAGTGTGGGTTATCAAAAGATAAGAACGAACTGTTTAAACTTGAAATAATTAGTTAAAACAACATTACAACTGATTAAAATTTACTATTAGCACCCATTTATACTATTTATTCAACTATTCATTAAATTTTATGTAAGAAATATAAGCGATAGATAAAATTATATATTCACTTTTAAAATTAAATACTATACCAGTTTGATAAAACATCGGTTTCTTTGAAAATCGCGGATGTACCGCATCTATTGCACTATCACACATTTTAATAAAACTTTATTATATATTTTTTACAAATTTACCTCTCTTTAACATTGTTCACGGCTAAACTATGGCCTTTCACTGAGCCCTCTTGGAGTAAACAATGATAGATAATAGTTGTCAACCAAAGTTGTCACTATCAACTGACTGTTGAACGTCTGAAGAGTAAAGATTGACTGGCATTAAACAGACATGTCCAATGTTTATAAACTATTGTTCCCTATAAGTCGTTATTATTTTAGAGTGTCGCAGGAAGGGGGGATTTATAGATTGATTAGAAAATAAATTTTCTGAAATTGGATTTCGTGGGGGAGCAAATTACAATAAAATATCTGCTCTAAAGTCTATAAGTATAGGATATAAAGTATTCATGTCCAGACTTTGTCATAAACCACATATTATATTATTTAAAGTTATGGGATTTGATACTCATGAATCATATTAAAAAGTCACATGTATTAAATATCTTACATATAATTTGATTAAATCTGTTTTTTTATTGTATAGAAAGAAAATAATTTTAATTGAAGTTAATGACTACATAAACAATGTTACTAAAATCTTAAAATTATATATAAAAATCAAATTTTGAATCTATAAGTATAGTATTTAACTATAGTGAGATTCAAAGAATCCGTAAACAATTCTTAAAATTAATCACCTAATATAACACTTCATTCACGTCGTCCAATTCAGGGGATTCCTAAACAGAAATGTCAGTGTGGACACATGTTATTCACATTAATAAAAAAATAAAAACTTTTACTGTAAAACTAATAAAGTTAAAGTTAGCACCATTAGTCAAATTTCTTTATGAAATCATTTATAATTTTAATTAGATGATAATGGCTATAATATTTGTAACTATAATTGTATGCCTAAATTAACTCTGTGCACACATGACTAAAAATAGAATACAAAAAGTTCATATTTTTGCCGTGATTTTACAATAGAAACCTATTAAAATAATACGTGATTAATTAATTACGAAAAATTATATATTTATAATTCAAGTATATACTTTATAAAATATCGCACTGTCAGAAAATAATAATGTATACATATGTATATGATTTAAACGTTTACTCATTATTGAATTGTAATACAGATACATCAGGTCAAAATAAATAATATATTATCTTTTTTATTAAAACACAAAGGTCAACATTGTGGTTTAGTATTGGAGATTCCCCTGATTAGTACAAAAATCACTAAAAGGTGATTAGAAGTTAGAGATTAGAGTTAGTTAGAGATTTTCTTTTTATTCAAGAAAGGCTTTATTTCGCTTTTGTATACAACGTCAATGTTTATTATTTTTAAATTATGAAACAAATATTAAATAATATTTAGAGCCAGATATACTGACATCAATTGCGTTGGTTGGTTGATTTTTACTTATAAACTAAAATATATGTATTTGTATTTTGAAAATAGAAATAATTTAAGGTCAGCTGATCGATAGCTAACATCATACATAAAATTATATCGTCGTGGATAGTGCGAAACCGCCTTTTTCTACCTTGGGAAAATGCATTTACGCATCCCCGCTGTTTTTGGCTGTGGCTTCCCTCACCCTCTCGCCTCTTGGCCTCCTCCTTTGTGGACATTACCGCATCGCATACCGAATGCATAATAATCTGCTTCATGAATGAAGCAGATTATTGGAAGAAAGTGTAAGCTGAGATATTTTCTAATTTAACAACTTTCAAGTTAATTTTTTCACAATTAGTAATAAATTAAACATTAAATAATTAAACTTTCCCTTGATAATCTGCTTCCAATGTAGATACGCGGAACTATCCAATATGCTAGTTACGCGCTTTGCACTATCCCCAACGATATAGTTTTTAAGGCTTTAAGCTATATACCTAGATAAGTAAGAAGTAACGTATACGATTTGTTATAAGTAGTTTTGATGTAATTTTGTCATCTTTTTAGTACATTATATGTAGAATGTATAATATAAAATTATGACGATTTACTTCTCACACATAATTATCCCTATCTGAAGGTTTGACGACTGATGACAGCTCTCATAGTAATACCACTTTAATTGATAAATGTGATAATGTTCTCATAGATATCGAAAACAAATTCAATTTGGTGCATATTATTGTATGGAGTTTTTTTTACTAACTAGGTATTTTTAATCTAATTTGATGTCTTAATTTTAAAAATAAACACTTATTTTCTATTTTAGTCTTTGTATCCTGATTTAAAACATATCTTCATCCTACTTCTTATTCCTTATTCTTAACTAGCTTTTGCCGCGACTTCGTCCGCGTGGAATAGTGACTTCCGGCAGATTTTTGGTTCTTCCCACATAGTTCCCGTTCTTGCGGGGTTTTCGGAATGGTCGAGTTCCCGTAGAATTTTCAGGATAAAACCTATGTTTTTTTTTATTCACAATGAAGTACTCTTAACCAACAACATATTTATTTGTTTATTTGAATAAAGATTAATATTATTATGTTGATACAACTTATGCAAATTATTTCGACCAAATTATGTACCATAAAAACGGTTTTTGTGAGTTAATCTTAAAAGATGACATACACTGTCGCGGACTGTTTTTTAGATCATTAAAAGAGCTATTATTCTTTCATACATATTTTTTGTGTATCTTGAACCGTTTTCACGGCCCACGCAACGGAAGGCTTCAAAAATGAAATAATTTCTCCCGTTTTTTACACATTTACCACTATATCTTTGCTCCTATTGGTCGTAGCGTAATGTTATATAGCCCACTGCCTTCCTCGATAACTGGACTATCCAACACAAATAGAATTATTCAATTCGAACCAGTAGTTTTGGAGATTAGCTTTTCAAACAAACAAACAAACTCTTCAGCTTTATAATATTAGTATAGATTACCTTTTAGGTAAAATGAAGTAACAATCTATTTGCGTCCAAATATTCCTTTTTCCCTTATCAATTGTTCAAACTTTTGGTGGCGGTGGAGAGGAAAATTTCATTGAATTATTTCTCTCCCATATGCAAGTTGTTTTAGTGATTAAATGTATAAGTTAACAATACATGACAATATATGGATATCTCGAGGTTGACGGTTAAAATTATATGTTTTAAAGCGCTTAATATGATCATATATTTATGGGAGACTTCAATAAATGTGTAAAAAAAACACTGGCCGTCACAAAACGCTTAATAAAAATTCCTGCTTCTGCTATTTTTAAATAATAATAAACTACACTCCCTTCAATACTCGACTTATCAATTTTCTCTAAATGGGATCACGTCAAAAAATAATATTTTAATATAAAGATAAAGAGAAAAAATTATATTTTATTTTTGTTATTACAATAATTTATCCACTACCTCGTATTAATTTAAGGGAAAAGTATGAAATCAAAAACTATTCTATCGCTTAATTTAGCTGAGCATGATTTGATATTAGCTTCAAAAATGGTCTATCACGACCATTTTTGAAGCTGCTCAAATAATATCGACGTCACTCATGCAGTTATTGTGTACGTATAAAGGATTTGCGGAAACCTTGGTAGTCTCATGATGTAATAAAAACACAGGAATTCAAATCCTACTAATACATATTACAATTGCGAAAGTTTGTGAGTGTGTGTATGTTTGTTACTTCTTCACGCTCAAACGGCTGAATCGATTTTGATAAAATTTTGTATACAGGAAGCTGACGTCCAGGAATAACACATAGGCTACTTTACATCCCGGAAATCCGCGGGGCGCAGCTAGCATAAAATAAAGGACAAATGTGACTCTAATTGGAAGGCATACATCTCTGCAATAAAATGTACCTACAGATAAACGTCGACCATATTCGCTGTTTCTGTCACATAAAAAAAGACTGAGAAGCTCTAGCATTTACTATTTTCTACAAACTTCTACTAACCCTCATTTTTATGAATAAATATGTTAAATATACTTAGATATGGCAACACTAGAAAAACACAGTGAAATAAAACTATAAGTTTATATTTTTATTGTTACATGTATGTAATTGAAAAACTTTCCATAAATTTACTGTAACCGTGATCACGGTTTTCAAACAATAAAACTAAAATCCATTTTTAATTATTTAATTGCACACGTCTTAGATGTCGTTGAATAAAAAACATATTTGTTTTCATACAAATTTATTGCATTTAGAAAAAAATAATAAACTTTATGTACATATAAATGTTTAAAGTCTAATTTAAAATCGCATATAGTTTATGCCCTTTAATACTATATTGCTAAGAGTAAGTTGTCCAATAAGAACAACATTATACTTTTATACATTTACTCAACTAAATTCCAATACATACTATATAGGAATTCAGTAGTTCAAATGCTTCAGGAGCTTTACTAAGATTAATCAGAATAAGTACACGCCCTGAGCATGCGTCAGGGAAATCCTTAGTGAGACACAGAAGTGTAAATGCTATTCTGAGTACATTTCAGGTGAACCTTTCTGAGACACAGAATCGTAAGTGACGCTCTGTGAACGTCTCAGATGATTTTTAGTGAGACTGAGTATAGTAGAGGCGGTCTGAGTATGTCTCAGGTGATCCTTTCTGAGACTCAATAGAGTAAGTGACGTTCAAAGTACGTCTCGGAAAATTTTCAGTGAGACTCAATAGAGTGTATGACTCCCTGAGTATGTCTCGTGTGTTCTTTAGTGAGACTCAATAGAGTATGATTCCTGAGTATGTCCGGTGTTCTTTAGTGAGACTCAATAGAGTATATGACTCCCTGAGCATATACTCAAGTGTCTCAGTAGAACAAGTGCGAGGCGGGCGCGTGTTCCTTGTTAGGGCGGGTCCTTCTCTCGAGCCTGGCGCGCGACACGTACGGCGCGGACTGTTTGAGGTGCACCGTCCTTACATGTAGCTTGCGACTGTTTGACTGAGCGAACGCCTTCCCGCACACCTGACATACGTATGGTTTCTCGCCGCTGTGACTCTAAACATAATATTATATTGTTATTAGTATTGTTAGGCGGGAAAGAGAGGTAAGATGTGCGAGCGAAAGAGAAATAAAGTGGGTGAATTCAAGCTGTGAAGGTACGACTCAGGGTATTTATTAAAGTGAAACTTCTTATTTGTCTTCCGACAAGATAAAACGCATGCTCGCTATCAATTGTGAAATGTAGGTAATATCTATAAAGTTTGCCTAAAAGAACAATATAAAGTAATTAAAATTCAAGTTCTACCGCTTCCTGTTTTTATCGAACATTACAAAGTTTCACTTCTTCCGCGCAAATGGACTTAACGCACAATTACTTTTTTAAATAAAATTACTCGCGGTGTTCTAAGGTTTTCTTTACTCTATCTCAGTTTATGAATCAAACCTATCGCAGTCTATAATGTTTATATTGTATTTTACTTATACGATCCTTAACTATATCCGTACCCGGAAGTGTCTATCCAGAGCGCTCTTGCATTTAAATGCTTTGTCACACAAGGCGCACGGGTAGGGTCGCTCGTCGGAGTGTGTTCGTTGGTGCATCTGAAGATTATTCCTGTTGTGGAACGCTTTAGGACACTGGCTGCACTTGTATGACCGCTCAGACGAGTGAGTCCGCTTGTGATAGTTTAGGAAGGCGTTGCTCTGTAACATTATGGAATACATAGAAAGATTGCTACTTGGGTGAAACATAGTCTTGTGTGTATTAAGTATATATAATGTATATTAACACAATACCAAAGGTTACGTAGGAATAAAATCTCAATTGCGTTTCTCTGTAAAAGAAACAACTTTTAAAGCTATTAACTTATTCCTTATTAATTAGTGTTCTTAAACAGAAAACAATTATTTCACCGCGTCTTCTTAAAAAGAAATCCTAGAAGTGACAGCAGCGACACTCATGATATACAGGGTGACTGGTGAATTACTATCGATATTTGAGGACGTGATATTTGACGATCATATATGACAAAATAAAAATTAATATAACATAAATATTAATAAACTTCTAAGTAAAGTTAACCAAAAGTTATGTAATTAATTACGCATCGTGTGAACACCCTACAGATTAGGTATATACACAAACACACACACACACACACTCGCGCGCGGCGGCGTGTTGTTGTATCAGCACGCCGCCGCACGCGTCCACACTTGGAACACTTGGAACGTGTCCACGCTTTATTTATTTATACGGAAATTTGGTCAAAAATTAAGTACCTATTTTTTTTACATAATTCGAATGAGAATCATGTACCGAGTATGCTCCTTAAATATTGATAGTAATTCACCAGTCACCCTGTATAAGCTGCTTTCAAAAACTAAAACTAAATGAATATTCATACATATATTACCTTCATTTGCATGTATACATACACTGCAGGCCGGTATATATATGTATATATTTCAGTCGTTGTATTCATTATATGGAGGTATAACTCACCCTAAAGCTCTTTCCACACACGTCACACACAAAATCCTTCTGCGTGGGATACGTCTTGTCAGGATGTACTCGCCTGAAGTGTGACCAGTACTCGCGGGCGCTGCGGATCACCTCCGTACACTAATATGACAAAGTTCAAATTAAAAACACAATTAATAACAGTTTTCAACATTCCATTAGTGCTTAGTGTAACTATATCGATAGTATGTGTGATGAATTGTGTATGTAGGACTGCATACTGTAAGTATATTGACGATGAAAAATCCTCATAAATATACTGATAGTTTTGTATTTTCTGTTCTAGATTTATTATGTACTAGCTTTCCGCCAGCAGCTTTGCCCGCATGGAGTTCGGTTATATCGCGTTTCCAAGAGAACCTTTCAAAAGTCTGGGATAAAAACTATCCTATGTTCTTTCTCAAGGTCAACTCTGTCTGTAACAAATTTCATAAAATCTGTTCAGTGGTTTAGGCGTGAAAGCATAACAGAAAGACAGAGTTACTTTCGCATTTATAATATTAGTAGGATTGACGAGGAAAAATCCTCATAGATGTACTGATAGTTTTGTATTTTATGTTGTAGATATATTATGTATGTGTGTGTGAATGAGCATACGTGTGTGTGTATGTGTGTGTTTGTGTGAATGTGTGTGGGTTTGCTTACGTGTGGGTGTACGTCCGTGTGTGTGTTCCCGTATCCATGTTTGTGTGATGCGTGTCTACTGTGTGTGTGTGTGTGTGTGTGTGTGTCATACATGTTCGCACGTGGCGGGCCAGCTATGGTCGGCGGGTCTCTTCCCGTAGTTCCTGGGTCGTTGTCGCGCGTGTTTGTGTCTGTGATGTACTCGGAGCGCCTCTGAATCAGGAAACGTCTCGCCGCATTCACGACAACCGTTACTATATAACATAAAACAGATTAACTTACAACAAAAATGACTTCAATCAAAAACAACTGTCTGTCAGTGGTATCTAAATACTCTCAGAAAGTACATAATATTGACTCGGAAAAAGTCACATTGGTACTTGCCCGGACCAGGATCGAACCCGCGCCCTCGGCAACGAGAGCCGGCCTTTTAACCACTAGGCCACCACTGACTTTTTAAGAAAATATATAAAATTTTATTTACACTAAATTGTATAACTAATAAGTAGTATATAATCGAAACAGTAATAGAATATTATCTTCTTATATGTATATTCCGTACCCGAAGTCAGTGCTCTGCGTGTGTTTCACCGAAGTCACCATATGTCTCTTGTATGCCTCCAGCGTAGTGAACTTCACGTCACATTGTTCACAATACGGAGAGTCTTTATCTTCATCACCTACGTTATCTTGCTCCTGAAATATAAATTAAATCTTATTAGAATATCGGTTTAAAAATGAAACTACATATATGACTTTTGACAAGGTTGCGTTAAACGGTTAACGCTCTTACGGAGGGATAAAAAGAGTGAGAGAGAACTTGTGCAACTCTAACGCATGCGAGCAATCAGCTATCAATTGTGACTTGTAAGTAATGTTAATAAATTTTGTCTTTAAGAAACACTGTTAATTCCATAAAAAATCTATTTCGAATTACGAAATTATTTTTTTATATTTGGTAGTGGCAAATTATATATTTTTTATATCTGATCCCAGTAGTTTGTTCAACGACGTAATTTAATTAGACTTTGGAATAATGTTTTATGAAATAAATATATAAACTCAAGCTTGTGGTCAAGCTTGTGCTCATAATTTTAATTTTAATATTAATTTAAGGTCTTTGTTTTAGTTTATAAGTCATTATTTGTCTATTTGTAGTAAACTCATTAAATAAAAAGTGTGTAAAATTGGAATATTATGGTACTGGAAATAAAGTGATTTATTATTATTATAAACCAATCTGTAGCGCCATCTATTGTTCGTGGTATGTAACTACATAAATACTTTAGTCATACTTTATTGAAGCGGGATATAGTGTATATAATGTACATGTGTCTGTGTGTGTGTGTGTGTGTGTGTGTGTGTGTGTGTGTGTGTACCATCGACATATACTAATGGACATGCCTTAGAGATTATAATTGTGGCACTCCGAAAGAAAGAGAGGAAACGAAGTTTCGGTCTATCTTTATCTCTCTCAAATGTATATGCCGTGCTTGTAATGAAAACTGAGCGCCAATCATCTATGAGGAAAGAGATAGTGCTAGACCAAAAGTATAGGCCATCTCTCTCACTCTTCAGACCAAAAAATTACTGCAGTATACAAGTACGGCATGTCCATTAGTATATGTCGATGGTGTGTGCCAACCAACAGATCCTATTGAAGCGGGATATAGTGTAAGTGATGTACATGTGTGTGTGTGTCTGTGTGTGTGTGTGTGTGTGTGTGTACCAGCAGATCCTTGTGCATCATAGTTCTGTGCATGTTGAGTCCCAGCCGTGACACGAACGAGTAGCCACACGCGCCGCAGATGTGCTCCGACGGATGCTTCATACGGACGTGGCTCAAGTACGACGTCCACTTACTAAACATAATGTTAAATACTATACTAACAACATTATGTTAAATACTTCCTTACTTATAGTCCATTAGACTTAAGCTGAGCTTTGAATTTGTGTGAGTGAAAGTAAAAGTAGAGTTAGACAAAAAACTTTAGGAATTAAAATTATTATATTTTAAATAGATATATAACAGAAGTGCTAGATCTATTCTAAATTAAAAACTAAATAAGCAATAATTGTAACAGGCTACATGAAAATATTATGGAAAAAAAGTTGTTAAGTAATAAAAATTTAGGAAAAACAATATAAATTTTTCTTTACTTGATATTGCGTTTTCAACATTTGACGTTGCTACCATTACAAAGGGTAAAGTGCGGAAGGTGCGGGGCGGAGTGAAAGCAGAATAAACCGGTTAAAACATAGAAAAGAACGTGGAATTCAAAAATTTGACATCACACCTACACTATCCGTGTGTACTCACACAAATGCAAAGCTCAGCTTAAATCAAACGCACTATACCAACATGACAAACTCACAGATAATATATGAGTCAAATCACTTTAATTTGATTTTTTTGTACCTACCAAACCTCTTTTCAACATATATTAGGTATTCAGCAAGTTTTTTAAGTCGTATTAAATATAACTCACGAGAAAATTTCTTCGCAGTGTTGACACTTGTACGTTACACCTTTATGCCACTGTTGATGCTGCTTGGCTTGAGTTCTGTAAATAAATCTTCATATGAAAAAACTAATCTATTATATTCAAGAATTAATGATCGCAATCCTACTAATATTATAATTTTGAAAGTTTGTGAGAGTGTGTATGTTTGTTACTTCTTCACGCTCAAACGGCAGAACCGATTTTGATAAAATTTTGTATACAGGAAGCTGACGTCCAGGAATAACATATAGGCTACTTTACAACCCGGAAATCCGCGGGTAACACCGCGGGGGGCAGCTAGTAATCCTATAAGGTAGAGCAAAACTCCTTACCGTCGTGAGTATAACATTTCTAGTACACTAGAGGCAACAGATTTACATGGCATTATCTATAGTTAATATTCTTATAACATTTCAAATAATTTTGTCTCATAATTAAAAGAAATCATACAAATGTCTTAAGAATTTCAATCTATAGAGCGTCTAGCAGGTAAAGTAATAAGGAGAGACTAGTATATTTATAAAGATACTATTTTAAAAGTTATATATAAAAATATATTTAAATACTCACGTGTTTTTAGAAACATATGAGCATGATTTACATGAGAACCTCTTTCCGTGGTTCCCGGCGTGCTTCTTCAAAATCCTTATCGTTTTGAATCTCATCTTACATATATTACACTCTAAATCACCGGCACTCTGAAACAAAAACATTTACTAATTAAATAATGTTAAATTCTACTAATAACTCTTTATTTAAGATATTTAACCTTAATTATGGTCTTATCTCAGAGAAATTTTAAATAAATCAAAGAAAAATAATTTCCAAATTTATTTAGTCTTTATAATCATTCAGAATTTACCAAAATATTACAATAAAATCGGTCAAAAATGTTCATATGATCAGGCGTATAATAAATAGGTTCAATAATAAGAGAACAGACTGACCGGTTCATGTTTCGCGACGTGGTGTTTCCAAGCGTGAGTATCAACGAATCCTTTGTAACATAAATTACATTTGTACACTGAATTAATATAATTAAGAGACTGTTGCCGCTGAATCACCTCCTCTCTTTGTTCTTCCTCCTGAAAAAAATTTACTTAGTATTAAAATACTTCTACTTCTACCTGGCTGTTTCCCAGCTTTTAGCCAGGATCTGCCTTAAATAATGTGAATAGTTTTGGCTAATTGTTTTTACGATCACCCGCCTACCTGACATCAACACTCTTTTGGGAAAACTTAGTAACTACTTAGTATTAAAATATAGTACAAGTAATCTAGTGTTACAAGTGGCGCCATCTGTGACGTACTAATTATAATATACTATAATGCTAACAATTATTATTATGACTGATTATAATTAATTATAATACTGAACTATTGTTATTTTGTATGCAATATTAAGGTATCAACTTCTATTCGAAAACTATGAGGGCTTCAGCAATTTTATTAGACATTACTGAAAGTAACGCTGAAGATTGAAAATATAATCTGAAACTGTACCTTGAACAATAGTTCTCACAAAAATTACGTTATAATATAGTTTTCTATAAATAAAACGTATTTTTTACATAAATTGCCACTAAAGACGATGAAAACGATATCCTAAACTAACAACTAACTTAACTAACAAATACATATTTTAAACCAAAATACTACAAATAAATTATAGTGTGAGAGAAATCCTTATAAAAAAATTATACCCAACGGAGAATCTTTTAGTTAAGTGTATATTATGACAATTATTATGTTATATATCTAGTAATTTTAGTATATAAGTAAAATATATATACATACAGTGAGTGTAATTATATTGCAATAATCTTCTACATCAAGTCCGTCATTCTCCAATAACGCTATGTGTTGACTATGTTTACTTCTCTTAACAATCTTCTTTCTAACCTCACCCTTCTTAGGCCTACCTCTCTTCTTCTTAGTTATAATACCACATAATTCTTGCAAAACTGTATTCGCATTTGCCTGTAAATATTATATAAGAAAAAATAATTAATTAGTCAGAAAAAGGGTATATATATATAATTTTTTTTTATTATTATACTTCAGCATCAACTTCTAATTCTATTTTGTCATCTATTCTACTTCTGTTCTTGCAATCTTCTTTCTTTTCTTTATGAACAGATAATGGTTCGTCATCGTCACTCGATATTCCGTTGTAATCATAAAATTCTTCTTCTTGCTTAATATCTTCTATAATATTGAACGAAATCCTTTCTTGATGTGTTACTTCTTGCTTGAACCTCTCATTGTCAATTTCTTTCATACCACTTTCAACATTATATATTCTACTTTGATATATTTCAGTTGGTTCTATTTTCATTCCGGCATCATCTTCGTTGGCGTCAATGACTATGTTGTATAATTTTATATTTTCTAAATAAGAGGAACTTTGGTTTTGTTTATGTAATTGTATAATGCCGTCTCTGGAAATCTGTAATAAAACATACTTTTAAGGATGACTTAAATTGTTTTTTCATTCATATTTATATCATTATTGCTTATAATTCTTATTGGACATTATATTTATATCAATATTTAAATCAGTTAAAGATAAGGATTACAGTTAAAATATACCTTTCCAAAAGAGTTCAGTAAACCATACAGTTCTGTTTGTCCTTTGAGACATCTCTCTCGGAATGAATGAAATTTTCTCAGCATCGGTGCACACATATAACATGCATATCCCCTTAGTTGTACCATCTTCAACACCTAAATAAATTTTATTTATAATTTTTTGTGATAAAACTTATTCAAACAATAATTATTATTATAGTTTCAGTGGTTATGAATAAATTATATATCTTAAGCCTTTATGTGTCCATCAGTTAGTTGTATAAATCAGTATTATAAACATCTTGTGTTATATATTATTTGTAAGATGATGAAGACTAAAAGTTATTTATTTATAATCGTTGTTTTAAAAGTCAATTTAGTACAATAATCACGATTAAAGCTAATTTCGAGTTTAATGACTTAAAATACGTTTTTGTATTCAGTTATTAAAAAAATATTTATCAACACTTACATTGCCACCAATAACATTTTCATAATAAACATCAAGGGGATGCGAACAGAGATCGTGCATTTTAACATCCATCACAAGACATATTCTACACACTTTAAGTTCTTCCATCGTTAATAGTTTATTTACTATAGGAACTCAATAACAGGATTCAAAAAACTTACAATTTCGCGGTCAATAAACATACCGTGATGCGATAGAGCTAGAAAATATTAGAACTTCTACACATATAAGACACGCTAAAATATCACACAAATAACATGTAATACGCTATTTGAAATATTATTTTTAATTATAAAAAAATAATATTTTGACGCAAACTCATATAATATTAAAAATAAATTATATTGGGGGTGTAAATGCTATAAGAATGTCTAATTGAGCAAGACGCCACAAACAGCCATTTTTGTTGACAGCTGTAAATCGTTAACGTTCCGTTACCTCGGAAACTCTTTTTTGTAGTTTTACTTAAACAGCAATAATAAATAAATTCAAAATCAATAAAATTCTAATATGCCTTCAATGTTTTTGGGTGGCATTTGTGCGTATTCTATCAATTTCTCTCATTTCATAAATATTTTCAGTAAAGATGGAAAAATTTAAAGGTTTTCTAACATAATATATTGTAAGGGTACTTTATACTATATTTTTTGTTTTCATATTTACATGTGTGTTAGCTATTACTCATTGGAAATAGAAGAGTTGATTAGAAGTAACTATGAGCCTTGAAAATACCCGGAGATCTTTACTCAGAATGATTTATTTTGTTACGAAATTCAGTCGTTACTTTAATTAGAGGAAACTTATCTGATCTCCCAATTTTTTTGGACGCATGTCGCGATATGGTTTTTCCAAAGATTTGTATCAGCGGATCACGTAGCACTTATATTTCCCACTTGTAATTTAAATAAATAATTTGTAATATATTACTACTCAGTTTTAATATTGTTCTACTAAGTACTAACCATTAAAATTTTAGTATAAAATATGCATTTTGAACTCATATTGGATTTAATACGATGAAACCTAATTTTGTCTTGTTTACAATTTACTTCTCTTTATACTATTCTTAAAATATGTTAAGATAAAAACATAACAATTGGTTATGATGTCCACTTTGTATCCATTCATCAGTAATGTATATTATTATAAGTGTTATATGTGACTTCGAAAAAAATATAATTAATCTAAGCATTTGCTGATCTATTTTCCTTGTCGTTCCGAACAAAATACTACTCTTCAAGATCATAGGGGTATTTACTCACTGTGATCACACAGGCCTCTACAATTAGTAAAGGACAGCCCTGATTTCTTTGAATTCAAGATAGGTATCGAACAAAAATTCAAAGTATATTGTTATTAAATGAAACTCAGTTTTACAGATACTAGGACTTTTTAATTTTTTATAATAATATAATTCAGGTTTCTTTACAGCAAACGTGATCACGGTCAGACGAGATGGAAATCGTCTAATGTAGATATAAAATAGTAAAAACGTGGAGTACTTATACGGAATAACTTAGTTCCATTTAAATGTGTATAGCCAGAAATCTTAGATATGATTATATTATGACTAATCATATAAACTTTTTTAAGTGTATATTATATACTTCCCACGTAAGTTGTTGTATGCCACAAAAATGCTATTTTATATATATTGATATATTATAAAAATATACATACATACTTATGAATTACTAGTATATATTGATAACCCATACAAGTTAATGCATCCATGCTTCTTCTTCTTCTACCCGGCAATTTCCCGGTAATAGCCAGGGTCCGCCTTACATGTTGTGAATAGTTCTGGCAAATTGTTTTTTACGACCGGCCGCCTGCCTGACATCAACCCTCTCTTTGGGAATCAGCATTAATCAGTGATGTCTAAATATTCTTAGAATGTACATATGACTCGGAAAAATCACATTGGTACTTGCCCGGGCCAGGATCGAACCCGCGCCCTCGGCAACGAGAGGCGGGCCCTCTAACCATTAGGCCACCACTGACTTTAATGCATGCATGATATAAGAGGGAACAAAGTGATTTCATTTATGTCATATGAAGAAATTTGATTGACTGCAAGCATTAAGTCCTCTTCTAATTCCTGCTATCGTTTTCCTGTTTTTGATTTTACATGATCTGGGTTTTTATAACTACGTAATAATATTAGAGCAGTTATCGCCCTTTTCCGGGCTAGAAGTCTGCACAGGAAAAACTGTTGCGTTATTTTTGATCAGTACTATAAGTGTTATAGTATTTATTACAGATTGTTTAAGACATTTTTAATAGGCCACTTGGACCACTGGAGTTAAGAAATCATAACAATTCATTTACATTTCTCTGGTTTTATAGTTATAAAGATAAAATGTAGTTTTTAAGTGACCTATTAATATATCAACTAAACAGATAATATTTTAACAACCTTAAAATTTTTCACATACCTATAAAAACTTGAGTATTTAGTAGATGCATTGCGTGTGGGAACAAAATAAATTACCATACATCTAAGCTTTCCATTTCTTCAATCTTTCGCGACATAGGAAAAATAATGAGATGTAAGATTTTCGCGACTATTTATTGAAATAAAACTAATATTTTTCGGATATTAATTCACATCTCGTCCGTCTATCATAACGACGACGAAACGACGGGAGTATGTACCTAGTTAAAGAAATAATAATCGCGTAATAAATCAGAAAAATATTTGTTTTATTACATAGTAACAATATAGCTACAGGAGCTCTACTGGAACCAGCAAAATTATTGACAGAAGCTTTGAGAAACATTTCGCGGTAACCTCTGGTTTAAAATCGGGAAAATATACAATATGCCATGCAACCTCAAAGCCGGCCCATCATATAGTGTCATATAGTACAGTACAGGAATTCTTAAACGACTATAGCAAACAGAAACTATATTTCTAGTAGGTATATACAATAATTTACATTAATTCTATAGTGGTTAATTTTATATTAGATAAGAACAAACACTTCAATTATATTTACTTATATACTTAGATTAAAATTAAACCATGTGACTTTCCACTTCCTTCAGTATAATTGGATTTAAAAAGATGCCTTTTTCTTTTATTAGTCTAAGATCCCACTGTAGGATTGGTGCGTTCATAGGTTATTTGTTTAAAACCAAATTTTTATGTTTATTTATAGTTAGGAGAACATACCTAGACATATTTACTAGGTTGCCTATAAAAATTTCGCCGCCATTATTTTTAATTAATTTTTGGAAAATATTCCGTTTATTTATTTTTTTAATAAAAAAACCTATACATGTTATGAAAATTCTAAAAAATAATGATTTCCATTACGCACCTAGGCGCAATCTCACACCCTGGCATACATAATATCGTATACTCAATTCAAGAAAAATATGACCTATTATCGACATAATACATTTAACTCTTTATTTCTGAAAATATTCGTCATTAATATTTAATTTGACAAAACCAGGCAAAATGAAAGAGAATATACCAGTATGATAAAATATACAATACAATAAAAATGTTGTGGTATATTAAAATAAATCTACTTTTGATAGTAATTTTATAAGAATAACTATATGTATATAAAATATATTTAGCTTTTAAATAAAAACAAAATAATGAATTGACTGTAACGTAACTACATTCATTTTCTCTATTGAATTTGTAAATCGTTTATTTACTATAAGTTTGCGACGACACACTACATACGTTGAGTATCTCGTTTCTCATTAAATAAACTGCATCCTTACTATATGTAACATTAAAAAATTTACTGTTAACGCTTCGTATGTAGTGTAATGCTAACTTATAAGTTATACCTACTAAGCGTAGAGATCTCAATTCTCAAGAATACCGTTCTCTCGAATTTTCTACATTTTAAGCAGGATACGTAATAAAAAATAGTTACATTTAAATTTATTTAAATATATTATATTGTTTTTATTTCAATTTCCAACTATTTATCAGACGGATGACGTTTATGAATATAATGACGTCATTGCCATTTTAATCTACATTCAATATGTTGTAAAATTCCATATAAAGTACATGTATTTCTTTTACAAACAATTTATTGAAAAATTGAAAAAACTTCTCTATTATTTCTTCTTCAAATATTATTATTTCAATCAATACTGGTAATGATGTTCAAAGAAAATTATATTACCTATAGGGTATGCGATGTATACCTACTCAAAAATAGTTTCAATCTTTATAAATTGTAAATATCAAATTGGATTCCTCTTCACGCAGAGACCGTTATTTATCTTTAGATTTATCCAAAATAAATATAAAACAATACATAAGTAACAATATAAGATAAGATAATTTTTATTCTCATATACTAAATTCCAATTAAAATTTAGATCAAGTTAACTTTTTTACACACCGACACAACGGTAGCCCGTTAGTTTAACTGCGAATTAGTTTATAACAGTAAAAATTATACGATACCACTACACGCGACTTTCGTTAACGAATGAGTAGTATGCATCTTGAATTTTAACGCAGACAGTTTTTGAAACTAGACCTTTTTGAATGTCTAAAAGAGGCAAATGAGCAGACGGTCTACTTGATGGTAAGTAGTTACCGTCGCCCATGGACATCTGCAACTTAAGGAGTGTTGTAGATGCGTTGCCGGCTTTGTTCATAAAGGAGCCATCTGAAAACTTGACGTTTGACAGACCCAAAGTTTTACTAGATACTGAATATACCACAGTTCCTGAATGGAGAACTAGAAACTGCGAGTATTTAGTGTAACGATGCAAACTCTTAATTAGAGTTAATTTCATTACCTTTCTTATTATATTTCATCATTTTTTGGCGTAGAGTGTTCATTCATAATACCTGACTTCCTTTCAAGGAGATTTAATCCACTTCAAAAAACGAAGAGTTTCTCAATTCGATGTATTTTTTATTTGAAAGAAGACTTTTTTCAAAACTAACTTTGTTAATGCTTCCAGGGATAATATTTTTTAGTTTATGATACTTATGTTAACCTCCAAGTATTCTTCACACCTACGCATTATAAGACGGACAGTAATAGTTTCGTTTAAATGAAGAAAAACTTGAATAGAGGATTTTTCGTAACTCAAAATGATTTTAAATCTGT